GGATAATGCTGTGTATGTATCCAAAGAAGACCCAGGCTCTCTCACAAAGGACCTGGAGCTGGGAATCAATGAATGGGGAGGCCAAGTCTTAGTACGGAAAAGTGTGTTTGGCTTCAGCTTGGGAAATCTGGGTTTGAACCCTCTCAAAGGATTTCGCTTTCTCTTCAGTCTAACTACAACGTTATTTTAAAGGGAAAACAGGTGCACGCTTGGATTCACAGGCAAGGCATTGCAAAATAAATGCACGCACATTAATAAATGCAGAGCTACATAACACCTATTTCCAGCTGTAAGATCATTAACAAGCTCTTGTCCATGGCTGCTCCAAGCTGCCCTACCACTCTCCTAACCCCACCACTCTCCTAACCCCACCACACGCGCTGACCAGCAGGCTTCATCCATGCACCCCCCCACACTCTGCCCGGGCGCTCGGCTCTTCTCCCAGCCTTGCCCTCGGCTTTTGCTTCCCTGCCGCTTCTGCTGGAGGAGCTCTCGATTCAACGAGGCCTTCCCTCCATCAGTAGGCGTGCCCATATTCATTGCTCAAGCTCCAGAGGAAGTTGAGCACTCCTGCTTCCTTGGTCAGGGTCGTAAGGATTCTGCGGCAGTTTCCTTAGCCCTCAAGCAGTGTCCGTGTCTCCCAGCCCCACTGCCTCCCAATCCTATTATGCCCCACAAGTCTACCTGACGCCATTAGGAGTCTGCTGGGGAAAAGCAACCCAGCATGCTGCCCAGTCCAGTACTTACTGCAGCTGTCAGTGCCCAGGTCAGCAGAGGAGTTCAGAGACACACCCTGAAGAGTGGGCCCTCCCACTGGTTTCCCCCACATCCTGTACGGGTGAGCACAGCCTCACTCCCCCTTCCAATCAGAGAAAGGGCCAAAGGGGAAGTGGTGCAAGATGTGGAGGGAGATGTTCAGATACGCAGCGATCACCCAAGAGTCTAATGCGATCTTCAAAGGAAGGAAAACACATACATGTAAACCACACCCTCATCCCAAACCACAAGCCGTGAAAGAGGCATGACTTGTGGCAGTGCCTAAGCGAGGCCTCCGCCATGGCGCGGCAAAAGCTTGCAATTCAGAGACATTTCCTTATTTGTGACATTAGTCAACGCTTTCTTAAGAGTTACTTATTTGTGGTCATGGCTTCAGGTTACATGGGCTGCTGAAGCAGATTGCTGTACATTTTGTTTTTGCTTAAGTCTGCATTTTGAATTGGTATCTGATGACAATTTTTACTAATGTCCACAGACCACCAAAATTATGACATTTAATTCTTCCTCCTAATATGGGCCTTATTATGGAGGCCTGAAATACCCAGGATGGCAGAACATACAGTCTGAACACATACATCCATTGACTGGGCTCCTACAACATGACAACCTATTGTGGGTTGTTACCCATCATGGGTTGTTGTGTCAATAGAACATGGACTGATTCCCACTGAGTGGCTTGTTTGAGAGCAACAAGCCACCCTAACAACCCATGGGATGCAGGCGGGGTTGATGTATCCACAATGAGTTGCCCAGGAGACTGACCCTATCATGGGAACTGTGTGTGAACCAACCAGTGGCTCGCTTAGCAAAGTGGCAAAAAAAAGTTAATTTTTCCAGGTTTTCCAGCACACAAGTGCTAGCTGCCCCACAAGTGTCCAAGAGGCACTTGGGGGCAACTGGAACTGGATGGATGTCCCATGCCATGATTGTGAACAGTTTCCCAACCAGTAATAGCCCCTCCGATGTGCTGCTTGGGCACTTTTAAGGGACTATCAGTGGCTGTCAGAGTGTCCATGGCTATCAAGCTGGCTTTTGCAATCTCCAGGGAAAAAAGTTAGTGATTTTTAAAAGTTGCAGCAAGCGGAAAATGGCTTATAGTTGTGACAAGGGTGGGGAGAAAAGTGAGCCCCACTGTGGGGACCTCTGGAGTACCTGTGGGAGGACTGCGGAAGAAGGAGGGGTGAGAGGTGGCAAGCATCCCACAATGAGTCCTAACATCTGCCGGGTACACCGTGGCTTGTTCAGGGAACAACCAGCCCATCCTGGCTTATTGCCAGCATAGGCTGCCATGATGTGCAAACATGGTTTTTGAGTTCTTTAGTTTTCAGAGAGACAGCTACAGTCATGCTGTGTGGCCAAAACAGCAAAGAGTCTTGTGGCACTTTGTAAAGACTAAACCATCTTATTCCAGTAGAAGCTTTCATGGATGAGAGCCCATCTTGTCAGATGCAACAGTCAGATCTAGCTAATGGACTCTCATCCATGACAATTTCTCAGTCTTTAAGAAGAGTTTTTGTTGCTTAGAAACAAAGAAACAGAATGAGTCAGAAGGGGTCTCCTGGGCCATCTAGTCTGACCCCTGGCTCCAGCAAGCTCCACTCATGACATTTGCTTCTTCTTTTGCAGGCTTCTTGGCTTATTTCTCTCACTTTTTTTCTTACATGCTTCCCTCCCTGATATGCAAGTAGGGCATGCCCAAGCTACAGCCCATTACCACCATTACACAGAATATCCTGACTGCTTAACAAACCGTTTTCTTTCTCTTCCCCTGCCCAATTTGTTTGCTGTTCAGCTGGAAATTAGTACCAGTGTCCCCCCAGCACCACTGGCCTGTCAGACTCCATCTCTGGCCACACCCAGGGCTAGAGATGAAATTTTTACAGCATATATATTTGGCAGCTCCTTTTAAATACATCCTTAATGTATTTTTCCTTTTCCTCATGGAAACACCCTGAAAATTTAATAAAATGTTTTCTGTTTTTCTGAAGGTTTCTGCTTGCTTTCTCCAGAACTGAAGCATGATGTCAGTACTGTGTGAGTTCATTTTATATGGGTAGGAAATCCATTTCTCACAGCAAGTCTGTACCTTACTACAGCAAGGTCGTTTACTCTCAAATCCATTATCTGGAGGTGCACCATTAGAAGGAGGGTAGATTACAGTGAGAGACACCAAGAAAAGTAAATTTGGCTTTGGTCATCCGGACAGGACCTATGAAAAGGTGCCATTAGGAAGCTAATCCTATACAATAGCTTTACAAGGGAAAGCAAGCAAGGTGCCTTTACAGGGTTTCTATCACTTGAGAATTTGCCTTTATAAGGTTTCTGTCACTTCAGAGTTTGTATATTTAGCTAATAAGAGGGCCCCAGAAAAAAAGACTCAGGAAAAGTTACCTTTAGCCTTGAGATAAAGGAAAAGATTCAGCATCACACATTATACTATCAGTTTGTTCTCCAGATCGCAAATAAGGATTGGTTTGTGTCCCACTCTTAGCAGATTACAGCTTGGAGCAAGAAGCAGGGAAGCCATGGGAAGTCGGAGAGGAGGCAAGTGTTGCTTGGGCACGCCTGTGCTGACCAGCATATGCATCTTTATCTCTGACCTCCACAAGCCTTAGCTCAACCAGGGCTGACAAACAATATAGTGACAAGTCCACTGTCCCCCAAAGATACAGAGGCACCTCAAGGTGCGAGAAGGCAGATTCCAATTAAACTGTGATAACAAGATACATCAGACTTATCCACTGGCAAGATTCATGCAGTGTGCCATCATCCTTTTGGCAAGAGGATTAGGACAAGATGTGGTGGTACCAGCCAAGTATTTTTGTTTTGTTTTTCAAAGGACTGGATAAATTGATGCAGAATTTCTCAATGGCTATTAACCAAGATGATAACTAAATGGAAGTTACATGCTCAAAGAAACAGGGAGTTTGCCAGGTGCAACTTTTATTGTACAGTCATGGAATTTTATGGAGGTACAGACAATATCTTTTCGTTGTGACCGTGCACATTTTCCAACCACTTCTTTTGTATTTGTTTTCCAAAAAATAAATCTGTTAAGGAGGGAGAAGCAGAGTAGCAAGACAAACTTCCTAATTGCTGGCGCTAACAGCCCTGCATCTGGAAAGGCACGTGGTATTCTTCTGAGTACCAGATACTAGGATGCTGGGGTTAGGTGACAGGGAAGACCTGTGGCTGCGATGCACTGGCCAGGGTGCATAACTGATGCACAACTGGCAGGCAGTTAACAGAAACCAGTGAGTGTATTAGTCTCCACAGTTTTAGAGGGTTTACCCTAAAAGTCAGCCATAAATTTCTGAAATGCATAAATAAATAACTGTGCAGAAATCACTCCAGCCCATGCTAGCTTCTGTCATTTTGCATTTGACTCTGGACAATGGATCTTGGGTTTAAATCTACAATAGCAGAACTGGATGCGTTTCCATCTGTACATATGTGCATTGGTAGCAAAACTGTGATACCTTCACAACTGAAACGTGGCGTGTGTACTAAGTGGAAAATATGGGTGTGCACCATGGTTTCATTTTGTCATTAAGCCACAATAATTAACTTGAATTAATGCAAATGCATCCCTGTAGCTGAAGCCTGCAATAACTTCTTTAGCCACTAAGAACAGGCAGGTCTCCAATCAGCACATTGCTCTCCAGTCAATACCGTCTGAACCTAGAAGAGATTAGTCAACTGAGGGACAAAATTATATGCCTGACCACTTCCTGCACTGTAGGAAAGCCCCTCTGTCTCAGCTGCCAGGAGAATGAAATTGGCAGATCTTTCCCTGAGCAGATGATAAGAGTGTGCCATGGCAAGGGGAGTGTCCAGAGAGATTAACTGTGAATCTTAACTCGGGTTACTTTAGATCAGTGATTCCCAAAGTGGGCAGTGGAAAGCTCCAGGCTGGTGGTGAAAGGTGAGTTGTTGTTTTACATTTGCAGTAGAGCAATGCACCTGATACAAAGAAAGAGGCGGGGGAGAGGGCGCTAGGGTTGTTGCACAAGAGGAAAGGGGACAGCAGCCTGAAAATGTTTGGGGATCACTGCTTTAGATGAATGCCCAACCATTACAGGTACAGAAATGAGGCTATTCCAACCCATGGAAATCCAAGTCCATTAAAAAATTAAAAAAGACCAGTCAAGACCGGAGCCTGCCCTCTACACATACCTCATAAACAACAACCAGTCTAAGAAAAGGAAGACAAGAGTTCTCACCCCTTGGTAGTTCCCCTTTTTCTTCTCGATCGGCTCCTCCTCCGAACGTTGTTCTTGCTTTCTGCCCATCCCGTCTGTCTGAGGCAAGATGCCCATGCTGTGTTTCCTACCAAGAGGGAGGGGGCAGGATCCCATCGCAGGCGGAGGGAGGCTGTGGCAGGACATGAGGCCCAAGTGGAAAGATGGGAGATCAGATTGTACGCACAGGTCCTCCAGAGAACTCGCGTGTGCTAGAAGGAAGGGCGGCAGGGTCAGCCACATCAAACCACTTCAGCCGGGAAGGGATGCACCCTGATGTGCGGACATGGTGCAGGCTGTGACCTGAGGTGCTCTGCACACTGCCAGGGAATGGTACCACCTCCCGAGTGACCATCCTGCTCCTTCAGGCAAAATACTATCATGATAGACTAGCTGACCCTCCAAACCAAGGATTCAGGAAGTTTGGTCCGTGGGCCAAATTTGAGCTGCCTAGAGTCCCAAGCCAGCAATGCAGGGTTCCCCAGGTAGCCATGTCCCCTTTTCCTGGCCCAAACTAAACACCGATCAGTCGGTAGTCTCCCAGCTTTGGTCAATTTTTCCCTCCCCATTCCAAAAGGTTACAATGGCTCTCCTAAGGATTAGTTACTAGAAGCAAACCTTTGAAACTACAAGTTACTGGTAGTATTGGAATTCTGGCCCCACCCCTTTGCCTTTGCTCCCACCCCACAGACATGCTGTTCCTTTTCCAAAACTGATTTTGGCCCTCAAGCTGAAAGAGGCTCAAGGCCCCTGCTCTAAACGGGTCGTTTTGTGCATCCCATGAACCAGGTGTTCTCTGCAGTCCTGGCTACAATTTCCTTTTGATGTTGCATAATCATCTCAGGAAAGCAAGCATTACTGAAGCTGGGGCACTTGCTTCTGTGTGGAGCAACCTAATGGCCATGCAGAGACCAAGCAAGCCCCGTGTGTTCCATCAGCCACCCATTTATTCATTTGATTTATATCCTGCTAATTTTCTTACAAAGAATCCAAGCCACTTGTATCATTCTCTTTCTTCTCTAATCTTACCCCCACAACAACCACCCTGTGAGGTAGGTGGGGCTGAGAGTCTGTGACTGGCCCAAAGTCACCCAGTCGGCTCCATGGCTGAGTGAGGACTAGAACCCAGATAGTCCGAGTCCCAGTCCTGCACTCTTAACTACTTCACCACACTACACCCAGAGGAGAGGACTCTACCGAGCCATATAGAGGTTAGCCCTGTTTCAGCTGGGACTGACTGGGAGCTCCTTGGACTCTTGCCATTGCCATCTGCACCAATCCACCAGAAGCTGCAAAACTGAGGAGCATTCTCCCTTGGTGCCCAGCATGTCTCCATCCCTCCTCCTCCTTCTCTGCCTCTTCCTCCTCCGCCGCTGCCGCCTCCTTCTCCTGGCACCTCATTGGTTCCTAATGTCCCCAACTGGCTATAAATGTTTCCAGGTCTACTTGGAGCAATGTAGTGCAGTGAAGCTGCTCTGTACAGTCTGCACCTGCCTCATCCTCTTTGTCTGCTTCCTTCCATGTCCATGCAACCAGGCGGGGGTGGAGAAGGCCTCCCAGCACCAGCGCCAATTCAATTTCAAAGTCTCTTTGGGGGTGAGGGAAAGGTTGCCTTCCAAAGGTGGGCGAATGGAAGGCAAAAGTGTTAGAGTCAAAATGCAAAAAAATACCACCAAGATGCAGCTCAAAGCTGTCACTGTCAGTAACTAAGGCTGTAAGGAGTTGCAGTGTTTTAGAATGGGGAACGAAGTATACAGAAGCCAGGAAACCACCAGGAATCAGTGACCAGTGGAAATCAGGTGGCCATCTGGTAAACCCCAAAGAGCCAGACTTGGTCCCCAGGCCTGAGTCTGCCCACCCCTGCATTAAGGTTTGCCTTGCAAGAGGCCCTTCCCTGCACCCTTCGACCCTTACAGGTGTGGCAGGGGAGGATCATACACAGAACTTGCTTTTCAGTAGCATCCTTGGTGTGAAATGACTCCAGAGATCCGCTTGATACCAAGTGAGTTGTCCCTGCAGCATCAGGAGAAAACTTTCTCCTAGCCCTTTCAGCTGTGTGTTTTAAACCCCGCTTTCCTCTGGCCATGCTGTTGTAAGAGTCTATGTATTAGTTTTGTTTTTAACCCTCTTGCAGTTGATCTGCTTTTAAACAGGGAATTGCTCTGAGCATTTCTGCATTGTACTTTGGGTATGCAGTTCCTGCCCCCTGGACTTCACAGTCTAGAGCCAGATTGCAGGCCTTGCAGCGAACACCCTCTGCTCCTCACCCACCAAATGCCCAACTTCATGGGCTTGCTGGTTCTGAGGGGTGACTTCTCAGGGCTGCAGTGCCCCCATATGACTACCTCACCTGGCTCACCCACTTGCTTGCTGTTCCCACAAAACTCACCCTCCTGCTCTGCCGTGATGCCATGACGCAACCTGGTATTCTGCTGTGCGGCTGCCCTTGCTCCCGAAGGTATTTCGGCCACATAGGTGGCAGGCACAAAGAAGGGTCGCTTCTGCTTGCTCTGCCCAAGCCGCCGCACCTGCCACCAGTCCTCATTGGTCTTGTGCATGAGCTGGAAGATCTCGCCTTCTGCAATGCTCACTTGCCTTCCATCCTCAGACTTATACTGGTAGTCATAGAGGGCCTGGAGCATGACTGCTTCTGGAGAATCCAACGAGGACTCGCTTGGTGAGCGGCCGAATCCCTCCAGCAACCGCCAGCCAGATAGCATCTCATCAAGATGGAACGGCCCCAAAAGGATTAGCAACTCCAGGGGCAGAGAGAGCTGTCAGCTGCAGCAACCTATGCCAGGAACAATGGGACAGAAGGTTGAAATGTGGAACACACCGACCTCGACGTGCCTCTCAGGGCAGGCACGGCTTCTAGAGACACTGCAAGCAGCTGCTTGAGTGCAGTGTATTTTTTGCGACGTCCTATTTGTTGCATTACTGATAACAGTTCAGCAGTGTTGATCTCTTTTTCAGTCCAGGGGACAAATGCCATTTCAGAGAAATTTTGGGAGGTTGCATTCCAGTTGTGGGGCAGGGGGATGGAGAAAACAAAACTGGGATATTCTAGTGTAAAGCTTTTCCTGACTTAGGAGAGGCAGCTCAACTGTGTTGAATGAAGGGGGAAATTGCACAAAAGCCAGAAAGCCAGCAAGCAGTTCCTGACGGGTGGCTATTCAAGATTTGGCCTCTTGAGTTTGAAGCCCTGAGATCTCAAGCTAATATGGATTATTGCCATTCCACAGAAACTAGGATGTGTGCAAAAAGGATTTGCCCTCATAGTTCATAAAAGACCAGCAAAAGTGCAACTGTCCTTTGGCAGTAACTCAGACAAGAGCTGGCGGTTGTGCTGGAAAAAGCAGGATATGAACCCCTAGCAGCTGTTGGACCTCCAGCTGATGATCAGCACAGACAATTTTCTGATTGGTACAAAGTCATTTCTAAGGGTGGGGAGTATTCTATCCTGTGGCAATGCATTCCATAGGGTAATCAGCTTTGAATGGGAGGTGTCCCCCCTCCCTCTCCCTCTCCCTCTCCCTCTCTCTCTCGGAATACAGGTTCTAGTTAGCCCTTACAAACAATTTGTTTATTGCATTTGCAGCCTACTTGCCTCCTCCTGCCATCCATTTTAACCACAGTAGAAGGGTGAAACAGGTTAGGTGGAAAGAGAACCCTTAGCTCTACATCAGCCTGTGAAGTTCATAGTTGAATGGGTATTTCGGCTCAGGTTTCTGAGTGCTTCTTGGGCTTGTAGGCCAAGTCCTAAGAGTGTGTCACAGCCTGTTTCCAGGTAGGTTTCAGTGTTTCGAGATACCCAGAACCTCTCTGCTTGACCACCCTGTACCTCTGCTGCACTGCAGGCAAGTTTGACAGAGGGAGTGGTCAAATAATTATAGTTTTGTAATAAAAAATGAAAATAAAGGAGTGGAATAAGAGGGGGAAGCTGCTGTGGGAAGTGATAGCAGTGAAGGTGGGGGATGAATGAATGAAAGAAACTGACAGCTGGGTATAGGACAATTAAATGTGAAAGGAGAAGGGGAAACACAATGACAGGAGATGAGAAAAAATCCTTTGAGAGGAATGTGTGCAATGAAGGGGCAGAGGAGAAGGAGAAGGCAACATGACAACCCATTGTGGTTACAATCCCTAGACCAACCCATGGTTTATCATGTTTGGGTTTGCACAACAGAAGAATCCACTGTGGCTTATCACCCATGATAGTTCGTCATGTCACATATACCCAGTCAATATAAAATAAAAACTCTTCTTTACTTAAGAGCTTCTGTACCCACAAATTCTGCTTGAAGTGGTAAGGCCGCCATAGTACCAACCAAATGAATGTTCCTTCTTAACGTGTGGAAGGCTGAAATATGGACACACACACCCAACTAAAGAAAATAGTCGTAGCAAAGAATTTAGCCATTTCCAAAGTGGGGTCAATAAAAATTATAGCAGGATAGCAACTGATAATGCCAAATTTGTGGGTTAAACAACCCATGAATTGCTAGGATTCCGTGTGCATCAGGCCAGGGGAAAGACAAAAGTGCACCAGTGAGAAAGTGAGGGGACAGCTACGTAGCGGACTCCAGCTCCCAGCCTGCCTCCATGACACGGCACTCCAGACACCCTATGGCTGCAGTTTGCTGGGCCCGTAAAGGGCCACCGAGGCTTCAGAGTATGGATGGCCTTCAGGAGCTTTCCCCGACCTGCTCTCTTCCAGATGTGTTGGACTCACCATCTTCAGCCAGTGTGGCCGTGGGCAACAGGAGCTGTAGTCCAGCACATCTGGAGGGTACCAGATTGGGGACAGCTGGCGTTCAGAGTGCCTGCCAGATCGGCGAAGTGATGTGACATTAGTGCATGTGTGTATGCGTGTGTGGGAGGGAGGTCTGTCAGAAGTGTTGCCTTGGCCCTCTCCAGCTACCCGGAGTCTGGAAAAGTGGAAACCGCAACAGGCATGGTGCAACTGAAGAGACACTGCTCTTGCAGCTTGTTGCTGAGAGGGAACATGCAGCCACATGCAGGCAAGGGTGCCTCAGGGAAATCTGCTCCCCTTGAACAGGACTGGCCCAGGGAGGCGGTTTCTAGAACCCCTCAGGCAAACAGCCAACCTGCCTCTGCTCAGCCCCTGGGACTCCCCAGCATCTCTCCTGCCTGCATCTCCAACACAGCACTGGGAGGGAGGCAACCCCATCCAATCAGTTTTCTTCCAAGGCAAGGCCTTTCATTAAGCAGCTTCCCATGGACCAATCTATGCAATATATTTTTATATTTTATCATCTCTTTATTCTGCCTTTTTACCAGCAAGGAGCTTACACAATCCTCCGCGTTTTATCCCCACAACAACCCTGTGAGGTAGGTTAGGCTGAGAATCTGTAACTAGCCCGTAGTTACACTGTGAGCTTCATGTCTAAGTGAGGCTCAGCATCAGTACCACACGAGTCCCAGTTCAATGCTCTAACCACTACACCACATTGGATCTATATGTGACAGCTTCTAGATTGGGGATGGCCACCTTCTGGAAGTCTGAGGCCCACTCTGCACTCCAACTTCACTTTCCACAGGTCAGAATGCTCTTCTTCTTGTTGTTGTTAGTCGCGAAGTCATGTCCGACCCATCGCAACCCCATGGACAACATTCCTCCAGGCCTTCCTGTCCTCCACCATCCCCCGGAGTCCACTCAAGCTCACACCGACTGCTTCAGTGACTCCATCCAGCCACCTCATCCTCTGCCATCCCCTTCTTCTTTTGCCATCTACTGTTCCCAGCATTAGGCTCTTCTCCAGGGAGTCCTTCCTTCTCCTTAAGTGGCCAAAGTATTCGAGTTTCATCTTCAGTATCTGGCCTTCTAAAGAGCAATCAGGGTTGATCTCCTCTAGCACTGACTGTTTTGATCGCCTTGTGGTCCAAGGGACTCGAGGAGTTCCCTCCGGCACCACAATTCAAAGGCCTCAATACTTTGGCACTCAGTCTTTCTTATGGTCCAGCTTTCACAGCCATACATTGCAACTGGGAAAACCATAGCCTTGACTATACACACTTTGGTTGGCAGGGTGATGTCTCTGCTTTTTAGTATGCTGTCTAGATTTGCCATAGCTTTCCTCCCAAAGAGCAAGCATCTTTTAATTTCTTGGCTGCAGTCCCCATCTGCAGTGATCTTGGAGCCCAGGAAAATAAAATCTGTCACTACCTCCATTTCTTCCCCATCTATTTACCAGGAAGTGATAGGACCAGATGCCATGGTCTTAGTTTTCTTAATGTTGAGTTTGAAGCCAACTTTTGCACTCTCCTCCTTCACCTGCATCAAGAGGCTCTTTAGTTCCTCTTCACTTTCTGCCATGAGAGTGGTATCATCTGCATATCTGAGGTTGTTCATATTTCTCCCAGCAATCTTAATTCTAACTGGTGATTCATCTAGCCCCGCCTTTCTCATGATGTGCTCTGCATATAAGTTACATAGGCAGGGCGACAGTATACAGCCTTGCCGAACTCCTTTCTCATTTTTGAACCAATCAGTGGTTCCGTGTCCAGTTCTCACTGTTGCTTCTTGACCCGCATATAGGTTTCTCAAGAGACAAATAAGATGGTCTGGTACTCCCATCTCTTTAAGGACTTGCCACAATTCGTTGTGATCCACACAATCAAAGGCTTTAGCATAGTCAATGAAGCAGAAGGAGATGTTTTTCCGGAACTCCCTAGCTTTCTCCATGATCCAGTGTATGTTGGCAATTTGATCTCTAGTTCCTCTTTGAAATCCTGCCTGTACTTCTGGTAGTTCTTGGTCCACGTACTGTTGGAGCCTAGTTTGTAGGATTTTGAGTATCACTTTGCTAGCATGTGAAATGAGTGCAATGGTGCGGTAGTTTGAACATTCTTTGGCACTGCCCTTCTTTGGGATCAGAATGTAAACTGTCCTTTTCCAATCCTGTGGCCACTGTTGAGTTTTCCAAATTTGCTGGCATATTGAGTGTAGCATTTTTACTGCATCGTCTTTTAAGATTTTGAATAGCTCAGCTGGAATACTGTCGCCTCCACCAGCTTTGTTTTTGCTCAGACTTCCTAGGGCCCATTTGACTTCACATTCCAGGATGTCTGGCTTGTGGTCAGTTTCCACCCCATCGTGCTTATCAGGGACATTAAGCTCTTTCTTGTATAGTTCTTCTGTGTAATCTTGCCACCTCTTCTTACTCTCTTCTGCCTCTGTTACGTCCCTGCCATTTTGGTCCTTTATCATGCCCATCTTTGCATGAAACATTCCCTTCATATCTCCAATTCTCTTGAAGAGATCTCTGTTCCTCCCTATTCTATTGTTTTCTTCTATTCCTTTGCACTGTTCATTTCAGAAGGCATTCTTATCTCTTCTAGCTATTCTCTGGAATTCTGTATTCAATTGGGTGTATCTTTCTCCCTTGCCTTTTGCTTCCCTTCTTTCCTCAGCTATTTGTAAAGCTTCCTCAGACAGCCATTTTGCTTTCTTGCATTTCTTTTCTTTGGGATAGTTTTAGTTGCTACCTCTTGTACAATGTTGTGAACCTCCGTTCATAGTTCTTCAGGCATTCTGTTTATCAGATCTAATTCCTTAAATCTATTTGTCACCTCTACTGTATATTCATCAGGGATATGATTTAGGTCATACCTGAGTGGCCTAGTGCTTTTCCCTACTTTCTTCAATTTAAGCCTAAATTTTGCAACAAGAAGCTTATGATCTGAGCCACAGTCAGCTCCTGGTCTAGTTTTTACTGACTGTATAGAGCTTCTCCATCTTTGGCTGCAGAGCACATAGTCAATCTGATTTCTGTGTTGACTGTCTGGTGATGTCCATGTGTAGAGTCGTCTTTTGGGTTGTTGGAAAAGAGTGTTTGCTATGACCATCGTATTCTCTTGACAAAATTCTACCAGCCTGTGCCCTGCTTCATTTTGTACTCCAGGGCCAAACTTGCCTGTTATTCCAGTTATCTTTTGGCTTCCTACTTTAGCATTCCAATCCCCCATGATGATAAGGACATCATTTTGGGTGTTAATTCTAGAAGGTGTTGTAGGCCTTCATAGAACCGATCAACTTCAGCCTCTTCAGCACCAGTGGTTGGGGCACAGACTTGGACTATTGTGATGTTGAATGGTTTGCCTTGGATTCGAACTGAGATCATTCTGTCATTTCTTCTGAGGGATTCTTGCCCGCAGTAGTATACCTGATGGTCATCTGAATTAAATTCACCCATTCCTGTCCATTTTAGTTCACTGATTCCTAAGATGTCGATGGTCAGTCTTGTCATCTCTTGTTTGACCATGCCCAGCTTTCCTTGATTCATGAATCTTACATTCCAGGTTCCTATGGAGTATAGATCTTTGCAGCATCGGACTCTCCTTTCAGCACCAGATACATCCGTAACTGAGCGTCCTTTCGGCTTTGACCCAGTCGCTTCATTCTTTCTGGCGCTACTAGTACTGGCCCTCTGCTCTTCCCCAGTAGCATATTGGACACCTTCCGACCTGTGAGGCTCATCTTCCGGCGTCATATCTTTTTGCCTTTTGGTACTGTCCATCTTTCATGACAAAGATACTGGAGTGGGTTGCCATTTCCTTCTCCAGTGGATCACGTTTTGTCAGAGCTCTCTGCTATGACCTGTCCGTCTTGGGTGGCCCTGCACGGCATAGCTCATAGCTTCATTGAGCTACGCGAGCCCCTTTGCCACGACAAGGCAGTGATCCATGAAGGAGCAGAATGCTCTACCCCACTTATAATGCAAACTTTATAAGCATGCATTAATTGGAGCATGCCTTCCCCCTCAGCAGCCTGCCCAGTCGCTGAGGTCATTGAATGATACACTCCTGCTGTTCCCACCTAGGCCTGAGGTCTGTTTCAAATCCGCTTTTCATGTTTTGGTTCCCTCCCTGTGGAATTTCCTGCCAGCCAGATGCCAGCCATGATTCGTTTTTGGCATCTGCTGGAAGGCAATTTTATCTGAACAAGCCTTGCTGGAAGGGCCAGCCAAGTGTTTATTGCCTAACCTGATTTCAAATGTTCTATTATTTCCTAGCTTGATGCTTTTTTGCTTCATTATTTGCCACTTGGGAACAATATGGAGCAGTTTATAAATTTCAAAAAAAGTAGGAGAAAGCTTTCTACAGTTATCAAGCGCATGTGCTCAGGTAGCATGGGAGGCAAGCTGAGGAATGAGTGCATTTCCTAAAGGTGAAGGCCAGTCACCCTTGCAGGTGTGTCTTTGTTTCCACAAAGATGCTGTCAGCATCCAAGTCCACTTCAGGACCCTAGGGCAGGACTGAGACCAGAACTGACGCCTTTTTTCTGGCCTGGTGCTTCAAGCAGCACCTGATGGCTGCCTCTGCCTTTTTAATTTCTTACCATGACTCTGATGTCATGTCACTCTGGAATACTATCGGAATTTGAAATGGTGGTTCCCCCACCAGTTCCCTGGCATCACTTTAAATACTGCTGCCATCTGGCACCATGACTGGGCAGGCCTGCCAGGGCTCAGCAACAGAAGCAGGACTGGCTTTTTCCCTTTGCTTTTTGCTGTTCTTCTGTGTTCGTGAAATAACAGTAGTAAACAAATTATAAGAAATGCACGTGGGAATTTATGGCTTCCTTCACTTACAAGCTGGACCTTTCTCCTTCATGCACATTGACACCCACCTTGATTAAAATTGGATAAATCCTGTATGACATTGGATAAAAGGGATTTGGTAGCCCATGGGCTACCAGATAGTCATGCTGGATCTGGACTGCAAATGTCAAATGCTCCATGCAGCAAATAAGATCAGTTCAATTCATGTATGTGAGTTTGATACCTATCCGCTCCCATTCTGATTTCAGAATAGCAAGACAGCCTTCAAATATGCAGTTGCTTTCCCTGTTGAATCAGTCACTGCCATAAACTAGATAACCTCTTTCTCCACACTATGCAGGACTCTTTTAGTGCTTGAAAGTTGAATGAAAATATAAGACTGCAATCTTCCACTGTGCATGAATGGATGTAGGGGAGAAGCAGCACTTCATAACTAGACGGTGACCTAGTTCATATACCATGGTGAAAAGTTATCCCACAAATTGTGGTGACATGCAGAGCATGCAAGTCACTTCTGGTCTGAACAAACAACTGATGAATAACCCATTCCTTGCTTGTTAGTGTGACCTCTGAATCAAGACATTCTGAGTTATGGGTTAAAACAATCCAGAATTAACTCAACAACAAATCATAAGTTAACTCTGAGTTGTTTAACCTTTAACCAACCAGAGGGTCCAGTTTTGGACATCAAACTAACAACTTAGCAAGAGATTGTGTGTATATTCATACTGAATACTTCGTCCACGAGGGAGCCACCACATTTGGCACACTGCTATTGTGCTCACGGTGTTACTATTCTTTAAATTATGGGTGGGTGAATTGCTGTCTGTGGGCTGCATTTGACTTCTGGGCCCTTTTTGTGACCACCTTCCTGCCTTCTTCAAATCACCCTGGCATTGCTTCCAATTTTCTGCAGTATTGGTAAGAAACAGGCAAAAAAAAAAAAAAGAATTGTGGTCTTTTCACACCTCACTTTAGGGCATCTAATATCATGCACCTCTGCCCAGTCCCCAACGCTTGGCTGCTTCTGGTAGGAGCCAAAACAGAGCCAGGTGCAGAACCCTAGGCCAGAATAAGCCACTGGGTATTGCAACCTCAGGCTCATGTTAGAGGAATCGATCAGCTAGGATCAATTGGACCGGTTCCTGTGCAGAGAAGGCAGGGAGACAAATTTGCAGACCCCAACTGCAGGCCTCCTTATCGCCTCCTGCCTGAAAACCTTTATAGGGGCCAGGAAGCCTTACCCTTGTCTGGCAAAGCAGTCCACAAGATGGAGGTTCTCGATCTAAGGCAAGCCATGCTGAGAGCTAATTCTGGCTAACAAATGGGTTAAAATACTTTAAATATATCATAGATATGATTGATTGATTGATGCCTCAGTTTTAAACTGTAGCAAACATTTTTGATTGCATGCAACACTCAGTGCCTTATTTACATTGTTTTCTGAGTCATAAAAAGTGTATACTTATAAGATTCAGGTAAATATTTGTAAGCTGTCCAGAGATGCACAAGGTTTTGGACGGGGTTAAAAAATACCCAAATAAATAAATAAATAAATAAATAAGGGTATTACTGGACAGTTTGCAACATGCTTGACGTTCAGAATTGTGGGTGCTTGTCTAATTCAGCTGCAGATGAATATCATCATGCTCTGTGTTTCTCTCTCTGCAACCAACAGAGGAGGATGAGTCATAGTGGCACCGTTGACGGACAACTAGCGATACCAAGATGGAGTCTGGGGGTTCAAAACGGAACCCGAAATAGATGGACTGAGCAGGCTAGTAGGCAGGTCCATTAGCAGGTGTAAGAGGGCCCTCATTCATGGATAGATACATGGCCACGGGATAACTTGGCAACCACGGCAGGCTGCAATATACCACTGTTTTAAACTTCCCACAATGCCCCAGAGAGATGTTATGTTGGTGGCACTGTGGGAAATTTATAACGGCAGCTCTCAGATTCAGCGCTCCAGCATGGAGGGGGTGGCCTCAACACTGGTGGGCCTTTGCCAGATGCTAAGGGGATGGCAGCTACCGAAGGGGCTGATACCAAGCCTGTTAGTAAGCCACAAAACAGAAGCCCTGTCTCCAGCCTAGCAGTTCTTCCCTAACAAGGAAACTGACCTCGTAAAAGTCTTCCCCACTGAAACTTTCTACTGTCTGAGAAGTGGGAACTTGAAACCATATTCAGTTGGGGCTAAAAGGGAACTCAGGGTTGACCCCAACCTTCTGCATTTCTTCTTGCATTGAAGTGTGCATTTCATAGCTCCTGGCTTTCAGTGGACCCCTCTGCCCCACTATTTTTGAGGTCCTTTTCCATTGAAGCTGAACACAGGAATCTTACCCAACCAGTCCCCCCAAAGAGAAGCTCAATCATAACAGAAAGGACAGCACAGAAGAGTTATATTTACCTGAATGTCCATCAGAGTGAGAGATGATATTCCTGGAATCGTGGGTGTTTGCACTCCCAAATCCACTCTATTGTCCTGATTTGCATCTCTTATGAAGTTAGGGTAAAAAATGAAGCATTTTGTTTAAATTAATCTGGTGCATGAGGCACAAAGCGTATCGTATGTACGCTTTCAGAGAATGGTTTCCTGTAGGCTGCAGCTCGAGCCTCTTTGTTCACGTGCCATAGAAAGCAGGAAGGAGGCACTGTCTCTGACCCACAGGCCCGTTATGAAAATGTATATGCATTTTTTTAAAGTGTAGGCTTTGTACACCCTATTAAGCCCAGGCTTACTTCTGCGTGAACGTGCTTAGGATCAGGCTGATCACAGATTTAATTATAACTGCTTGTTTGCAAATCATACAACTTATCTGTCTCTACTAAAGCATTAACAAAGAATACAGCCCACCTCGGATCCTAATCTTGCCCTATCAGATTCACCAAACAGTAGTAACTTGTTCTTCTGACCTCACCCTCTTTCCCCCAACCACTGATTCTTGGGTGGTTTCCTGCTTGCTGTGCAGCTTTTTCACCATCTTAACAGTTCCAAATGCTTCTACTAAGGCTTAGCTACTGGCAGCAAGAGCTTTAAGTTCCAACATATTATTTTTGCAATTTGGTTCTGGAATCCTGCAACTTTTGCTCTTGTTTCCTTGTCTTTGCCTGCTGCCAGCACTAGAATATTCCACCCCAATACACACACACACACCCCTCTTAGATTGAATTCAGTTCCCTAGAGGAAAGAGGTTCCCTTGGAAGAAAGCCTCTGCATACCATCATCAGCCCCCTTATACGCACGCACGCACACACAATTAAACTCCTTTCTTTGGAATGTCAAGTGGAAGCAATATAACTACTATTCCCTATTATGATTTTCCAATGTTCGATAAAACATGGTTAAGAGTGCAGGACTGGGACTCAGGCAATCTGGGTTCTTGTCCCTGCTGAGTCATGGAACCAACTTGGTGACTTTGGGCCAGCCACAGACTCTCAGCCCAACCAACCTCACAGGGTTGTTGTGGCGTTAAGACTAAGAGCTGGAGAAGGAGACTGATGCCTTGAGTTCTTTAAAAAAAATAAAAGGCAGGATATAAATCAAATAAACAAAATAAGGAAGGAAGGGTGAGTGAGTGAAGTTCTGTCAAAGTGGGGGACTCTATACAGGCTCTGAATTTCTTATTGTTTAGCTTAATTTATTTGAAAAGGGATTTACTGTATAACATAATATACTCTACTACAGGCATACTCAGACATATTATACTCTGCTGTAGGCATACTCTTAAAACAACAAAAGCTGTTTCATTGTTGTGATCTTCACTAACATGATGAGGGAGCGAGCCCATGGCCTCTAGACAGCATCTAAAAGATGGGGCAGGAGTTTTAGGATTTGGAACTGGAGTTGGAAATCGGAGTTCCACACCCTCCCTTTTGCAGCTAACCCAGAAAGACTCATGCGGACGGCTTTCCAAAATCAAAAAATGGAGGGGAGGGGAGGCAGTTGGGGAGGTCAGGAGGTAGCCTGCAATTAGTCTCCAGCTTCCACCCCCCCCACCGCCCGCAAGAGACTCAACCTAAACAATGCAGGGAATTGTAGAATTTTTTCCCTGTTTAAATATGGAAAGGATTGTGCTCTAAAGTGACTAGGCTTAGAATGCAGACCTATGATTTTACACAAACACTATAAAATGGTATGAAAATGACAGAAGGGGAATGGGGAGGTTAAAAAAAATAGGAAATGCAAATATGACCAGTTTCACAAAAGAGAGGCACTCTGCAAATGCTCTGAGACACTCACTGGCCTGGTTATCTGTATTATCTTAGAATAAAATTGCCAGTGTACGATAGAGATCTGCACGGAGCCCAATGTACTGTGCTAATTCTTCACCCTAGCAACATTGACCTCAAAGTAAGAAGTCTGCACAGTCCTGACTTCCACCCATGAACCCTCTATGATCAAGTGTGACAAAAATGGATAGGAAACATCATACACATGTAAATAAAGCAGGGCAGGGGTACGTGCGCCCTGTTATTGCAGTATCTTGCAGTATTAAAATACTACTCTCCCTGCAAAAAAAACATTATCCTGCTGAATTGAACGAAGTTGCTCCTCCCTTAACAAACAAATGTATATGCAGAAACAGAGAACCCGCCTTAGAATATATGCAAATTAGCATATGCAAATTTATGGGGGCTAGATCCTGGGGGCCTCAGCACCGGCTCCTTCTGGTACCTAACACCGCCGCAGCTTTGGAGATCCTTATGAATAATTTAAATATACTCTTTCCATTCTCGGCCCCTTTCCGTTCTCCTCTCGTCCCCTCCACAACTTCCTGTTCCGTGCGCCATGCATACCGGGAGATGTAGTCCACGGTATGGGGGAGGGGAAGCCGGAAGGCGCGGGGATTGAGAGCGCATGTGCAAGCGCCGGGGTTGGCGTGGAAGGGAGGGTTGGAGCGACCGGCTTCTTCGCAAACGTGGGCCAGGAGGCGGCGGCTGGCCTTAGTAGGCAAGAGCCGGGCGCGTTGCATCAGCAGAACGTGCTGGGAAGCGAACGGGAGGACGGAGCATGAAGCTGTTCCTCAGCAAAGGCAGTCCTGGGGGGCTGAAGGTGCTGGCGGCCGCCCAAGCCACCGACGCCCCTGTGGAGCTTCGGTGGCTCCCGCAAGATGGTGAGTGCCTGTGAGGGCAGCGATCGCGGCTGGCTCGGGGGCTGCTCCCTTCCTGGAAGGACCCAGTGTTATTCATCGAAAGTAGCCCCTCCTTGCCTTTTTACCTCCCAAGCGGCTGGCGTGAGAATTTTCTGACATAAAACTAGAAACAACCCAACGGCAGAATTAAACAGATGTTGCCACTGTAAGAATCCCTTGCCCCCATCTGCTCCTCGTCTTTTTGCAAACATCTAATCGCATTCTTATTTTAAGGGCTCTGCTGTCCACCATGCCGCCTCGCGACTTCAGCACCGCTTAACCTAGATTAGTTATGGGCTTTTGTTATCTTCTACCTGCTTGGATGTGGCAGGTGGGATGGGGAGATCGGAGAATCAATCCTAAACCACTAGTGGTTATGATTATGGAATCAGGGTGTAGTGGTTCTTTTGGATTAAGAAAAATTGGAACTAAAAAGCATGAACTTACATATAGTATTTCTTGTATATTTTGCATCTCCTGTATTTTATTTTTGGACAGAAACCTCCCCCCCCCCCACTTCCCTGTGAAGGTAATCTCTACTATGGAGTGGCAGGGAAGATTCTTCTGTGTAAGCAGTAATTCTCTGAACAGTCATGTGGCAAATAGGTGTTTAACAGATGAGACTTTCCCCAATGTCTGGTCTTAAGAGAAGTTTTGCCTGCTGAATTTGGGCTTTTTGTGCAGCTTTCAAAAAAGCAGGAACTCTTCCAGGAAAAAACATGTCCATCTTTGCAAGGAAGGGAAAAGGATTTTTGGGCAGCAAGAACAGAAAAAGCGGCAGGACCCTCAGGATGCTATATAATTTTTCTCCAGCATAACACATTCACACTTGCTTTCTCAGTGGGCCTAGAGTTTGTCTTCCTGAACAGAGAAGTGACTGAAACTTGTAGTATATTGAATAATACAGTGGGGGGAGGGCACATTGGGGGAGATGAACTTTTCTCCTAATTTGTGTATTTTTTTTCCTTACCAGCTCATGTAGTCCCATTTCTCACCCAGTCAAAGCTGCCAGCTCTGCAGCTGGACAAAGGGTCCTTCCTCTTCTCCACAAATACTATTTGCCAGTAAGTATGAGGAGTGGGGCCCTCTTTTCTCAGATAATGTTATTTAAACTGTGTGTATATTGTGTCAACATATAGAGTAACAATGAATAAATAAAGATTGGGGATATAGCTGCCTGGAGCCTTCAGTCCCCTTGCCAAAAGAAAAGACTTGATGTATGTTGGGAATTAAGCAGAGATGGGCAGCTTGTGAATCTCCAGATGTTTTGGCTTATACCTCCCATCATCCCTCACCACTGGATGTGCCAATGGAAATCACAGGCCCAAGTATTACAAAATGTCTCAACTGACAGGCCAAAATATCTCCAAGTTATTCCAGCATGAATCATTTCAAGAATGATTTGTTAATTGAGCAACAACTAGCATTAGAACCTACACTTTCTATTTGAGAGTCTTGGACATGGGTGTGTTCTTTTGGATTGCAATATGTGCATTGGTTTTTGAGCCACATAGCTACTGTACCCTTAATACTTAATTGAAATCACCTGAATGTTGAAAAGTATCAGATTAGTTTTTAAGTTTCTTAATACTTCAAGCTGGTTATTAAAAATAACTGGATTGGTGAAAGACAAGGTGAAAGATACTGCTGGTAAATGACAAGTTAGGAGCAGCATGTAAATGTCTTAAGGGTGTGATTCAGAAAGCTTTTGCAGACTCACTGAGGTCCATCCTCCTGCAGAATTCCTGCCACTGAGAGCTGGACCAAGTTTTCCTCCCAGTGGAGTGTTTTTATTTCTTCTCCATAGGAACTCGCTTACATGGGTGAAAGTAAAAGTGTATTCTTGGAGACGCAATTGGGGTGGACACTCCCTTCTGGTGGGGACCCCTGCCACTGAGCATCAAGCTTGTTTTGAGCTGCATGGCACCTATATGTGTTGTATTTCTTCGTTGCATTAAAGCGTGATGAGCTATTGAGAGAATGGGCTGCCTCCTTTTATCTCAGCAATTCACTGCAGCGGAAGCAGCAGTGCTCTTCTGATTAGATGACTCAGCATACAGAAAAATAATTATTATACATTTCTAAGCTCCCCTTCAAATGTTAAATAATGAATTCCAATGTGATATACAAAACATAAACAATGCATATTTATGAATGCAATAATATAAAAACCATCATAAGAAGAAAATGGGATGAAATGGGAAGAAAATGGGATGAAATATTGGGAACCCATCTTCATAAATGGTCCAACACTTGAACTACTCTCAGTTACATTGGAAAATGTTCATTTTACATCGGAAAATCACTAGAAAGTGAATTAATTTAGTATGTTTATTGAATAGAAGTAAAAGAAACAACAGAGCTTTAAATTAAATTATCCCATGTTAATTTCAGGTCAAATACAGTGCAGGTATTTTGACCTGATATATTTGAGAGAAAAAATAAAGCAAATTTATGTGCACAATTTTGCTGGAATATTTGTGAAAAATATAAAGACAAAAGCATGTACTTCCTTTACATTGTTTAAAGTAAGAGAGAACCAGATGCTGAAAAATGTTGATGTACTAATCCAGTCGTCCCTCTCCTGGTGCCCTCTGGATATTCCAGATGACAGTTCACAGCATTCTACAGTCCATATGGCTGACTGGAGACTTTGGGAGTTGTCCAAAACATCTCTGGGGCATCAGGATGGCCAGGGATGCACTAACCCAAGTAACTGTGCTTACAACTACTAATCTGTTTCAGTAGAGACAGCTCTCTTCTGGTAAGGCCTATGGGGCATCTTCAGTTTTACTGTTGCTGCTGATTAGTTACATTTCACATTGAAACTTACATATATTTATTTCTTTCACATACATTCCGGGGGCAGTCACTTGTAAGGCATTCCTTACAACTTGGAAACGGCCAAACTTGCCTTGTACTGTGTTTGCAATGACCATCCATTCATTGTTACTAGTGAGTTTACAAGGAGCTTTTTCTGCAGAAAATGTCGGCCCCAAATCAGTGGCAGTTGTGCTTGGAATTCTGGAGTGGAAGGTACTAGCAGTGGCCGCTTCAAGAAGGTCCCTCCTGCTTGAGCATATGCTCTTTTATAGCATTCTCTTCCAGATTGTCTTTTAAAGGCATGTGAAGTGTGAAAACACTCTGTTTATCTTCTAGGTACTTCTTCCATTTATCTGGAAAAGAAATGAGTGATTTGGGCCTGGAGCAGAGTGATTTTTCCAATCAGGTGTTGGAGTGGGATGCAACTGAGCTGGAGGTGGGTGAAATGCCAGTGTGTGTCCTGTGTGGGTGTGGGGCATAACTTTGTGAGCGCCATCCCTCATGACAGCTGGATCAGGCAGTGAAAGGACGGCTACGTGCCTAGGCACTAAGCAACCCCATAGCCCTCCAGATGATAAATGACTCCAGTTCCCATTGGGCCTGTCTGGTGTAGTTCAGCAGCACCTAGAACTCTATAGGTTTCCAAGCCATGATATACACAGAGCCCTCTTAGATGAGGCCCTGGCTCCGTTGATTGCACTGCCAAAATGGTCATATGGTAGGGTCCATGGTGGGCTTCTGTCTTGCAGGAGGGCTGCGATGGCTCTCTCTATGCTTCTGGGCCATGAACAGGCCAGCTAGAGTGGGAGAGCACGTCCCCCACCACACGCAACACTGATTGCCCTCCGTTTAGCCCTTTCTCCCTCAGTGGAAATGATAGCCTTTCTCACACTGAAAAGAAGACAAAGAGGCTCTGTTTAAGGATGCCTTTATTTACCTATTTGACTTAACATTCTGTGTTATTAATCCCATCGGCCTCACCAAGCAAATTACAGCAAAAAGGCCATTGGCTTGGAGGCCAACACTGAAAACTGCCGTCAGTAACTGAAGTGTTGTGTGTGCTTGGGAGGGTTGTCCCTCTCAACTCTGTCCCAGATTGCGCCTCTACAGCCCAACAAATCCCTTATCTCTTTTCTTAACTCACCCCTGAGCTCCTTTTCTTACCTACACTACTCAGAAGTGTGGAGGAGACAGAGCACAGGATCTCTCTCTCTCTCTTTCCCTCTCCCCCTCTCTATGCGTGTGTTCATGCCTGAGTGGCATTAAAGGGATAGATGGCCTGTTTGGGGAGCTCAGTGTGTCTGTCTGCCCTGCATAAAGGGGTGCCCCCACTGCATGTGTGAAATCTACCCTGTGAAACTGGTGAGCTCAGCTACTGAGTATGAAGCTCATGTCTCCCTGTTTGCCCACCCATGCTGCCCTTGCCTCTTCCTCACTCCCAACATACTGTACAGTGCACTCTGTGTCTTGGGCACTCTGCACTGTACAGTATGTTGGGAACTGGCTTTCATATTTCAGGTGATCCACTGCTATCAATATGTGCCATTCTTTTCTCAGGAAAGCCGTATTTTCAATCTTTGTACTGCTGCCAGGGCCTACCCTGACTCTTATATGGTAGTTTTAACCACTTAAATTGCTGTACTACTTTTTATGCTATTAAATGGGTAAACTACCCAGAGAGCCTCAGCTATTGGGCCATATGAAAATGCAGATAGTAAGTAAATAAATACTATCCTAGGAGGTGGCAATCTTAAACATTGAGCATGGGTGAAAGACAACAAAAGGAGAGGGGGAAAATCTTATTCTGCCTTTTTTCTTCTGCATTCTTCTTAGCCTGCTTTGTCTGCAGCCTTGTATATTCATGTGGTGCAAGGAAAGAAGGGCGAGGAGGTTTTACAGATCGTCCAGAAATCACTAAACTACATTGACCAGATACTTACCAAAAGGGGCACTCCTTATCTTACTGGGGTAAGTAAGGAAACCGCTGTACTGTAGACTGGTTATAACTGGCTCACATCCAGCTAAGAGTAAGCCCAGTGGTAGGGACATCAAATATTGGTGAATTGTTGGCCTTTGGCAAAATTGATTTTTAAACCATGGCATCTGGTTTTGTGATATTCATGTCCCAAGGAGGATCAGAGAGAAAACTAGAATGGCTTACAGTTTCACTTAGAGCTCAGCTCTGGCTTTTGAAACTTTTGGAAGCATTACAGGTGCATGTACAGGCCTCTTAGGACTAGAAGTTTGTTCTTTCAAAAAAGAAAGAAAACTGACATTTTCTGCATGTTGAATTCTATAGCTAGTCCAATTCTTGTGTTTGAACAATAAGATACCTGTTTTGGGAAGGGGATTGGGCTGGAGTGGTTTTCTTTCTGTTGTGTTTGATGGAGTGTATTTAAAAACAGTTATCACTGTATATAAAACTTTCAAAATACATGAATTAAATTTACAGTGTGATGTATGCAATATAATAAGCAGAAGTTGCTATTGCTTTACTGATTTCTCCTGTTGCCTCTGTAAATTGCAGAGCAGAGAGTTTGGCTTTAATATTATACTTGTGTCACTGAAAGGGTGTGTTTTGTTATAACATTTAAAGCAATGCCTTGAACTATAAAATAAGGATTCAAGCTGCACCCTTTCATCCACACCTCATTTTCTCTGATATTTTCACCCAGGATGCTGAGTCAGCTGCTGATGTTGTCTTGTGGGGATCCCTGTTCCCTCTGTTAAGGGAAGAATCTATCTTGCCAGGTGAGGGCTGCTGCCAGAAACTTCAAGGTGTTATTTTGTGGCACATAGTTTAATGCAGTGGATGGTGACTCTTCCACCTGGAGTTGTCTGGATGGACTCCTTTTTGTGGTTCTGGCTCCCCATCTCGACCTCTTTCTCTTACATTTGTGGAAATAGTTCTTCATCTCACATGTGCCTCACATTGATGGAAGCACAAGGGTGCTTGTCCCAGACAGGGGCAGGCCTCTTGTGGTCCATCATATGTTTTCACCTAAAAATCTTAGGTATCCCATGTCATTGGCTGTGCTGCCTATGTTGTAGGCCAAAACAGCTGGAGGGTCACGAGCTGCCTGCAATAGACCTAGAAATAAATTATTTTCTCCTACCCACACCATCAGACCATCTTTTCTCCATCAGGACATCTTCTGTGGAATTCTTGTGAGTTGTAGGGGATTCTGGGGCACCACCTGCTCACATGAAGCACTGGCCAGGTTGGTTCAGCCTCACTCTTGCTTCTGAGGGTGCATCCCAGGAGATGCCTAACACATTCTTGCGGCTACACATTTCAGGGAAAGATGAATAGTGGTAGGCAAGCTCCATATTTGGAGGAAAGATTTTCTGCCACTACTGAGAACCTCCTGATAGGTTTCCAAAGAGTTGCTGAGGTGCCTAAAATCACAGTTTGGAAGTCAGAGATAAATGTATACTAACTAGTGTTTTGAGGCTATTTGGCTTCCTGTGTATGTTTGAAAATCAATGCCATAAAAATTAACCTGAATTATTATTGTTAATACATGCATATCCTGCTTTTTCCTCTTGCAAGGAATCCAAGGTGGCTTTCATGGTCCTTCTTCCCTCCACTCTATCTCACAACCGCCCTGTGAAGTAGGTTAGACTTAGAGGTAGCAACTGACCCAAATTCACCCAGAGTACTTCATGGTTGGGTGGGGACTAAAACCTGGGTCTTCCCAATGCCAACACTCTTAACTGCTATCCTTCACTAGTTGTAGCCTCAGCACCATATCAGGGTGCTTTCTACCATGCCTACCTTGTTCAGTTGGCCTTCTGCTGGCTGGTCTACTCTTCCAGCTAGTTTTGAGGCAGCAACAGGAGCTTTGATACAGCCTAGCAAGTAGGCCTAGCAGTTCTTGTCCCTGACCACGGTATGATTCCATCAGTGAATGTGATCTTACAGAATACCAAACTTCTAATTTTAAGATGAATTGAAAGTTCTGCGGAGATGGTTCCAGAACATGAACCTGAAGGAGCACTGCAAGAAGGCTGTTGAATCTGTATGGACACCCAAAGGATTGCTGGAACTTAAGGCATATCTGCAAAAACATCCTGCTCCCAACCTGGTATTTGAGCAGCCTGCAACTAATGAGCCAAAGGTACTGTTCCTTTTCCTGCAGCTACTTCAAGAACGGGGTCTCAGGCTTTCAAGCAGTGCTAAGCTGTTTGTGGATCATACCACATTGGACTGGAGGTGGGGGGATTGCCTGCTTGAATATGTGTTCATTTACCAAAGTTCCCAAACACATAAAAAACTAGCATAGCCCAGAGCAGTTTGAGCTCAGATTCTTTCTCCCAATATCTCATTTAAGTGTGCAGAATGAGTTTTATAGAGGAGTCTTCAGTCATGCAGTTTTCCTCCACCTGCAGTTCAGGTATAGTGCTATCACTTTTTATGCCCTTGATGTGAGCTGTTAATGAAGATAGCATCAGGTGCTCGTGCCTGCATTTTAGGCAAAGTTATTAACTCCTGCATTAAAAAACCGGAAGTGTATATGGTATCAATTTCTTCCTCCCTCTGCATCATAGGGATATCCCATCATTCTCTGCTGCTCTGGTTTCTTTCTATGAAGGAGACGGAAGCACTCTGGGTAATGTAGGCCCTGTTGAAGTAAAAGAAATATGTACTCTATTTAAACAAGGAGCTTAGTGAGAAACAGGCAATAAAGCAGTGCTGTTACACTCATGTTTATTTGAGCATTGCCAAAGCTTGCATTCATTTCCCATCTTGCTTTGGAAGCAGTATTCTACTTTATGTAAGGAAAGCAGTTCAAAATGGGCTACCATTATAGATTCGGCCTTTATGTAGTAAGGGTATTCTGGTTTGTGAACTGGGGCCTTTCTACTCCGCATGAATATTACAAAAAATGATTATGGCTCCAGAGAATTTCTATTTGAAGTACCAGACTGGAGCCTACAGATGACATGTGAAATCTTCTGCTGGTTAAGTAGCAGACTGTTCAAATGTATCCTTTGGTCAGGGTACCTGTGCCCCTTCAGCCTCTTGCATTTCGAGGGGCAGTAGCTACTTGCAAGACTGACAATTACTTATATGTATCTGGTGAGGTGGATCCTGTCTATGCAAGCTTGTCCCAGAATATGCAGTATTCCAAGAAAGACGCTTGCATCTCATCTGTTTGTGAGAACTAGGCTGAAATCATTGACTAGATCTTGTATCAGGTACAGATTCCTCTGGGAAATGGTATTTGAAAGAATGGCAGATCTGTGTTCAGTTACAGGTGGCACCTCCTTTTTAGGGCTTATTTAGCCCTATAATACTAAGGCACCATTGGGGAAGGTAGATACCGCAAGAGGTTGGATAGTAGCGGCCTTGCTGAGTATGAACCACTGTTGCTGTCTTGGACTTGGCCACTTTTGCATCAGTGTAGAGCTTGTCACAGTCCTCATGTATGTTTGTGGGCATACCTAATGGATATTGGATACCTAATGCTGCAGGCAAGACTCATATCCTTCAGCAGGTTTAGAAAGTCATCTCTGTCCTCCTGGTTAGGAAGAGGAATCTGCTGAGCGGCATCTGTCCGAAGAGGAAATTGCAGCCATTGCAGAAGTCTGGGCTAGAGGGACAGTCAGCCTGCCCAAACCTTGGAAGCCACAGCACCCTATGTAAGTACCTTGCAGGACTGGTTTGCCCTTGTCTAAATAACATAGCAAAGATGACCCCAAAACAAAGTTCTGTACTGCTACTGCATTTCTGTCCCATCTCTGAAAATCCCAAACAATGGACCGTGATGCCTGCTTTTTTGTGTTCTGCTGTAGTTACTCTAGTCTTCTTCATCTTTACAGAAATCATCTTCTGCCCTTTGGCATAGCTCTGTTGAAAAGAGTCCAAATTCATTTTAGACTCAAGTAAACACTGAATTCGACACTTTATGTGTACTTATGGACTTTTTATTATTGAAAATCCAAATTATGTGGGCTTTCAACATTATCAGTGTTGTTAAGGTGCTGTGTTCTTATGGGTTAATGCCTGCATCATGTACAGCCCCAAACTCCAGTCAGCCTCTGTAATTGTGGTGCTTAGGAACTTATGGTGCAAGTCTCCATCTCCTCACCTCCCTGAACATTGGCCATGTTGGTGGCAGCAGACTGGGGCTGGAGTCCCACAACATCTGGAGGGCCCCACCTCTCGTCTGGGAAGATTCCAGGTTCTCCTGGCATTTCTACACAGTCAAGAAGACTAGTAGCTAAAAGCCAGTTCCTAAATTCTTCATAGTATGGGTGTCCCTGTCCATAACATTACAGAAGACTCATCTGCTGACTGTAGGGAGCTGACCTTTCTACCAATCTTGCAGGCTCCCCAGGGCTCCTTGCTACCTCCGGATACTATACCATGACCTTGTGTCTCTTTGGGGGAGAGTGCAGCTTCTTTCCTCCTCCATGTGGTTCCACCAAAATACGAGTGCCCTGTTTGAGAGCACCGTTCACTTCATGCTTCTTTTCTTCTAAGAGTACCTGTGGAAGGCATGAAGAACGTGCTGATCACCAGCGCACTGCCCTATGTGAACAATGTGCCTCATCTTGGGAACATCATCGGCTGTGTCCTCAGTGCTGACACCTTTGCCAGGTAAGGTGATGGAGTCTCTCTTTCCTGCTAGTCCTAGGCTGGACTAGGGCCCGGAAGTACTACATGGATTGTACCTTCAAAGATCTCCACCTTCGCCTCCTAACCCCATCCTAGGGTCAAGATAACACTTGAAAAGGAGAGATGTGTTGATGGAAAGCTAAAGATTTACAATTGGTATATTGAACACTGAAAAAACAGAGTATCTACTTGAGGTATCTCTCTAATTGGTGACATCAGTGTGGTTAGGGATAGGACTGGATCCTCTGCTTTCTTTGTTCCTTGTTAGTCCCTAGGTCTGACTTTTTAAACACTGCTTTGGATTTTATAACTTGCCTTTGCAAAAGGCCACAGTATGAATATTTCCATACAACTGTACCCATTTTACTGCTTGTATAAAGTGTTGGCATCTTTTCTGCATCTTACAATGTGGATATTAGATAAATCTTAGGCTGCAATCCAAAATACACTTACTAGGGGGTAAGATCCATGGAGTTCAGTGGAACTCGTTTACAAGTAAATACGGACAGACTCATAAAGCTGGAGCTGGAGCAGGGAACAGGGCTGTGCCATTAATCTAGTCAGTGATGGTGTGAAGTTGTCTAATGCCTAGCCAGATTGCTGGTCCATTCAGATTGGCTGTGGCTGTCCAAGGCCTGACTCAGAGGCCATTCCTAGCCCTGTTCCCAGAAACTGTGTTTTTACCTGGAAGCGAATCTGGGGTCTTCTGCCTGCAGGGCAGGTGTGCTGCTGCTGAGCCATGGCCCATTAGATACACGGAGCTGTCACAGGAAGGTTTAGTCTGTGCTGGTCGTGATAAGTCTCCTTTCTCCATTCCCAGGTACTGTCGCCTGCGGAACTGGAACACGCTGTACATTTGTGGTTCTGATGAGTATGGCACTGCCACAGAGACAAAGGCCATGGAGGAAGGGCTGACCCCGCAGCAGATCTGTGATAAGTACTATGCTGTCCACGCGCAGATTTACCAGTGGTTCAATATCTCCTTTGACTTCTTCGGCCGTACCAGCACGCCCCAACAGACGACGTGAGTAACACTAGGAAGCCCAGTAACCCGGGGCAGTAATGGGTAATGTAGGAATGGCTTGTGTAGTGTGTGCACTCTAGTGCGCTCTCTCTCACTCTCGCTTGCTCTCTCTCTCTCACACACACTCTTTCTCTGCACTTCTTGCTCCCTTGCACTCATAGTTTAAAGGTCTGGGAATTGGGGGAATTGCGGGCTCTGAGTGGGGTTGTGCTTCTGCTGAAGGAACAGGTTTGCATTTGGCGGGATGCTCCTGGATCCACTGCTGTCGTTGGAGGCTAAAGTGACCTCTGTGCACTTCAAAGAATTGAATAAATCAAATGAATAAAAACACCTAGTACCAGCAGAAGCCTGGTATGCCAACCACGCCTGGCCCTAGAGAAGAGCAGCCTGACTGGATTCCCATCATGCTGTCTATGTGGGGCTGCCCTTCAGGCTGGTTCAGAAGCTGCAGCAAGGGCAGAAGGCAGTGGTGAGGTCACCGACCAGGGTGCCTTACTGCCCACACAGTGCACCCATTTTAAAGGCTCTCTTGTGGCAACCAGTCTAGGTTTATGGTGCTGGTGTTAGCACCCAATCTGCACTGTTCCTTCTGAGTCTCGTGTGGCGCACGCTGTGCTCAGAGGAGTGGGGCAGGCTGTACAAAAGGACTTGGCTGGCTGTGGAAAGAGCAGCTGGCCCTTCTGGTGCTGGCAGCCCAGTTTTCCTCCCCAATCAGAGCGAGCAGCTGGCACTCCTCAGCATGGGGGAGGGGGGATTTGTGCCTTGTGCTTTGCTGACCTTGTGTCTTCCTCCATGGGCAGATGAAGCCCCCTGACTGAGTCACCAGCGGAAGGAATTCTCCTTTAGCTGGTGCCTTGGTCACCAGGCCTCAGCTGCATGGGGTCTTTCCCCATTTGTGGGGAGTGAGCAAAGTGCTTAAGAATTCCTGCCCCCCTCCAGGGAGCCTCATATAGTGGCTGAGGCTGTTACCTCCAGCTGCATAAAGCCAGGAGCTTCAGCCATGGCTTGGGTGATGTCAAGGGCCCCATGCCCTGTGTCACAAGTGTGGACCTGTCCATTGCAGGAGGCCAGCAGGGCAGAGTCATCCACAGGACTTTCCACCCCTAAGCGACTGGGTGAAATCACATCAGCCAAATCATTGTGACCTGCTCTGCACCATAGGCAGGTGCACTTCTGATTTATGGCCAGTGGGCAACATTGCCATGGCATTCACACCATGGACTCGTGATGATGCTGGCCCTGAGTTTGCATGTGATCTGGACCATGGGAAGGGTCATCTTAGACAGTGACCTTTTCCTGCTTTAGAGGAATGATTTCTCTGCTGACTTTCCCATTGATTTAGAGAAGCATCAGCAGAAGGTGCTGTTGACAAGCCAGCTTTCTCTGGGGCCAAACTAGGACCCAGACAAGCACTTGGTCTGCTGGCAGGAGGCATCCACAAGCTTCTTCCCAAACACTCTTTGAGGCTGGGTGGGGAGGGTTGTGGAGGCATCTCGTGAAGGTTTGAGGATGTTCTTTCCCCTTAGGCTTCCTCTCTTTCACACCTAGGATAGCCCAGGGAATTTTCCAGAGGCTGCTGGAGCACAACTACCTGGTGACACAGACAGTGGATCAGCTGAAGTGTGAGAAGTGTGCGCGGTTCCTGGCTGACCGCTTTGTGGAGGGTATCTGTCCCTTCTGCAACTACGAAGAGGCCCGTGGGGACCAGTGTGACAAATGCGGCAAACTGATCAATGCCACTGAACTTAAGGTACAGCGGCCCACACAGCCATGAAAATGTGTGCATTCAGCCCTTCTCTCTCTCTGCTTCACGTTGCCTAGGTGTTCCCCAGAAATATTGATGAAATCTGTCTGTCCCATCTGATTGCCCAGATCGGAACAGAAACCCTCAACAAGAGGTCAGGTTCTCTTCCTCAGCCTTGCAGATATGCCCCCATAATATTTGGTCCGTATGCAATATTGGAAATTTGAAGGGTTTGGAAATTTTGAAGGGTTTCACAGAGATGCTCAGTAATCCTTATGGCAACCTTGTGAGCTAGAGCTACTGTTTTTTTAAATATATATATATATATTATTAAAAGTTTTGAACTAACACTAATAAAAACATCAAATATCACATACATTGGATTCACTGGGTCAACCCCCTACTACACACACACACACACACATTTTTTTTAACATTCTAAAATCAAATTCAAATTACGCCAAGTCCCGTTTCTCCAGCCAATTATAGAAAGAGTCCCAAGTTCGATAGAAGTCAGTATCCTCTTTCTTCTTCAATGATAAAGTCAATCTATCCATTTCTGTGCAGTCCAAGATCTTTCTTACCATCAGTTCATTGGTGGGTAGCTCCTTATTTTTCCAATACTGAGCAAATGCAATCCTCACCGCTGTGATTAAGTGCAACATCAAGTACATTTCCTGTCTGTTGACTTCTTCCGGTATAATGCCTAACAAGAAAACTTCAGGTTTAAAAGCACAGGGTTTCTGTAATATTTCCTCCATCCATCTATGTATTTTAATCCAATACTTTTTCGCATTATCACAAGTCCACCACATGTGATAGAAAGTACCCACTTTATGTTTACATTTCCAACATCTATTTGACATATTTGGAAACATCTTAGCTAATCAGCTTGGCGACAAATACCATCTATAGAACATTTTATATAAATTTTCGTTATACGAAGTTGCTAATATTATCTTGATGTTTCTTTCCCATAATTTTTGCCACTTTTCTAATTCAACATTAAATCCAAAGTTTCGTGCCCATATTATCATAGTTTCCTTAACCTGTTCCCCTTACCATTTTCCTGTCAAGTAAAAAATCATATAGTCTTTTAATAATTTTCTCATCTGTTTTAAGTATCACTTGATCAAACTCTGTTAGGTCTTTATAAAACCCCCATGTTTTACAATCTTTAGCATACCTCGATTGCATCTGTACCTTATACCACCAGGAAATATTAAGGTCCTGTTCTTGTATTTCTTGCTCCAGTTTCAAGCCACCACCCTTATCCAAGATATCGTCATACCTTATGATCTTTTCAAAGTTCAATACATTTGGATATATAAAAGCTTCCATAGGTGAAAGCCATCTTGGTAGTTTATTATACACTTTTGACTTTAGTTTTTCCCACACTGACATTAGAGATCTTCTTATAAAATGACTCAGAAAAGACCCATGTGACTTAGCTTTTTCATACCACATATAAGCATGCCAACCCATCTGCAAGTCACGACCTTCAAGATACAAAACTCTTTTATTTTGCAAAGTTATCCATTCTTTTAACCACATTAAAACAGACGCTTGATAATATAACATCCAATCGGGGAGACCAAAACCTCCATTCTTTTTAGCCTCCTGAAGCGTTTTTAATTTGATCCTTGGTTTCTTTTTTCTCCAGATAAATCTCGAAATTTGAAAGTTTAGATCATCAAAGAATTTTTTATCAATTTTTATGGGAATCATTTGAAACAGAAACAAAAACTTAGGTAATATATTCATTTTAACAAGTGCTATTCTTCCCATCAAAGATAATTGCAAATTGGCCCATCTTTCCAAATCCCCTTTAGCATTAATAAAATGCTTTTTGGGTGTCCATGAACAGTAAATCCATTGGTTTTTCAGTATGCACCTCATAATACTCTAAAATATCCAAGATAGTTCTCAAATTATTCTTCATTTGTCTTTTTGGCAAAAAGCCAATTTGGGCTGGATGAATAAAGTCTATTAGTAGTTTATTTAGTCTTTCTGCCAATACAGAAGCAAAAATTTTGTAATCCACATTTAATAATGATATTGGTCAATAGTTTTGAATCTGCTCTATGTCCGTATCTTCTTTCAGTATTAATGTAATATTTGCCTCAGTCCAAATAGTTGGTATTTTAGCATTTAACAGTGCTTCATTGGATATATCTTTTAAAAGTGTAGCAAAAATTGCTTCAAAAGATTTATAAAACTCATCTGGCAGTCCATCTGGGCCAGGAGTTTTGTCATTCTTCTGTCGCTTAATTGCTTCTATTACTTCTGTAGTTGTAACTTCTTGATTTAATAGTTCCTGATATTTTTCTGGTATTTTTGGTAATTCTCCCTTTCGAATATATTCTTTAACTTTCTCGATTGAGAGCTCCTTCTGATACAACTTTGTAAAAAAGTCTTCCACTATTTTCTTGAGTTGTGCACTCTGTAAATGTAGTTGTCCTTCTCCATCTTTCAGTTTCACAATCAATCTTTTCTCTTTTTCTTTCTTGGCTTTATGCGCTAACCATCTTCCTGGTTTATTAGCATTTTCGAAGAAGTTCTGTTTAGTCAACTTCATTTGTTTAGTAAGCTCATTTGTATCAAAGAGGTTCAGTTTATGCTTTAAAATATCCAGTTGAGGCTTAAGACTTCGTTTTGATGGGTCTTCCTGCAAAACTTGTTCCAGTTTCATCAACTCCTCTATTATCACTGCTCTCTCGTTTTTTCTTTTTATTTATTTGCACTGAATATGTTATCACTCCGACATAGGCTTTAGCTGTATCCCAGCCATTCTGTAAAGAAGTTTCTTCTGGTTTATTTATTTGAAAGAATACTTGCCTTTCTTTATGTATCTTTTCTATAAAGTTTTTATCTTTTAACAATGCTTTGTCTAGACTCCATCTGTGCGTCCTTAGAGTACCTTTTAATGATAGAAATACCGGGTTATGATCTGCCCAAACATTTGCCTCTATTTCAGCTTCTATCAGATCTGGTACTAAGTCTGGCATTATCCAAACCATATCAATTCTAGACCACGACCTATGTCTATTTGAATAAAAAGAATATTTGGCAGAAGATAGAGCTACTGTTATTGTCCTCGCATTGCGGATGGTGGCTGAGGCTGGGTAGTTTGGCCAAGGCCTTCCCAGGCATCCCTCTCAAGGAGCAAAATATGAACTAGGGATTTGAACTCTAATACTCATAGTTGGGAACTCCAAGGGGAATGGCAGATCTTCATATTTATTAAGAGCAGAATCAATTATGCAGCTGTCTTCAGATCAAATGAATTTATCCTGAGACTGAATGATTTATTCCATTTTGGGCCCAGCATCCATTTGAGAAAGTCACACTCCTTCTAGATGACTGGCCTAACTGCAAAACATGTTTAAGCTGGAATAACATCCCTGGGCTTTGCCAACCAAGCTCCATCTGTCCAGCATTCTGCTCCTGATGGTGACTGTGAGAACCAGGACAGGTTTGGGCAGAACACTGGCGTGAGGCAGGGCTCCATAGGGCCAGAGGCTGGCATTGTGGTCAATGGTCCTAGATCAGAAACAGGACAGAGGGCAGCCTGATACAGTATGAGAGGGAGCAGAGTCCAGAAATTGCGCAGGGGTCAAATGCCAGGGCAGCAGTCGTGAAAAGGTGGTCAGAGTTGAGGCTACAGGGACAGACAGGAGCAGGCAGGGGGACAAGGCATGGAGATGCAGGAGCCAAAGTGCCAGGAGTTGTAGGGGCAACCTGTGGTGCTGCAGCTGTGCAGAGAGGCCTTTTATGCAGCTGTGCTGGGCCACAGGATTGCCTCTCAGCTGTTCCCTGCAAGTGCCTGCAAAGGTGCTCCTAGCTCTGCAGACACTCAGAGGGCGAGCCAGGTCCTGGGCCTGGCGGTGGCCAGCCAAATACTTCCCAAAAGGCCATTAGCAGGATCAAGTGCTGTCTAGTACCTGAGACTGAATGGTGCACCGCTCATAGAATATGGTGATTCTATTTAGCTGCAGTGACTAGTAAAGGAGGCATCTAAAATCTGGTATTGGCATGTGGTGCATTGTGGTAGGTAGTTCATGCTTGTGTAGGAGGACAGGGATAGATTGTAGCCAGAGGGGGATATTATTTTTATAAGTTCCTTCTACAGATTAGGGGACAGCATGGGATTTGTGTTAAACGTTCCAAAGTTCTATGTAGGAGTCACACAAATCCCAGCAGTAGTTCATTGCATGCAAAAGTCCCACATGCTAGGACATGTCTTTCAGCTCACACAGCAAGGACGCAGTGGCAAGTATGGCTTCCCAACAAGCTTCAGTTTGCAAATAGGTTGGTTTGCGCTGCTGCTTACATAGCATTTGCTTTCTGGGCATAAGTCACACACATTTTGGTCTCTTTCTCTTCTGGCAGAAACCAGTGTGCAAAATCTGCCAAGAGACTCCTGTGGTCAAGTCCTCCGAACATCTCTTCCTGGACCTGCCCAAGGTGAGTGACTCTTGTCTAATGAATGTCCTGGAGAGGGATTGGTTCTTGAGAAGCACACCGCGGTGCATGGGCAACTTGGCCTTTGCTTTGCGTTATTGCCAGTAGCCTTGAGCGCCACATCTGCCACATCATGCCCATGAGTCCTATTCATTGTGGCTGACTCTGTCCTTCTGCCCTGTCCCACCAGCTAGAAGACAGCTTGGAGCAATGGCTGGCGCAGTCCCAGTCCACTGGGGACTGGACTCCCAATTCAAGATACATTGCCCGCTCCTGGATCCGCGACGGTCTTAAGCCACGTTGCATCACTCGCGACCTGAAATGGGGCACGCCAGTCCCCTTGGATGGCTTCCGTGACAAGGTGAGCAATGGGGCCGAGGCCCTGGGGGCTCAGGGCCTAAGGCGTTGGGTCGGATCATTGCACAATGTTGCTGAAGGTTCTTTCTGTCCCTTTGGTGCGAGCGTCTTCCATTTGGATGGCCTCGGGGAGAAATCGGGGCTATTCCTACAAGATGGAGCAGGCAGGGGGGTGCAGCCTTTTTCAGCCCAAGGGCTTGGCTTTGGAGAAGCTCCTGCGGGCTGCATGCTAGTGCGGGGTGGGGATAAAGGCAAAAGGGGCGCGGCTAGAAACAGCTGCATGCTCTAGTTACCGGCTGCTAAGCCTTAGGAGAGGCACTTCAACATTTTAACATGGGAAGAAGATGTTCTGAAAGCTGAGAAAGTGGCCACAGTGGTTAGGGGAAAAGAGGTGAGGACAGGTCCTCTGAGGAACCCCAGGAGAGCCAGGGTGGCACTCCAGGAACACTGGGTTTGGGACCAGAGGTTCTCTACCCCTGGAGTAGGCAATAGTGAGTCTGACAGGCAGGGACCTAGAGACATGACTGCTGGAAGAAATGAATACACCATACACCAGACCCTGGAAACTCTTTGTACTCTCCTCTTGTCTCCAGAAACTCCTGGAATGGCTTTTGTGGTGCTGTTTTGTTGGTACCTGCCATCAAGTCATCTCTGACTTATCGTGACTCTAATTTTATATAGCATTTTTCACTGAAAAAATTTTCTAGACTTCCCATATCTGTTTGTTTGTACTTCAACCAAGTAATGAGTTTTTATAAGCCAAAGCTTGCATCCATGGCTTTCTCAGCTGAGTCCTGGAAACTCTGGCATAAATCTAACTCCTCTCACAGAAATGTGAAATATTAGTTCCTTCTTTGCAGAAAAGTAGGAAGAATTACAGTTGGTCTCCACATGCTTGGCCCTGGGGGATGTGCTTGGCCTCCACATGCTGGGCAATGGCCAGTCTCATTTTAGAAATTAAGTCCCAGTGGTATACACTTCCATCCTTGAAAATAAGAACTGTGAAAGAGTCTTCGTGTGTGCGTGTGTGCAGTGATGCCAATGTCTAAGCCAAATGTACAGGAGAAATGTAGCAGTGGAAGGGTGGCTTACTCCTATCCATGCAGGCGCGCTCTTGCTGGTCTCCATGACTCACTCCCTGTCTTCTCTGTCTCTGTATAGGTGTTCTATGTCTGGTTTGATGCTCCCATTGGCTACCTGTCCATCACAGCCAATTACACTGACCAATGGGAGAAATGGTGGAAGAACCCAGAGCAGGTGAGAGGCATGTTACTCTCGGGCCCTTGTCACCAAGAGGTCATCCCCTTCATACTGGGAGTGCTGTGTCGGTACCAAAGTGCCTCTCTCAGCCACCTTTGTGTGTTAGAACATGTGTGATTGCCCCATCTTTGGGGCATCTGTATCTCCAATTATTGTGAGCATAATAAAGAAAAGCAGTCCCAACAAATGCTGTTATAAGCTGGGGCAGGTCAGAGCAGGGGTTATGAAAGGAAGGGGAAGCGCGTTTTAATGCATTGCAAATCCTCTGCTCTTTCTCCACAGGTTCAGCTGTATAACTTCATGGCCAAGGACAATGTCCCTTTCCACAGTGTGGTGTTTCCCTGCTCATTGCTGGGCACTGGCGAAAATTATACCCTGGTCAACCATCTTATTGCAACTGGTACTGCTACGGGAATAGGGTGGCCCCATCGCACTCGCTTTGGTCCTCTAAAGCTAGATGGCTGGCTGGCTGGCTGGCTGGCTGGCTGCCTTCCTTCCTTACCTGAGCTTTGTATCAAGAGCCATCCAGTTCAGGTCACCCTTTTTGTGGCATGTGAACCCTGGTGGGGCATTTGTGGTGTGGTATAAAGACCAGCATGCATCTCTGAAGGCCCCCTTTATCTCTGCAGAGTACCTGAACTATGAGGATGGCAAGTTTTCCAAGAGTCGTGGAGTGGGGGTCTTCGGGGATATGGCCAAGGACACGGGCATTCCTGCAGACATTTGGCGCTTCTACCTGCTCTACCTGCGGCCAGAAAACCAAGACAGCTCCTTCTCTTGGAGTGATCTCATGATTAAAAACAATTCAGAGCTGCTCAATATCCTTGGCAATTTTATCAATAGGTAATCCTGTGATTGGAAAGAGTAGTGTCGAGTCCACAGTGAGCACAACTACCTGGTGGCCATTCCAGGTAAAGCAAGGCAGACATTTTAACAGTTAACTCTGTAGGCTTTCCCAAAGTTGGAGATGCTCCAGAGGAGCGCAGCTAGGATGGTGAGAAGTGTGGAAATGAAGTCCTACAAGGAATGGCTGAAAAAGTTGGGTCTGTTTGGATTGGAGAAAAGATTAAGGGGCATGGCCTTCAAATGTTTCAAGAGCAGTCACACAGATCATGGAGCAGACTTGTTTCCTGTTGCTCCAGAACTAGACTAGAATGAATGGGTGGAAGTTTTAGGGATGTGGAGTTAGCTAAATTTTAAGAATCTATTCCTAGCAATAAAAGCTGTTCAGTGCTAGAAAAAGTTGCACTAGGAGATGCTGGGTTCCCCTTTGCTGGTGGTATGGAAGCAGAGGCTGGATGGCCACCTGTCAGGGATGCTGCTGCTGCTTCTTGGAGTGCAGGGCCTGTGATAAGCAGTGGGTTGTCCTGATGTTCCCCAGGGTCCTTTTCAGCTATGATTCTGTGGGACTGGTGCGGGATGCTTCCATGAGGCTACATGTTGGGTTTTCTGCAAAAGGCAAAGAAGGTGGCAATGAAGTTGGAATTGAAAAGGAGGCAGAAAATTTATGTTTTTTGGACATGCACATGGTAGGCATGTCATGAGCAGAACCTGCTGGAGCCGGGGGGCAGACCAGATGGCCCAGGAGGCCCCTTCTGACTCGCTCTGTTTCTATATACGCTCTGTCTGATCAGAGCAGGAGGTCAATAAGTGGATTTGGCCAAAGGCCCAACTTAGCCACTGCACCAAAACTTCAGTTTAGTGGATCATCTTGTTGATGTCTTCTTCTCTTCCCTTCCCTTCCCTTCTCAGAGCTGGGTCCTTTGTGTGCAAGTTCTTTGGGGGACGTGTCCCCACCATGGAGCTGAGCCAGGATGACAAGTGCTTGCTGGCTCACATCACTCTGGAGTTGCGTCAATACAACCAGTTGCTGGAGAAGGTCAAGTACGTCCCTGGAACCTAGCCCATGCCGGCAGCCCTAGACTCCTGTGGCTAGCCCCCAGCACAGCTTATTAGCCCTTGCACCCCTGCAGTTTAGTCAGTCTCTTGACTGGTGGACTGCGTAGGCGGCAGCAGTGAGTGACCCACAGATAATTAATGTGGGCATTGGTTTCCCCTCATAGTTCCTCTGCATCCAGAGAGGCACCTGAGCCACAGATCATCTGCAGATTAGCCCTGGCCATGTAAAGTTGTTAATAAGTGGGAGAGCATCTGAGTATGTGCACACATCCTTTCCATTACCACGACTAAAATATGGGGAGCAAACCTCTTCCGAACCGGCTGTTGTCACACAACCCAACAAACAGCCTTGTATGGTTACCATGAGTCACAGTTTTTTACCATGATCTGTTTGATGGTCAGCCACGTTGTTTCTGTTTTATTGTGGTTTCCATCTCCCTACTCAGTCACTGCTGGCATGTATTCCATCAACCACTGCACCTGACATCCAGTCCCAGGCTGCACTGCTCCATGCCTGTGTTGCCTGCTTCTTACTCCTGGGCCCACACATAAAGGCTTTGTGGCTGGAGTGGGTTTTGCTGTTCCAGGGGACACTGCCATTGTATGCCAGGACCATAAAAACACATTCTTGGGTCCAGACAACATGACAAGCCACAGTGGTCTGGAGAAACCATGGAACCCACCATTATTTCTTATTGTGCTTTCTAAAGATCAAACTTAACATAGTGAAATACCACAGCTGGGCTCAGACCAATGCTGATTAAAAAGCCGCCATGGCTTGTCATGTTATCTGAACTCAGTCACTGTGTGGAGAAGCTAAACTCTGGGTATCTGTGTACTTTTCTGTTATTTAGGAGCTTTAGAAGAGGCAAAAGTAATTTGTGTCAGAGTTAGATTTAACTAGGAAAAAGTAGGCTATGTCAGCCTTGCAAGGAACAAATTACTGCCCCTCAGAATCTTAATAGTCTGCCCTCTTGCATGTACCTGTTAGTCTTTTTTGATGAAGAACCCCAGTGGCTAATTTACCGTATTTTTTTCCCATGGTTGCTAAAGATATTTTTTACTCCACTTCAGTGATTATTTTACAAACTTGGACCATGGCTCTTTCCAGCAGCCAGGGTGAAGAGGGAAGCTGCTCTACACTCCTTTAGCTTGGGTTCTGCAGCTCCTACCACCTGACTCTTCTCCCGTTGCAGGATCCGTGATGCCCTCCGCAGTATCCTGAATATTGCTCGCTGTGGCAACCAGTACCTTCAGGTCAATGAGCCCTGGAAACGCATCAAGGGCAGTGACGCAGACAAGTAAGAAAAATGCTGTGTTGTACTGGCGTGCTCTAGGAAGAGCTCATCATTTGGCACGTACCCTTCTTCCCTTAGGTCCTGCTGTTGAGGAAAAAACCTGTCTGTCTTGGTCGCTTTATTATTCCCCCACCCTCCAAGCTCACTAGCCATGCTTTATTCGGGAATGTCTGCTTTGGCTGCAGGCTGCCACCTCCTCTTCTTGACGTTGCTCCTTCTTGTCTGCCTAGGAAGCGGGCCAGCACAGTGATAGGGGTGGCTGTCAACATTGCATCCCTGTTGTCCGTCATCCTGCAGCCATACATGCCCACCATGAGTGCCACTATCCAAGAGCAGTTGTGTGTTTCTGCCCACTGCAATGTGGTGACCAATGACTTTGTCTGCACCTTGCCTGCTGGGCACCAGATTGGCACGGTAGGTGTTACGGGGTGGAGTTTGTATGGTCTTTACCAGCACTTCCTTAAGTGCTAACAGTTGACAGATAATAGGGTAAGCCTAGTTCTTGACTGTACTGCTTCCACCTGCAGCTCCATGTGCACATGCATTGCTAGCATGTCAGAGAGGAAAGGCTTCTAATGCACTGAATTGGGACCTGAAAGGAAGATGATCACATGACAGGACAATCTGTTCATGCACAACCCCCTCCCTGAAACCACAGTATTCTAGATCGTGATGAGGAGCAAGTGCAGAAAATACTCCAGTGGGTTAAAGGAAGATGTTTGTTTTTCAAATGGTCTGTCCTCTCTGGCTGCACTGACCCTTGGAAGCAGTCACACATTTTAAATACAGTCATCCACGAGACATGGAGCATGAGCTGATTGGAAGAAACCTTTGTTGCTTGTCCTTCATTGTAGTAGATCCTGGTACTACCCTGACTCAGAAGCAGAATCCTCTGTAAAGGAATTGTGTTGGCAGGCATGGTAGTTGCAGATGATGGTGAAAACCTAAGCTTTGCCTTGTCACTCACACATTCTTCCCTGTTTCCCACCTCTGCCAAGTACTATCCATTAAGTTCCAAGCTTTTGCCTGCAACCATAAGGGCTAGAAACATGAAGATGTTTCCTAGCGTGCAGGATGCTTCAATGGTAAACACAGAGAGAGTGCGCGTGCGAGAGCGAGTGCCTGGTATGTGCAGAACAAGCTCACAGAGTGCTGCATGAATAGTTCACATGGTTCCTTAATTTCATGCCAGGTGAGCCCTCTGTTCCAGAAGCTGGAAACGGAACACATTGAAAACCTGCGGAAGCGCTTCGGTGGTGGCCAGGTAAGGAGCAGTGGCTGAGCTGGTGCAGTGGATGGGGTCAGCATTCCGTTTCTGTACAACTTGCTCCTTCCCCTGGCTCCTGGTGACCTCCTGTCTGCCATTCCGATAGTTCCTTAAGAATCGATATGTTTGTAGTTAGCTACAAAGGGGGAGCCATCACTTAAGGTGCTTGGGAGCCACTGAATGAAGTTCCTCTGCTCTGTGGGCAGGGAAAGGGATTGACAAGCTGGGTGGGCTCAGAGGTACCGTGATTAAGAACTGCTTGATGGAGGGCTGCACAGAGCTGGCTGCGAGCCCTGCACAATCTTCCCTCCTCCCGCCATGGTGGTAATAATGGGAAGGCTACTAGAGTAGCTCTTCTGCTGGCGAGCCCATCACGAGAGTGTGCCCTGTGCTTTGCCAGCATTCCAAACCTCTTCACAGGCCAGAAGTAAGAAATTAACATTATGTCCAAAATGCTTCTGGGAGCCCCAGTTACTCAGTCAAAGAGGAGGCTGCCACTGCATTGCTTCCCAATTCCCTTGCCCTGACGCGCCTCGTCCCGCTGATATAGGAAGCAGCCGGCAGTCCTGCTGGATCTCTGCATCAGGTGCGATTGGATCGTGCCATGACTCCAGATGTGGGGAGAAAGCAGAATTGCTTGCCCTTCCCTCAGCAGGAGTGGCCCGTTGCATCTCTCCTGAACTGGGGCTTGCCTTCTTCCAGTCAGGAAAAATACTTAGAATAACAGGTTGCTCTGAAACAGACAAGATGCGTGTCTCTGTGTGTGTGGGGGTAACTCTCCTCTTACTCTTTCACCATCTAAAAAAATGTGAAATGGAGGCATATTCTAATGACCGCTTTTGTTTAGAGCTGACAAAATGTTTCAGAATTCATCAATTTGCGGGAGAATTGTTCCAACTCTTTTCCCAGTTCTCCTCTTCCTCCTCCCCATAATGCCTTTGCATTATGTTAACCTGTTTAGTTCCGAGGTTAACCATCTGCCCAGCTTCCACAGCAGGCAGGTGTTTTGATGCAACTCATGCCTGACCCCTGCTCAAGTGCAGCGTCTATTGACTGGGTGCAGAGGAATCCTACACATGAGCAAGCCACTGTGGGTTTCTCCTTGATGTTCCTTGGGGGATTCTGGTTTACAGCATCTTCAGTCTCTTGCAAAGACCATTCCTCTGCTGTAGCTCTTAATGGCTTTCTCTCCTGCCTCTTCCTGCTCTTTGTGGTTCTTGTCTCATTCCCTTCTGTCCTTTCCAGCTTGAAGACTTCCCATGGAGTCCAAAGGTAATGCTTGCTGTCCCTGTCATACCTCCTACTCATTATGGGTATTTTCTTTAGGCATTGGAAGGTCTGTGGGTCTAATGTGTGCATGGAGCTTGGAGACCTACACAGTCCTTGCCATGTTCAAACTGTAATTTGAACTAGCGGAGATTGGGTTTCCTGTAACAGTCTCTTTGGCAAGTGTGCCACAAATCCTATTCACAGTTAAGTATGACTACACTAGACAAAAGCATGCCACAGCTCACAAACAGGCCTTGTTCTCCACCTGGTGCCTGAATGGTATGGCTACGTATCAGCCCAGGGACCATGGCAGCAGAGAACGTCTGTCTGTACTACTGGGTTTGCAGGCACCCCTACCTGTGTTTGGTGGTGTCATTGGCCACTGCTCTGTGGTACGCACGCCAGAGTTCCCTTTCTTGTTTGCTCCTATCACATGGGTAATCGATTCTATCATCTCTGCCTGTGAACTTTCCAGAGGCATTGGCATGACCACAGCTGAAGGTCTAGCACAGCTCTTCCCAACCTAGAACCCTCCAGATATATTGGGCTTGCAACTCCCATCATCCTTTGGCTATGGTGCTGGGGAGTTTGAATGACTGCTGTGGCACTTCACAATGAGGTGGGCTGATCTAGATCATCAAATGGAACTTTGGTCTGATCTAGCATGCCTTTGATTAACAGTATTGAGTACTTCACAATAAGTTACTGTGTATTAAGCATTCTGTCTGCGTTTTATACATGTTCTTCAATACAGTCCTTACTTAAATGACAGTGAGTTTTGCTGAATGATGAAGGGGCATCCCAAAAATAGATGCATCGTAATTCCTTTCAAACTGTCCTGAAAGAAATGGGTGTCCTAAAGCCCTCAACTTTTTATCCAGATAAGCAGAGACAAAAGAGCGTAAATATATCAGGAAGAAGCCTATAAGTTAAACTCCTAAGTTTTCGCTTTGCCTGTTGTTTCTCCTCTCTCATCACCACATCTTTGCCATCTCTCATCTTCTTGCTTTACAAGCCCAGAAGCCCTGCTGGAAAAAACCCATCCTTGTCTAGTTTCTCTGACTTCATAGTGAAAAAGCATGATTTCTACTCTTGCATGCTTTTCCTGCATTGCCACCATGCTGGTCTCATTGCAGCTCCTTCCTTCCTTCCCTCCTTATTGCAGCTTTATTTATTTATTTTTCGATTTACAGTATATCACAGAAGTGAGTACACCCCTCACATTTTGTAAATATTTTATTAGATCTTTTCATGTGACAACCCTGAAGAAATGACACTTTGCTACAATGTAAAGTAGTGAGTATACAGCTTGTATAACAGTGTAAATTTGCTGTCCCCTCAAAATAACTCAACACACAGCCATTAATGTTTGAACCGCTGGCAAAAAAAGTGAGTACAACCCCTAAGTGAAACTGTCCAAATTGGGCCCAAAGTGTCAATATTTTGTGTGGCCACCATTATTTTCCAGCACTGCCTTAACCCTGTTGGGCATGGAGTTCACCAGAGCTTCACAGGTTGCCACTGGAGTCCTCTTCCACTCCTCCATGACGACATCACGGAGCTGGTGGATGTTAGAGACCTTGTGCTCCTCCACCTTCCGTTTCAGGATGCCCCACAGATGCTCGATAGGGTTTAGGTCTGGAGACATGCTTGGCCAGTCCATCACCTTTATCCTCAGCTTCTTTAGCATGCAGTGGTCGTCTTGGAGGTGTGTTTGGGGTCGTTATTATGTTGGAATACTGCCCGGCGGCCCAGTCTCCGAGGGGAGGGGATCATGCTCTGCTTCAGTATGTCACAGTACATGTTGGCATTCATGGTTCCCTCAATGAACTGTAGCTCCCCAGTGCCGGCAGCACTCATACAGTCCCAGACCATGACACTCCCACCACCATGCTTGACTGTAGGCAAGACACCCTTCTCTTTGTACTCCTCACCTGGTTGTCGCCACACACGCTTGACACCATCTGAAACAAATAAGTTTATCTTGGTCTCATCAGACCAGAGGACATGGTTCCACTAATCCATGTCCTTAGTCTGCTTTTCTTCAGCAAACTGTTTGCAGGCTTTCTTGTGCATCATCTTTAGAAGAGGCTTCATTCTGGGACGACAGCCCTGCAGACCAATTTGACGCAGTGTGCGGCGTATGGTCTGAGCACTGACAGGCTGACCCACCACCCCTTCAACCTCTGCAGCAATGCTGGCAGCACTCATCCGTCTATTTCCCAAAGCCAACCTCTGGATATGACGCTGAGCACGTGCACTCAACTTCTTTGGTCGACCATGGCGAGGCCTGTTCTGAGTGGAACCTGTCCTGTTAAACCGCTGTATGGTCTTGGCCACCGTGCTGCAGCTCAGTTTCAGGGTCTTGGCAATCTTCTTATAGCCTAGGCCATCTTTATGTAGAGCAACAATTCTTTTTTTCAGATCCTTGGAGAGTTCTTTGCCATGAGGTGCCATGTTGAACTTCCAGTGACCAGTATGAGAGAGTGAGAGCGATAACACCAAATTTAACACACCTGCTCCCCATTCACACTTGAGACTTTGTAACACTAACGAGTCACATGACACTGGGGAGGGAAAATGGCTAATAATGCCCAATTTGGACAGTTTCACTTAGGGGTGTACTCACTTTTGTTGTCAGCGGTTTAGACATTAATGGCTGTGTGTTGAGTTATTTTGAGGGGACAGCAAATTTACACTGTTATACAAGCTGTATACTCACTACTTTACATTGTAGCAAAGTGTCATTTCTTCAGGGTTGTCACATGAAAAGATCTAATAAAATATTTACAAAATGTGAGGGGTGTACTCACTTCTGTGATATACTGTATATCCTGTCTTTTTCCTACAAAGGGCTCAAGGCAGCTTACATCATTCTCCTCCATCTTATCCCCACAACAACAACCCTGTGAGGTGGGTTGGGCTGAGAGTCTGTGGCTGGCCCAAAGTCACCCAGTTGGCTCCATGGCTGAGTGGGGACTAGAACCCAGCTCGTCTGAGTCCCAGTCCCATGCTCTTAACCACTACACCACACTGGCTCTCCTTTGGTTATATTAGGAAACAGTAGTATGTTTTGTCTTATGCTGGTGTTAACTGTTTTTATGAATGTCTATTAACATATTGGTTTTTATTATGTGAATTATGTTGCCTAAGCTGCCTGGGGAGAGCTGCTGCCCTGAACAGCAGGCTAGAAATATTTTAAATGGCTAAAGTAAAAATAAAATCAGGTATGGAGAGAAGTGGTTGGAAATCTACACCAGCAGTGTCAAGATTATATCATGCAGATGTGTGCCTCTTTCTTCCTCCTGGAATTAAAAGCACACTTGGGGTTTCTGAAACTGCAACTGTTCTGTGTCTGGCAGGAACTTTTTCCACTTCTGCTAGCAGAGGTTGCGCTTCAACCAATGGCTACACTATCTCTGCTTTCATGACTCTTCGCCCTCTGGATGCTAAACAAATTAAATGTGTAGTTGTAGCACTCATTTTTTAATATTTTTCACTTTTCCAGCAAAAAGCAGCTGCACATGATAAAGCAGCAGTGGGAGCAAAGGAACTTCAATAAGAAGTGGGTAAACAGGTGAGGCAGCATTCAAAACTGTTGTTTTTGGATGAGCTAATGAGGCCAGTTTGCTTGGCAATCCATAAGGTGGGGATAGGGAATGTTTGTAAGTCACCTCAAGGTATCTTTCAAGGACTGCAGCTTCCCTCCAGCATAGCCACCAGAGCTAATGGGGAGTCGGAAAGCTACACATCCCTGCTCTTAAGATGAAATAATTTGACTGAGATAGCTTTTACAGGATAATGAATCCAGCTCATCTAAAGTTTGGTGGGTTGTAAAGGCCTCGCTGCGCTGTATGGCCGCTAGTGCATTTCATCACTGCTCAAGGAGCAGTGAATTAAAAAGCAGTTCCTAACATTCGAATCAGCACACAAACAAAATGACAGCCTTTTGTTGATGGCTTTATTTACAGCCTCATTTAAAAAGGGAGAGTAGGGACCATGCAACCAATATATTGCCTTTTAAATTCAGGGATGGGGGAGCCATTCGTACTGCAGACTTGACAGAAGGTCAAATTTCACTTGCAATTTTGTGATTGTGGAGTTCTAATTCTGATCCTTTGGGTCCTACAGACTGCCATTTTAAATTAAGAATGCAGTCTGCAAGACAAAAGCATCTATTCAGAGGCATTGTTTGTTACTGGAGAGGGGGAAGCAGTAAAACTGAAAGGACAGTGGGTGGGAGGGGGTAACTCTATGGTTAGTACAGTAACTTAATTTGTACGGTAACTTAATTTGCCCCACGTCTGCAAGAAAAACGCCTACCTCCAGGCTTCCTACATACTTTAAGCTAGGGGTCCCTGTACATGGCTACCATAGACTAAACCAGCTGTTCTCTGTGTAGGATAACTACAGATAGATGCCACCATCTTGATGCAAGCAGAACTCCAGAAGCAGCTCAACTTGGTTGATGGGAAAGGGAAAAAGACAAAGCAAGCTGCTGTGCAGCATCTCCTTTCAAAGAGACTCAGAATCAACTTGCAGCAGTGGTCACTGTCTGAACTTTGGTGAAGGGAGAGGCCGCACTTTCTCCTGTTTTCACACCACTGTACTACTTTAGCCCCCCTCCCTATTTTGTAATTACCATGAATTCCAAAGTCTTTGAAATGCTGAGTTACATGGTACAAAATAAATATTTTATTTGATTAAGTATAGAGGTGTAAATGCAAAAACTATTGTATATAGCCCTATATACAGGAAGTGCTTTTCTTTCCCCTTTTGGCAAGAGGGCAGTGGCTACTTAAGAGTAGTTCAGTTACAAGGCAAAGGAAGAGGCAGCAAGTGTGAGCACTGAAAACTGCACAGGCTCCAGTTGTGTAACTTGGAACAGTCTGTCTGCAAGATCACCTTTTGTGCTTCAGTTCTGCAAAGCAAGCTCACTGTGCCAGAGTAGGGATAAGCAGTTCTAATCCAAAGGAAGTGGGGATGGCGGGGGGGGGGGTTCCATTATTTGGCTGGGGCTGCTCCACAGACTGCCCAGCAGGCATCAAGAGGAACTTGGCCACCTTCCTTTTGGCATGCTGTTTAAAGTCAGAGATGCTCAGGTTGGGAACAAAACTTCCCATTTGGTCCACAGCAAACAGTCATCAGTTTAGTACTGACAGGAAGTGTTCCAGATGGATTAAGTCTTTAGGCTCACCATACGCTGGATGAGTGCTGCTCTTGTAGCTTCCACCTCCGCACTCAACCGCTCAATTTCCCGCTGAAGATGCTCATTATGGGCTGTCAGCTCAGCCACTCTACGCTCATTCTGCTGCTCCCGCTCTCTGCCACGCTGCCTCTTGCCTCCCTGGGGCTGCCCGCTCCGCTTCCTTTTCCGGCTGGTGGACGCCCCTTCATCATCATCAGTACCAGTCTGGGCAGGAGAACTGTGGCTTGAGTCTGACTCGGCTGGTCCTGCAGGGCCCTCACATAGCAGTTCCAGGAGCTCATCTGTGAGATCAGGGCCCAGCTCACCATTTCCATCTGCCACATCTGCACTAGCCTCCAAGGGAGCTGACACTTCCAGGTTCCACAGGAAAGCAGTGCTGTCAATGTCATTAAACTCCTCCTGTAAAGAAATAGAGCAAAAAAGGTGAGCAGCAGCCTCCTAGAATGACTCCTGATTTAAGGCTTGGGCTGAGCATTCGGCACCCCCAGTGACCACTGGTCAGTGTGCCACAGCCTATCCTGCTTCACAGGCTTTAATGGGGAGAGGAGGTCCCCTTAAGCTCCTTGGAGAAAGGGCATGGGATACAACTGGGATTAGACAGAACGCTGAGTAATGTAAGCAAGAATGCATGGGCTTCAGGTTTGTATCCAGAATGTGACTTAGCTGTAATAAACCACAACAGAGAACTCAGCAAAAGGTGAGTATTGTAATACCACTCCCTCAGTTCCTGTGCACACTTGCCATCCACTTAATGTACTTATCAGGGAGGGAGGGAGAGAGGGAGTAAAGGCCACAGCATGAAGTATGAGGTTTGATATCCACCAGGTCTGTGGGACAGAAATATGAAGCTATGCTGGTATTTCTAGTATGCAGTCACCCCTATTTCTCCTCATGACAGAATTTGTTGCCACGTTTGTTATTATGCATAGACTAAGAATGACAAACAGGATAAGGATGTCAAATTCTGTGCTGTGTAAATCTATGGATGCTTCTAGATTGACTCAACAGCTACTGAGATTTTCTTGGAAATACGCAGCAGAAATGCTTAAGGCACAGCCTTTATCATTGTTATCGGGACATCATTTTTAGAAGATAAGAATTGCATATAAAGTTCTTTCCATAACTGGGGATCCACAGCCCGGTTTTATTGAAGGAACTCAGTGACCCAGATTGCATATAATGGTAATCATGTGTTCATTAACTCACAAACTCTCAAAATTTAGAGAACGTTACCCAGTTTACTACTCTAGTGTACTTCTCAGTTCAGTTTTCCAACCCATGATCACCCCGTTCATATGTTATTAACATGACTTCAAAATCTGGCCACTCTGGACTGTTAAGGGGTTGAATACTAACCCATCTAAATTGTAGAATAATGTTAGGATGCTTAACTTCTAAACAACTCAGTGTCTGGGTTTGGATGTCACACAAGTTACCAAAAGCCTGATCATAGGTTAATTGAAAGAAGTAGTCAGAAACAAACAAGAGGCAACTCCCTCACTTCCACTATATTTTGGTTATTTGTGGATTAAGTAGCCCATTACTGCAGCTGGGTGCAAACCATACCTTGTTTTTAAAATCAACTGATGTAAGGTCAAGTCCCCATCTGATCTTTTCAGAGGTCTAAACATGTTCATGTTTAACACTGTTATTTAATTTTTTTTTAATTGTAAAGCTTTTCATTAATGGAAACATTTGGAGAAACATTGCAAGAAGGACCCAAATTATTGGCTGACAAAGCAACACCATAAACAGTGAAATGTAGTGTCTGAATTCACTCTTAAACACTGTTCTCCATAATATTCCATATACTATCGTAAAGACATTTCTCCAAGCAGTTTAATGGTTTCAAACAAAGCTGGAGAACTTAGTAGACATGTAGAAAATAGATAAGCACTAGCAAACTGGCCTGGATTTACATGACACACTGTGCACAAGTAAGCTACTCTCACCTCCCAAAGCCAGACAATGTGCTTTGTTTTTTAAAGTAGACGGATGCATGCATATATACTTCCCAAATAAAATCAAGATGGTACCCCTGCCATTAAAACAGGAAGGCCCCGCACATTAAGATTTACAAAATCAAGTCAAAACATCAACTAATAAGAATCAGGCATTGCTCCCATGCTGGAAAAGAATCACTGAAGGTTTTCTGGGAAACTGGATACTTATTTTTTCCTGACAAGAATTTCATCTTAGTTAATAGCACAATTCAATGCAAGTCTACTCAGATGTAAATCCTACCAACTTTTATGGGGCTTACACCCAGGCAAGTGTGTAGGATTGTGGCCTTAAAGTGCAATCCTATGCACATTTACCTGGGATTAATTCCCACTGAACTCAGGAAGAATGTGTAAGATTGCTTTGCAGGAAATAAAATGAAAATGTAACTGGAAAACAGTTCATGTGATTTGGATGTGCTATTCAAAGCTTTACTTGGATGTGAACATTTGTAAATATTTTGATTTCATAGAATAGTAGAGTTGGAAGAGGCCAAGAAGGCCATAGGATCCAACCCAGTTTACACCATCCCACTCAGATGACTGTCCAGTTTCTTTTTAGAAGTTTCTAGTGTGGGAGAGCCCACCACCTGTCTAGGCAGCTGGTTCCACTGTCCTATTGTTCCGACAGTGAGGAAACTTTTCCTGATCTTTAGCCTGAATCTGCATAGTTGCAACTCAAGCTGATTGTCATGTGTCCTTCAGGTACTTAGAAAGTGATAGCATGTCACCCCACAGTACTGGGTATGTTCAGCCTTGAGAAGACTTTCAATCTCTCCTCACAGGGCAGCTTCCAAACCCTGAATCATTTTTACTGCCCTCCTTTGGATCATTTCTAGTTTTTCTGCGCTTTTCTTAAATGTTAATGCCCAGAACTGGACACAGTATTCTAGATGAGGTCTTAACTAGTGAAGAGCATAGGGGAACTATTACATTTTATGAGTTGGAAATAATACTTCTATTGATGCATTCCAAAAGAGTATTTGTCCTTTTCTGAGGCTGCATTGCATTTCTGGGTCATACTTAGCCTGTTGTCTACAACAACTCCAAGGTCTTTTTCTTTTTTCAGTTCCATTGAGCTAAGTATTTCCCTTCTTGTATTGATGCATTTGGTTTCTTTTTCCTAGGACTCAACCTCTGTCCTTATGAAGTCTCATTTTGTTGCTTTCAGCTTAGTATTCAAGGTTATCAAGATCGTCCTGGATCTTCATTCTGTCTTCCAGAGTGTTTGCTATTTCACCCAGTTTTGTATCATCTGCAAATCTGATTATCGTTTCTTCTACTTTGTCATCTAAATCTATGTTGAGGATCACTGGGTCTATGATTGAACCCAGCCACATTCCTCTACTTACCTTTCTCCAGTTTGAGAAGGTGATATTGATGAGTACTGTTTGCATCTGATTTAGCAGCCAATTTTGGATCGACCTAATCATTCTTCTACCTATTCCACTGTTTGCTAGTTTGCTTAACAGGATGTCATGGGGCTAAAGTCTAGGTGGAATTATGTCCACAGAGTTTCCCCTGTCCATCTGAGAGGCTCCCCAGGCAAAAAATGACCATGTTGCCCTTTATTAATCATTGCATTTTCTTTGAGGTGCTTGCAGACTGATTTGCTCAATAACTTTTCCAGATTGATGTCAGACCAACTGGTCTATATTTCCCAGGTGCATCTTTTTTCCCTTTTTGAAGATAGGGACAACATTAGCCCTTCTCCTGTTTTCCATGATTTATCAAAGATAATAGACACTGTTCCTGAGTTTCTCTGCTAGCGGTTTTACGACTCTAGGAGATCTGGAGATTTGAATGTGTTTATTCCAGCTAGGTATTCCACAACCATTTGTTTGTTGATCTTGGGCTGCCATTCTCACTTTCAAACTTGTACTTCCTCTTTGTTGTAGATTTTCTTATGGGAGAAGATTGAGACAAAGTAGAAATTGAGCATCCCTGTCTTTTCCTTGTCTGTTAGGACTTTGCCATCCACTTTAAATAGTTGGACACCTTTCTCTTGCATATTCTTGCTTGAAATATCTGAAGACGACTTATAATGTTTATATAATTCAATAGCATGTAATTTCCCTTATATTGCTTAAAGTTTAGGAAGAGAAAAATGATGGCACTGAAAACTTAACACACACATTTCAGCACCCTAAAGAGTTAAGTCATATCACTGGAGGGAGTGAGGAGCTGATCAATTGTCTAGTGTTTTAATGTGTATCACCCTTTGTGCAAACAAAAAGAAGGGAAACAAGCAGCAAGCAAAAGCAAAGCGTAGAAGCACCATTTATGATTATATTGCAATTATTATGGCTTTCAGGCAGGCAGTTCTCACAAGCCCTGACCACTAGGCATCCTGGCTAGGGCAGATGGAAATCATAGTCCAAAACAACTTGGAAGGTACCAAGTTGTCTGAAGCCAACTCACAGAAGAACTGCAAAATGGAATGGGGTGTAGTGCCCAAGTATCAAGTATCTTGGAGTATCATAACAACGAAGACTGCTTTCGGCAGCTATCTCACCTGTTCCTGTCCTGCTGCAGGGGGGTCTGTCCTGTTGGTTACATCCAAGGAGAGCACCTCCTGCAGGTCCTCATACCAAGCCTCCAGATCCCAGGTGGGCATTGGAGTGCTTACAGAGAAGGGCAGTGATTCTGCCATCATGGTTCAGCTAAGGCCAAGATGTTTTCTGGAAGAAAAGGGGTTGAAGGTATTGTAAGAAATGTGGGTGACACCTGAGCATATCACCATTTAACCAAGAAGGAGGATGGGTGACAGGAAGTGGCTCCAGTACCCGACCCTTCACAGAGCCAACCCTGACCAGTATTAAAATACAAGGAGTCCCCTTGCCAAGAGCAGAATAGACCTGAAAATCTGCCTCTGCACCTAGGAAAACTTTCAACAGCTATCTACCCTAGTCCCCCAGATGTTTTAGATTACAATGACCATCAGCCCCAACCAGTGTGGTCAGTGGGGGGCGAGGGCAATGGTAGTCCAATACATCTAGAGGACACCAAGTTGAAAAAGGCAGAACTAGGCTATGGAAAGTCCACTCATGAAAGCGGGTTTCTCCTTCTAACCGCTCCCTCAACCAGACACCAGAAATGAGGAGGATCAATTCCCAACATATTTGACCGGCACCTCCCACTTCCAATTGATCATAGCCGTTTGGCTGACAACCACCCTAGAGACGGAAGAGTAGCACCCCTCTACCTCCCCAACAGCTTCATGGTTCTGCCAGCTTAAAAGAAGCTTTCAAATGGAACCAGAAAGTGACCATTGTCTCTCAAGCTAATCTTCACTGACTGGGAAAGTGGCTTGGTAACACAGCGGGGCCTAAACGTTCTGTGAAGAATCCAAGGTAGAAACAGGAGCCCACCAACCCCGTGCAGAGAGCCATCAGAGCACAATGAATGGACACAAACTACTTGAAGCCACCTGCCTCTTGCCCCAGAGGTACAGAAAGCAAGCAAGCCTCAAAGTGTATCTGACACTCGGAGTGGATGGAGGAACAAAGGGAGATCAGTGCTGAGTCAGCTGCTTTTGATTTGAACAATCGGAGCATTGTATTATAAAGCTGGAAGAGGCCAGCAAGGAAAGGACAGGGCAGGGCAGGAAACGGATCTCCAGACATTTTGGACTTCAACACTCAGCATTCCCAGCTAAATATTCTGATAGCAAGGGCTTCTGCGAGTGGAAGTCCTCTAGGCAATCGGATCACAGGGGTACACTCTCAATATGTACCGTGCACCCATGCATTTGTAGCAAGGTGCAGCATACACTTCTGGGGAGTCTAGAATCCCCACTAATTCCCCTCTTTCATGTGCCCCTGAACAGTTCCAAAGTGCTGTCGCTACTTTTCTGAAAGCTAGACCAAGAAAAAGGCATCTCCCCCTTAAGTTGGCTGCAGTGGGCTCTTCTCACATTCAAGATCTCAAGTGGCTCAGCCCTCTGCAGCACAGGACAGCATGCTGGGGTTTTCCAGGCTTTGGAAACACCTAGCAGATGTTATACAGAGCCCTTTGCACTGGAAAGCTTGGCTGCTACAAATAAGAGGTGAGTCATTGTCACAAGACAGGCTGGCGAGTGCCAGTCGGGCATTCCTGCAGCCTTGAACACTTCCACATTTCCTTCCGTTCCTTTCTCTGCAGCTTTGGGGCAAGCTAGGACATGCTGAAAATCAAAAGTGCTCCCATTCACTTGCAGACACTCTGGCTTGACAATTAGGCATGGCCACGGCTGCACAGGTTCTTCCCAGAACTAGGTATAGCTAACCTGCAGAGCAGTGGAAAGCTCCACAACCCCATGATATGTAGCTGAGTCAGAAGATGCACAGCTGCACCTTTTTATCAAAGGATACAGGCTGGAGCCAGACTTCGTGCTTAGAGCAGACACACTGAAATCAGTGGGACTTAAGTTACTCAGGACAAAGTCCCATTCATGGGAATGCGTCTAATAAATCTGAACCCAATACCAGATCTGTAACCAGCCACATTTCCCCATGTTACGTCCTGAAACGTACAGAAGGCAGCAAGCAACCCTAACTAGAGTCCCATCTTAAGAGATTTCACCCAGGGAAGCTCAGGCCCTCCCTTTCCACTGTACTCTGCACAAATACTGCAAAGAAAATGGCTTTTCAGCTGACATATCCAGCTACAAACCTATACATGTATGGACCCCTCCCTCCCACCAAGCAATTGTCACCCATTCCTCAAGTGTGTGCAGATGAAGTGAGAACAGTGCTGGTTCCAAATTGTGGGGGGGGGGGGGGGCTTTTGCAAGGCACCTTCAGTGAGCACCCTGCCACCACCACTTCACTACCATTGGCACTTCTTTAACTTGTTTGACAGGGGAAAGACACTGCGTCAGCAGATCAGAGGCAGGCTCCCAAGGAGGCTCCCAAGGGGGAAGCTGACCAGTGCTGGTAAGTGGGCCCCTGCTGGGAAGTGGGTTCTTGTCAGGTGCCCAACCATGCCTATCACTGATGCAGGACCTGACTGCAAACATGCACACTCCTGTCAAGAAACAGGCCTCAGGGCTGTGGCTGAAAGGCATTTCAGACCTTGCTGAAGCCAAGCAGACCTGGGCCTGGTGAATGCCTGGGTGGAAGACAGCCAGGGCCCTTACATGCCTCACCCTGCATCTATCATGGGAGAAAGACAGATCGTGGATGCAATAAAATGAAGCAAAAGCATTGTGAAGATCTACAGGAAACTGCAGCGGTGCAGATATGACCAATTATCACTTAGCACATATGAGGTTATATGGCAGCTATCTGCCTTCAGAAGCTGAAAGGCTGAGAAGGGTTCAAGGTGATCTTTTGAGCTATGAACTCAGATGTCAAATCAGGAAGACACTGCAATGAATATGGATTTTATTTTTAAATAACACAACTTGTTGTTCATTAACTGAACAAGAGTTCATTGCATGAACCTTGTCACTGTGATCTGCACTGATTCTTACCTGCTTGGGTTATTTGATCTCCTGATCAGCTGCCATCTTAAGATACCAATGGCAGAAGCCTTAAGAATTTTACTAACACCCTTCTGTCCAGTGTCTGGCTCCACAGTGGCCCCACGTTTGCCTTTCTGCACACTGCAACAATTGTTTTTATAGCACTGGTGTGCAAGGAGACATCAGAAGCCATCAAATGCTCTTACCACAATTCCTTATATGCAGAGCCACTTCTGAAGACAGCCCAGCTACTTCAGTTAGCACAGAACAGAGCAGCAGGCTAGTTATAGGACTGGGCATTCAGAACACATTATCCCAGTACCGCATCAACTGCACTGGTTGCCAGTCAATTTCTGGACCTGATTCCAAGAGGCAGTGATGAACTAAGGCTGTAAATGATGTCGGATCAATCTGCATTGAGGAAACACTTTCTCCCTTGTTCCTGCCTATCAAGTTGATTTTCACAGTCTCTTTTCAGGGTACTACCACCCACAATAGTGTGACACATGGCTACTTTCCTGACCCCACCCCCCACAACTGTGGAATACTATCCTTGGGGGACCCAATGTCAGCCTTCACTGTATCTATTTCGATGCCAGGCTAAGACTTTCCTTTTCTAGAACTGAATCATTCATGTTCTGCCCCAATTATCAGTTTTACTGCTGACTTTAATTTTCAATGGCTGTAACATTGCTTCAATTTATTGCTGCTTTCACTTTTCAGGATGGCAAACTACTGTAGGGCACTTATCAGATGAGAAGTAAGTAAAGCCCCTCTAATGACAAACCAGAGCTTCAAGCCACCTTTCTATTTAGGGGTGGTAAGAATTGTTCTAGGTTGCACCAAAAGGCTCAAGAGAATGTTGGTTTCCGCCCCTTTTACCCTCTTGTTTAAGGCTGATTCTTACAGTGATCAACAGTTCACTATCCCTATTGACAATATCACTGACAATACTGACACATCTGACCAACGCATAATCGATTCCACATTATAGCCTGCATGAGCAATACAAAGATATGTACTTGCTTTTGTTACAGACAGCCATGACAGTAGTTTCCAAGGAATTATAAGAACCTCTTTCAGGGATGTGTTAGTTCAGCACTTGCCTACTACTACCAAATTCTTCCTTGTAATGGAATATTACAGAAGCATACTTTACATTTTCCAGGCCATCTGCTCATCTCAGGATTGAAAAGAGGACTGGTCATTAGCCCAAGTAAATTGGAGAGAGGCCCCTAAGTTCTCTGTAATAAGCCTCCCCAAAACTGGGCCTTCCATATGTGTGGGTCTATAACTCCTACCCTTTCATACGATGGCTCCGGTCGGGAAGTCTGTTCTACAACGTGTTGAAAATTTGTCGGCAGCAGAGTGGACAAAAATCAGTGATTTGAACAATTTTAAAAATTGGATTTTTAAAAATCTAAAAAGTTTTTAAATAAAATGCTTTTTGGGGAAAATCCATCTAAATAAAGTTTCCTATTTAAGATACATTATAGTCCAAAAGTTAATCATAATGAAATAAGGATTAGTTTTTAATCATGCAGCATGAGGTTGTAGATTCATGCAATGTTTCAGTTTTTTGGTAAATGAATCCCATTAACCCATTCACAATGTCATGTTCTTCCAGAGGTTTCTGTAAGATTATTTGGCAGTTTTTCCTATCTAGAAGATGCTTGCTTTTACAGTTCGCAAAACTGTGAATTTGTGTACAGCAAAAATGTTATAAAATAAACATACAGAGTGGAGAAAAGATCTTAATCCCATTGCTCCTTTGCCAATCTATGTACACAGATTCAACCCCTTACCTCTAAAATGCTAGGTTTAAAAAAAATCAAGAATAGAAGAAGATTGCTGGGAGTAAAATAGATCTGGACAACAAGTTAAGTGTAAGAAAAGAGGGGCAAGCAGTAAAAATGAACGTGAAGTGGAACAGAATATTCCACATATCTTTAGATCTTCTTCTGTATAGCCTGAGGCTTATCATATTATTCTTTCCCTGGAGGAGAAAATTGAAAAAGGAAGCAGGCCATAAAAGAAATCCAATTTGGGAATATTTTAATGAAGTTCCTCTACCTACAGGTAAGGCAAATATGCATGCAAATTACGTAGAAAACCATGATTTAAATCTAGTCTTACTGACTAGTGATATAAATAATGATTGAAATCAAATCCACTCTGCTCAGCAGACAAGTTAATGCACTGAGCCCCCACCCTTTGGACCATCTTTTGATATGCTGCACAGTTTGGATGTATGGCTGTAAGTCTTAATAATAAACACTTCATGTCTGCACTACTTCTTAAGTTCTGTTTTTAAAATATTTTGTACCAGCATACTTCATAATGCTTTTTCATTTGTTTTTATTATTTTTGTTTGAAATTGTGTATACTGTAAGCTGTCCTTGGAAATATTTTAAGTTCGGAAAGTAAAGCATAAAGAAATATGGCTCATAAAATAAGGCAAACATTTAAGCCAACCCTTCCAACAAAAATGGTTCTACTTATAAAACACTTAGGTTAAAATGGCATCAAATGAAGAAAGGACAGTCAATGCTAAACAGCCCTGCAGCTGTTGTTCAGCAACTTCCCCTGCATTGTTCCCACATCCTACAAACTGCTTTTCCCACTACAATCATATTCATTACAAACAGTCCAGGATTTCCCAGTGCATTTCTCTGCTAGGCTAGATAGAAACAGCAGTCTGTATTAACTCAGCAGCAAGAAGATACCTGGTTTCCCCAGAAGCAGGAAAGTTGGGCAGCCCAAGCCCCATGCATGTTTAACCAGAAGCAAGGCTTACCGAGTTCAAAAGGCCCAAGTGCATAGATGACAACACCTGACACTGCAAGTCCGACGTGTCTGATGGCTGGTACTGTTTTTTATTATATCTATTTTGCATGGTTATTTACTTCTATGCCCCTCAGAGAGGATGCCACCATTAAAATGATCTAAAACTAAATTAATTAAATAAATTGGTACAACCAAATATTCAGTCACCAACATGCTCCAAATATCACTCTTCTGTAGTTCAAGCCTCTTTTCTTGCCCTCTTACCTGTTTTCAAGTGTGATGATGTATTAGGATACGATTTTTCATTCGAAACTGTGGGAATAAGAAGAGACAGTCATTATTTGTACATGAATGACACTACACAATATTCCCATCTGGTTCATGACACCACCCCAGAGGTAGTTGAAAGTATGCCCAGGAAGCACCTGTCATTTAGGCCATGCAGCTGCATGGATCAAGGCTGTCGGGGCACAGCTGGCACTGCTACCCCCTTTCCTTTAGTTTGTCCACATCGCTTCCATCAACTTTTAATAAGACTTTCTGCTTTTAGCTTCCTCCATCCTATACCTTATCAACATTTAAGCATGCTGCATTTTTTGTGTGCATGGAAAAGAATAAACCCCCTTTCCCCAGTCCACAGGTAAAATTAATTCAAAAAGTAAAAGGCCTTCTATTAGTCTATAGAGTTTGGCTACTGTGGAATAACAAACTGGTGCTCCCTTTGTTGAAATAATTTTTATTATTGTACATTTTATTGCTTCCTGTGTACTGCGTTATTTCCATTTTAATGATGGAAGAACTGACATGGGAAATAAAGTGTTTATTGTGTTTGCATCCCAGTCATTCTCCAAGGAGCTTAAGTGCAGCATACAAACAAGCATTCTCATTTCAACCTCACAAGACCCTTGCAAAGTAGGTTTTACTAAGTGATGCTGTGCACTTTGTGCTCACATGAAGGTTTGCAAGAGCTTGTCTGAACCGACATGTGAAATTTAGGCTTTTTAAAGTCTATGCCTTAGGTAGAGACTGCAGTTTTGATAAAATGTGGAAGATCTGAAGCAAGGTGCTCAAGGGGACAATGAGAAAATTTGCCCATGACCTCTCAAGAGACACAACTTCCCTGACCCACACGGTTCCATTTTTCTGCATAAGTCTCCCAGATGGATCACTGTACACTCTGCAGTGCCCCTGGCTAAAGAGCAAAGTGGCAACACCAGGATGAACCCCACAGGAATGCAGCATGCGCAGGAGACACTCTGCAGGTTTTCATCAGCTCCAAGTGATGCAACAAAACCGAAGAGTTGGGGATCTAAGAACTGTTATGCAGCCCGGCTTGTCAGGGGGAGGAGGAGAGAAAAGGAAGGGCTCCCCCAAGGAGAATGTGAACAGGCATTCCAAGTCATCAGAACAAAAGGCTTTGCAGGTTTCACATAAATCAACAACTGGGACACTTACTCTTGCCTCCCTCAACACAACCTTAGCTCTCAGTAAAGCCAACAAAGGCTTTGTTTCTAAGGGAATAAAATAGCTCACTGCAAGAAGGGTTGCATTCTTCAAGTCACTTCCCAGGAACCAACATACTATACTGCTGTGGGAAAGGATGTAGCCTCAGAGTTGGCAGAGGGCCCACAGTTCCAAGCTATTTTAGCACACAACACAAGGCAAAGCAGCTTTGCCCTCTCCACATTGGAAGCCAAGCTAACCAGGAAAATCTGAGGGCTTTTGTCCACCACAGAGCACAGCCATTCCTCTTAAGTCTCCCCACCCTGCTTTCATCTGAACACATCACTCTAATGGTATTCTCACTAGCGGAAAAGCAAAACAAACTGTTATTCTGTATCCAATTTATTTCATTTATTAATTGCTCTATAGCCAAAGCTCTTCTGTGAGTCCTTGGTAGATTCTTATTTTAAGAGTCAAGTATGCTACAACTGATACTCTGTCAATTGTGCTCAATTATTTTTGTTTAGTAAAAAGTTTAAAAGATGCTATCTCTGCTCTGTAACATCAAGGTCCAATGTCAGTGGTGTTAGAATGGGCAAAAACATGCACCAACTCCAAATGGGTGCTTAGATAAGACAAGCCATCCACTGCATTTGCTCCCTTGCACTTGGAAGAATAGGTCAGAATAGGTAAGACAAGCCACAGGACAATCCTTATACATGGCTGCTTAGAAATAATCCACACTAAATTCAATGAGATTTATTCTTCCATTGCACGCGGGTAGGTAGGACTGCAATCTTATTTGCACAGCCCCCTATTGAAATCAGAAGGTCTTGCTTCAGAGCAAACCGGCATTAGGATCCGTTACAAGACTTTCCCTGCCTGCCTCCCCAACCGAAACGTAAACAGCTCTTTAGCCATGGGAAAAGGACGGAGAGGGAGGAAGAAAAGCTAAGTCTGACAAACCGTACCTGTGTTGCTTTGAAATAGCCCACCCCGAAACTCTGTATAATACTTCACGCCTATGACAAAAGTGATCGCTCGCCCACGAAAGCTTACGGCACTATTATCTTTTATATGGCTTTAAACAGGGTGCCACACCACTCTACGCTGCCTTTCCTTGCTGAAGTTTTTTCCTTCAGCTGTCCCATCCAGCCCCATTAACTTCTTCACTTCAAGGAACGCAGGCATCCCCCGCGCCCCGTTTTACTAAGGGCAGGGGGCCGAGGCACCCTGGCTGGCTGGCTGGCTGGCTGGCTGGCAGGCATCCCGCAATCTCTCTCCGCGGCCCCCAGCCTCGCACCTTCCTGCGCGGCCCCTTCTCGCCCGCGAACTTTTCCCCCAGTTGCTGACTTCGGCTCATTCTCCTCTCGCGGATCATCGTCTCCTTCTCTGGGCTGCTGCCGGCTTCCAAATGCCAACTCCCTCCTCCGCTTCGCTCGCGCACAACAATCCTTCAAGCACGCCCCCGCATAACGCAACCCTTGCGCCACCTCCGGCCAATGGGCGACGCCGGGCCCTTCCATTGGGGGAGAAGAGACCGTCGCCGCCGCCCAATGCCCGTCGTCGTCCTTTCAATATGCCCCGCCCTCCCAAGGGCCTGTGACGCAGCTCCGCTGTGGCGTTGGATTTTGCCGCGTCGCACCCGGAAGTGACTCCTCCCGAAACTCCCCCCCGCCTTTCAGGGTCACGAGGCTGTAAGTGGGTGAGTCATGCGGGGAAGATGATGCAATGCCCTGGCAACCGCTGACGACGGCGACGGCGGCGGCGGCCGAGGCCCGGCCTCTGACCTAGGCTCTTCGTGGTCTGCTTTGCAAGACCAGTCGTTTTCCTTTCCCTGCCCTCTACCCGTCCCAACAAGCCTGTACCCAGCTTGTCCCTTCAGTAGGGACTAGGCCGAACTACACTGGGAGGACCTCAGGGAGCGTTTGTGACGTCACGTCACGTTCACCTCGTCGGTTAAAGGGCCAGGCCTCCCTGGGGAAAAAACGAGGGAGTCTTCTCCGAGGCCCGGTGTGTATACAGAATTCTGTTGCCTGCCTCGTGCCTTTTGGAAAGGGAGGGCTTTTAAAGACAAAGCTCAGCTAATAATTGCATGAGTTTTAAGTAAATAAACCTGCATGAGAGTCCAGAAAGGCCGCGCGGGGGGCGGTGTTGAGAAATGTTCTTTGCTTTCACAATTAATAAAGTAGCAAACCCTGTAGTGCTTGTTCATGAAAGAAATGCAAAATCCAGAGAAGCAACACCAAAATAGCCTAAAAATATGCACATACTTTTTGCAACATCTAGTCTTGAGGAAGAGTTTGGAGAACTTGAAAGTCTGCGCAGTTTTGAAGAACTTTGGGTGGTCCTAAGAATCAATTGTGGATTTTGAATTTACATAACGCCCCTCGTAACATCCCATAATTGGTGCCATTCCCTCTTAAGTGAGAAAGGATGCCTCTTGAGAATACTTTTTTCAAAATACAGTTTTGTAAACATTACTAACACTGTTCTCTAATTAATTGAATCCTCCTTAATCCAAGCATTTTAGCACATTTTTTAGCCAATTGAAACTAAATATGCTACTCAAGATGCAAAATGACAGATCATTTATTTATTTATTTATTTATTTAAAACATTTGTATGCTGCCCAATTGTGCCACAGCACCTCTGGGTGGTTCACAATCACAAGATAAAACAATGAAAGCCAATGAAAACATAGTAAAATACAGTGTCAATAAAATACGGACAAAAAGTTTGAGTGGCATTAACTATTAAAATGTTTTTTTTTAAAGGAAGGTCTTTGCCTGGTGCCAAAAAGAACATAAGGGAGAACATAGAAACCACGAGTCAGAAGGGGTCTCCCAGGCCATCTAGTCTGACCCCCGGCTCTAGCCAGCTCCGCTCACGACATGCCCGCTGTTCTCATCTCTGGGTGAGAACAGAATGTAACCAAATATTAACAGTATCAGGAGGAAGTCAAACATAATTTAGTTGTGCTTCCCCATAGTATATTTATAATTTAATGGAACAAGTTGCTGGAGCATGTACATAAAATTTAAGTGCCCCATTCTAGTGTTTCCTGAATTTAAAAGGAAGGGCTGGGATGAGAAAGACATGCAGAATTGGTCATGGCACGTGGCAACTTACAGAACAGAGTTTAGGTACGTAAAGTGACTTGCTATTTGTCAGTCAAAAGTAATGCCCTATTGCTTTCTGTGTGTATCTCCAGACACAGAGCCTTACTCTCTTGGATGTATTTTTTTGAAATGAACACAATGGTTAACTAGAACTGAGGTGCTACTTAGATTTCATAGAATCATAAAATGCTAGAGTTGGAAGGCCACTGGGGCCACCCCCCTGTTCAATGCAAGACTCCACATTAAAGCATCACTAACAGATCACTGTCCAGCTGCATCTTGAATACCTGCACTTTGGGAGAACCCACAACCTCCCTAATCACTGGTTCCATTACCATAATTGCTGTAACAGGAATTTTTTCCTGCTGTTCAGCTGGAATCTGGCCTCCTGAAACTTGAGCACATTCTGTATCCTGCACTCTGGGATTATGAAAAAAGGGTCCTGGCTCTCCTCTTGACTTTTCAAGTACTTGACAAGTTGTATCTCCCCTCAGTTTTCTCAAGGCTAAACATGCCCAGTTCCTCCAATCTCTCATCACAGGGCTTTGTTTCCAGTCCCTTGATCATCTGTATTACCTTCATCTGAACCTTTTCCAACTTGTTTGCATCTTTTTTAAACTGGTATGGAGAACGACACAGGATGAAGCCTAACCAATGCTGAGAAGAAGGGACTAGTCCTTCATGTGATTTGAAGGTGATGCTTCTACCAGTGCACCCCAAAGGAGCATCTGCCTTTTTTGCAACTATATCCCATTGGTGACTTGTATTCAGCTTGTGAATTACAACAATGCCAAGATCCTTCTCATTTATAATGTTGAGCTACATATCCCCCATCTTGTAATGATGCATGTGGTCTCTTTTTCTTAGGTACATTCTTTGGCATTTGTCCCTATCAAATTTCATTCTAGCACAGTTGAATTTAGCACAGTGCTCCACACTAGCAGGGTCACTGAATTTGTTTCTGTCTTCCAGGGTATTAGCTATCCCACACAATTTTGTGACACCTGCAGTCTGATAAGTATTCCCCACGTATTCTCATCCAAATCATTTCATAAAAGAGCACTGGGCTCAAGACTGAACCCTGTGGTACCCCACTCAGTAGCTCTCAGCAGTTCAAAAAGTTATGCCATTCATAAGCATTCTTTGGCAGCATTTACACAACACAACAAGCAGTGTTGCATGGTTGTAATGGTTGGCAGTTTTTAACATCAACCTGACAGATGATTAACTGGTTTCTACATTATCATGGTTTTCATCCTATCCACTCGGTTCTCCCACGGTTGGCATGTATCCCATCAGCCACTGTGCCTTCAAGTCCAAGGTGTATTACTTTCTCTTCTTCTTCAGTCCACACATTGAGACTCTATCTATCTATCTATCTATCTATCTATCTATCTATCTATTTATTTATTTAAAACATTTGTATGCTGCCCCCATCGCAACAAAGCCTCGGGGCGGCTCACAACAAAATTGGCTCCTGCAGTTGATGATGGAATTGGCTCCTGCAGTTATTACTCTTTCCAGGGGATTCTGTGGTAGTTGCATACCAGAATGGTTAAAACCTTGATCCTAGGTTCAAACAACACAACACGCCATAGTGGTATGGAAAAACCATAGAACGAACCATAGTTTCTTATAATGGTTTATAGCACAATGGACCAGCAATGGTAATAAACTACTGTGGCTTATGTTGTCTGAGCCCAGTTCTATAATCAACTGTGGATCCACCTGATAGTTGTACCATCTAGCCCCTTGTGAACTAGTTTCCTAATGGGGATATCATGGGACACTGTCAAAAGCATATTTTACATATTAAGTAAAATATCTCTACAGTATTCCTACAGTTGACAAGGAAAGTTACCTGATCAAAAAAGATCAGATTAGTCTGCCAATTCTGTTGTTAAAAGGAATCTCTGAAATAGGAGTAGTACTTCTGAAGAACAGATTGAGTTCAATCTGCTATATTGATAAAGTAAATCTGCAAGTTTTTGAGTTCTTGTGCTTCTGAGATTTATGATCCTGGTTTCCTGACTGTCTACTTACATCTTCCCTGTCAAGGAACAATCATGTCTCCTGGATGTTGTGGAAGATTCTGGGGGAACATTCACTCCATACAAACTAAGAATATGTTGTCAAACATGCCAAACCTTCTTCAGCAACACAGATTATAGGGAACAATCAATAGTGGGTGACCAGGTTTCTTTGGAGGAGGCCTTGAGGACCTGCCTAAGCTGTTAAGGAATCAGCATTTCTTGAAACACAGTTTGGCAACCACTTTTCTGTTTAATTTAAATGTTGCACAGATTTGGGCCTGGGAATCAAGCAACTGTGTGAGGATTCACTTCATGACCTCAGTGAGTCTGCTATCTCTTAGGATCTATTCCAGATTTATAGAGTAGGGCTGTTTAACAACATGCATCATGACACTGAGAGACTGGAAAATTCTTATGCGTTCCAAATTGTAAATGCAAATTATTTACAATAAAAACACTTTATACTATAGATGGCTAGTGATTCAGCATTTGAGGCTACATACATACCTTGGTTCTCAGCACCAATCTTCCTCCATCTAGGATTTCACCAAATGTCACATCTTTTGACATAACCTCCATTCACCAAGGGTATGGGGGGCATCATGCTTAGAATCAGTGGCCTACTCAAATGCAGGTTTGGTCTACTGTTCTCTCACACAAAGTTATTCTAAATAAGAATTGTAAAACCTTTGGACACCACATGAGAGCCCCTCATGCAGATATGTATAGCCCTAAACTGAGGCATTATCCTGCATAGGATTACACTGGAAGTTTGTGGCAGAACAGGGAATTTGTCCTAAATGTGATTCATGGAAGATGAATCACTAGGCCTCACAGAAATTATTTCCTGCTATATTGCCAGCTAGAATGTGGTTGATTTCTGTCTATCCCATCCTCCATAACTGCACATCTTCATCCATTTACCATGCTTGCTGTTATGCCAGTGTCCACATGATCCTCTGCTTATCTACACCTGCCAATTTTCATTCCCGGTAACCACATGCCCCTAAGCCCTGTGACTGCTGCTGCCTTCATTCATATCCTTCCTTAATGTTCCATCTGTCCTAAGTGGCATAAGTAGATTTCACTTTCAGTGCATTTATATTTAATAGAAGACTACCCACTACTGTTAAATATGTACCAGTTTTCCAGTACCCCTACCTGGAGTGCTCTTCAGTTAGTTACAGTACTAAAAAAGCCAATAATACACATGTTTTCCTAAACAAAAATACAAATAAAGTGGCCCACTGAATTTACTGCCACAAGATGTTGTTGTTGTTACATTAGGTTTCTATACTGCCTGCAGCTGAAGCTGTCTGGGCAGTTCACAACATTTAAGTCAGCCATCCAGATTTCAGTCAGATCTGACCCTGTTTAGCTTCCAAAATTGGGCAGAATCAGGCACTTCAGGCAATTAATTTTGATATTTATAAGCCACCCATCATGAAATGAAGTCAGGGCAATGAATAACAAATATATAACACGATAAAATGCAATCATTAAATAATAGAAGGCAGTAATGAAATGTAGCTTGCTTAACATGTTCGTGCAAATAAAACCATGTTGACCTGGTGCTAAAGCAATGGCTAGGCTGATGCCAGTCACATTTCCATGGAGAAGGTATTCCAGACATGTGGTATTGTGACACAGAAGACTCCCTCTGTAATGGTCATGCTTTGAGTAGAAGACATCTTGAGAAGAATCTCCCCTATAGGTAGAGGTGGTCCTTCTGGTATTTGGCTCCCAAGCCAAATGATGATGACTGTTGGTTTAGAAGGTTTTTTTTAAAGGAACTGGAACTATGCATGTTGGGCTATCGGCTGTTGTTCGCCACAACAGCTAAATGCAGCCTGCCACATTCTGAAGCAGTATATATCAGCATTCCTCAGGATAGCCAGGTGTTGGATTCATTTCCAGCCAGCATGCAGTCTGGGAATTTCTGTCCAGCACATCTGGAGAGAACCACGTTGGGAAAGCCTGGTGTTATCTGAATACTGGAAACAAGCAACAGTGGAAGGCTGCGTAGCCTGTTTGTGAGTTTCCCAGAAGCATCTGGCTTCCTGTTGTTTGAAACAGGATGCTGGCTTGAATGGGCCTTTGGTCTGATCCAGCAATCCAGGTTTTCCATTACTTAATAAGAGCGACTTTGCTGGACCACCAAGTTTAGCATGCCATTTACAACAGTGAACAGTCAGATGCCTCCAGAAAGCCAACAATGTGGACAGTGGCAATAAACGGAATACATATTCTACATACGTATTCTAATAGCTTTTCCCTCTTACTCCGTAATTGTTCAAGCAAGTGCCCCTTAATATTGCAGGCTTAAGCTGCAATCTGTCTTTGACCAGCCACTGTTTTTATTGATGTTTTTAATATTCTTTTATTATTTTTATTTTGTTGGCTTTTCATTGGTCACCACTCCAGAATCTATGTAGATGTCTGCAAATAAACAAACCCTACATGCATATTTCTGAGGGCAAGTCCCATTGAACACTAGTCCTTATAGCTGAGTACACCTCTGTAGGCTTGCACAATTAGTGACTAAACACTTCCGTACAACTTTCTGCTACTCCTTCCATTGGGACAGGGGCAACCTTGTTTTCTCTTATCTTTCTTAGGAAACCCCTAAAGCAGTGATCGGTTGACAGCATGACTGTGTGATTGGTAAGCCCCTCGGGCCATTTCTCGTGTTTACAGCACCCAGTATTTTGTGGTCTCTGCTTTCCTGCAGGGTAAGTGGAGCATGTAGGGGCGGGGGATCGTATAGATGTGTGTGCCCGTGGGCCAGCAATAGTGTCCCCCTCCGCCGGCACGATGCTAAGAAAACGCGATCCTTGGTGGTTTGTGCCCCTAACAAGGCGGGCGGAGATACACATTGCTTCAGCCCCCAGCCTGCAGCCCCCAGCTAGTCCCTCGGTGCCTTGGGGAATCGGCCACGGCAGTTGGTTTCCTTGCATCGTCAGAGCAAAAGGGCAGGGCAAAGCAGGCCGCGTAGAACAAGCTAACAGCGATTCCTGCCGCGCCAGCTTCCGCACCGGGACTTGGAACAACCCAAAGGGCCCGGGCCAGGTTTTACCGCGAGCCCCGTGCGCAAAGCGCAGCTCCTGCGCCCTGAGCGCTCAGCGGAGGAGGACGGGAACGGAATTCCCAGGGCTGTTCCCCCCCACCCCAACCTCCACCCTCACCCCGGCCCCCAGTGCGCATGCCAGGGAGGAAGCTCCCTTGCTCTACCCCCTCCTCTTCCTGGCACTGAGTCCAGGGGGGGAGGGAGTGAGTGAGACAGGCACTGGGGGGTGGGGGTGGAGAGCACCAGCGATCCCCTGCACCCTGACCCCCTACCCACGGACCTGCCCGTCCAGCACCCACCGCAGGTGGGGCATCAGCCGTCGCTCCGGCAGGGGCGGGAGGACAAGTTGGAGCCTGCAGCTGCTGCTGGGGAGGGGGCACCATGAACCAAGGTAAGTGCCAAAGGGGGCCCTGGGCACTCTCTCCAGCCGGACTGGGTGGTGCATTTGGCACAGGCGAGGCAGTTGCGAGCGCCAAGAGTCGAGCTGATCTCCCCCCTCGGCTTCTCTTGACAGTTCAAACTTCTGCTGGAGTTATGGAAGCTTTCAATTTCTGAGCGGGGGGGAGAAGGTAGATTTCTCGGCCACCTCTTCGGCAGCTCTGCTGTACTGAGGGGGAGAAGCTTGAAATAAATCGCGGCCGGGAGCACCAACAGACACCCCCCTCCCAAAAAAAAAAAAAACATTTCCTGGTGAACGACCTGCTGTGGGGAAAGAGTGCTGGAGCGCTTACTGGGGAGTCCACACTCTGCGCTCCTGCAAATAGGGCTTGTTACTGCGCAGAGAAAGAGTTGAGCCAACTCTGCAAGGATTAAGGCAGACCTGAGCCCAAGGGGCTGATGGAAGTGGCATCGAAAGCACTCCCTTGTGCGGAGTTCTCCCCCCATCCACTTTTCTAGTCCCCAAACAGCAGGTGGCAGATGCTTTTGGGTAGGAGGGTGACATGTCATGAACTATAATTCCCCACAGCTCCCTCTAAGGGAATTCACATCTCAGCAGGAACCTTGTCTCTATATTTCCCATTCTTTGGTTGATAAATTTCAAACCTTGTGTTGTGTTGTGGAGAGTGAGGAGGAAGGCTTGCATCCAATCCAAACTGTCCCTCTCCACTTTTCTGTGCAGGGTAGAAATTGGATTAAAAGATATTAAGGCCATTCCAGAGCTTTGCTACAACTGAAGTGAGGTTGTAGTAAAAGTTTAGTTTTTTCACAAAGTGAAACTTTTACTACAGCCTGGAATAAGAGCTGAAGAGAGTCTCTAATGGTCATTAAGGCAAGTTGGGGACAGAACATATGCCTCTTTGCTCCAGGTTGCACAAATGCCTTGGCTCATTGTAGACTCTTGTCCGCTTCTGCAAGGAGTGGGAGAATTGTGTAGTATTTTTGCCATGTTTCGTGTGGTATATTTGCCTTGCTTTTTTCCTTGAGAATTGACTTATCAAATGAAAGAACCACCGGGCAAGCAGGGCATGTGGGATCTCTGAATGAATGGGACATTTGGATGATAGGTAGTTCTATCTGAAAGTGACTTGCATGGATCTGAAAGTGACTACTGCCCTGACTTGCATGGATCAGGGCAGTAGCAGTGGTGCTAGAAAGGAGTTGGATTTAGTTCTCTCATGTTGCTGATTTCTGTTAGGGCTTAGATAAATTCTGATCTTTCCAACGGTGTATTTTTGAAAACGGGCAAGATAACACTTTCAAGTTTGCACCTTGCAAAGGATAACCGACAGACTTGGCCTTGTGTTGAAAGGTAATCAGAGTGTGGCCATGCCTTACTAGAGAGGCCTAAAAGTTTCCTTGCATACATAGGATCTCATTAATTGAAAATATATTTCTCTTATTGGACAATCCAGAGTGTGTAGCTGCCATATACTGTGAAGAATATTGCACTGCCAGGTCCATCCCATTCCTGTGGCATAAAATCTATTTTCCTACCCTTTGTCACTTTACATCATGGTCTTTACATGATTTCTATGCATCCTGCCTCTGGCAGAGTCACATATTACAGAGCTGAACTGAAACAGCCTGAGCCATTCTCAAAGCACTTTCACCTGGGTAGCTGGGCTGTCTTTCCCCACAGTTGTGCCAGCAGCCACCTTTCCTGTCCACAGGGTTTGGTTGCATGCCATGCAGCACCTAGCACACTACGATTCTGCTAATGAAAGGTGAGGGAGTGTAGTCTTCCAGCTTTCTCGTGTTCTTCACAGGACTTTTAATGTTAAAAAGATTGGATTCTTGGAAGGAAACACAGTGCAGTTTGAAAGGAAGGAGCAATGTTTCAGTTTCCCTGCTGTTTCATTGCAGCTTCTGGTATGATGCAGCTGGACAGTCATCTGAGAGGGATGGTTTAACTTGGACTCCTGCATTGAGCTGGGGGTTGGACCCAATGGCCCTCTTGGCTTGACTGTTCTATAATAAGCCTCCCCATCCAATGACAAGCCTTGAGAAAACTAGTATTCCACAGCACAAAAAACTGCATAGTCAGAGGTGGAGAATCTGCTTTTTGAAGTGCCCTAGCCCTGCTCACATCTGGCTTCACCAATGAGGGGTGGGGGACAATCTGTGGCAGGTTGGTGTCTCTGTTAATTCTGTCTAGATTTCTGAGGGCTGCATGTGCAGCTTTGATGGCGCACTGTGTGGCGGTTGGGGTCGCCAACATTTGAACAGACCCTGCTCTCACTTGGTCTGCAGCTACTTGATTTGCGGAGTTAGTAAGTGTGGTGTTTATATCTGTGCTGTGAAAACCTTCCCCTGCTGATTGATTGATTGATTGATTGATTGATTTGGACAACTTGTGTGCCGCCCCATTCGCATAAGCCTCGGGGCGGCTTCCAATACATACATAAATATATTTCTAAACAAAATACATAAAATACGGGAGACATCCTGGTAGCAGATTTAAAATCAATAAATAAAATCAACAGTTAAAATAACATTTAAATAAAAAGGTCTTGGCCTGGCGCCAAAAAACAAATAACGATGGCGCCAGGCGGACCTCTCTGGGGAGCGCGTTCCATAAGTTGGGCGCCACCGCAGAGAAAGCCCTCCTCCGGGTGCTCACCCTCCTAATATCCTTCATGGAGGGCTCCTGGAGAAGGGCCTCTGCCGCCGATCTCAAGGGGCGGGAGGGCACATATGGATGTAGGCGCTCCTTTAGGTAACCAGGTCCCAAGCCGATATGATTGCATATCAAGCTGTCGTTAAAAGCAGACTACTGCTGCTAACTTTTGCAACCCCTTTTTTCCCTGGCTAGCTGGCAACTGTAATAGTGATTATCATTTATCACTGGGTTTTTACAACTACAAGGAGATGACATATGATCTGTTGGACAAGCTGCCCTCTGATCCAGGGCTGGCTTGATGGGCATAGATTTCCTAACTCTAAGCTTCCAAGTAACCATGTTCCTGATCAGCTGGGGTGAATAAGAATGGCATCCAGGGGAACAGCCAAGGAAGTTGTACAAAAGTAGGCAAGGTATAGACTAACAGATTTGTGAGGGCAAGTGGACCAGTAACACCCAAGTTTTTGTGGGCTACTAATGCTTGCAACCCTATTTGTGAAGCTGTCGTCCTCTTCCTACTCCCTGAGCTTTTTTTTCCCGAGTACCAGCCAGCACCTGCATATCTGTAGAAACTTCTCCCAAAGTATGGGATAAATCACATGTGCACTCTCCAAAAAGAAGGATCAGTGTGGCATGGGAGAATCCTTTATTAACTCTATACCTTTGGGTTTGTAGGTGTGGACAGAAAGTTGAACTGCAGCTGGGAGCTGAAGTTGAACTTCAACTCCCAGCATTCCTGATCATTGGCCATGCTGGCAAGGGGTGTTGGAAATTGGCCCCAAACACCTGCAAACCTTCTGCCCATCCCTAGACCCTACCTGGACACCCTTTATGAATGAAGGGCTCCCCTGTATGAGAGAAGAAAAATGTCACTAGAGACTCTTCTTGGCACAGAGATGCAGTAAAGGGAAAAGGTACATTTGCTGATTTTCTGCCACTCATTGCAGAAGAACATGAGGGGTCTTGGACTGGGAGTCTAGAGATCTGGGATCTAGCACTTATTGGCCATGAAGTCCACTGGATGTCTTTGGGTCTGTCACTGACTGTAACCCTTACCTACCTCACAGGGTTGTTAGGAGTTTAAAATGGAAGAAAGAGTTATGTAAGCTGCCTTTGGTTCCTCACAGTAACAAAAGGCAAGATATAAAAATAATATATACTAAATAAATGTAGGTAAAGGAAGGGGTCCCCCAGTTCAATAGGTATGACTTCTGGGTTTTAAGCACACATATCCTTCAGTCTAGGTATTTTGATTTGGTCTACATCTATAGTAGGATGGGGTGGTAAGACCCACAACCTCTGTACTGTAGGTCATGGGACAGAGTCATGCCTGCTTTCCTACCTAAACACATCCCTGCAGGTAGAAAACTAACACAGCCAGGAGCAGGCGAAGTTAAAATCTTTCTCCCTGGTTTGCTAGCTTTTTACTTGCAAGGAGATTGAAGAGAGCACTGGAATATGGTATTCCTCATCTGCAGTCAATTCAGCCTCTGCTGTCCTCTAAGGATTCTGTCATCTCATTCTGCTGAATGTGTAGGCCAGGCTTAAAGAGGGCTGGAGACAGGGTGGGGTGAAATGTGTGTCTGTGCATCCAGCTTGCTTTGTATGCTGCCCAGAGAATGCTGGCTGTTGGGTGGTATAGAAATAAAATGAAAATGAGAAGCTTGCCAGTTTAGCCTCCCCCTTCTTAACTCTTCCTTCTAACCTCACAGTCAGGAGTGTCTGCATTTCCTCACACTTTTCAGAGAAAAGCAGTTGTGTGCATGTGTGCATGTAGACTCAGGTGAAGGTGTGCAAGTAGCAGGATTTGAATCTATCTTGATTACTGGGAGCTCAAGACTCGGGTTGCTTGTTTTGCTTCAGGGTGACCAGTGAGACATATGGGGAAGGGTGTGACCTCGTGCATGAATTTCAGTGTTGAGCTTTTGCTTGACTTCCTTTTGCAACACAAAATAATAAAGTGTGCCTCATTTCAAGGCAATGAGGACGTTTGCTGACCTGGTGAAGGCACAGTAGTGCCCTTGAGTATTGTCCTAATGCTTGCAGAAATCTTTGACCCAGATGGTTCCTAGCATCAGGAGAGGCTGAATGGGGAATCGACTTAGCTTCCTCTCTCTCTCTCCACCACCCTGCCACAGTGTAACGGCCTCTTTCTGTTCCAGGTGTAGGCTAGTGTGGCTGGCAGAGTAGGTGAGAGCTCACTGAGCTGGGCACCACCTGCAAGAGCGAGACCGCCGGACAAAGAGTGCCCCGAGGGAGCATGCCCACCCTTAACACCGCCTGCCGCGAGGTTTGCAGCCATGAGCAGGTAGGCAGAACCCTCCGCAGACCAGAGCTGGGATTAAAGGATCAGCCAGCTGTTTGGTGCTTCACAGCTCCCTCCTGATGGAGTTTAGTAGGTCAGAGCTGCCCAGTGAGCACAGGAGGAGGAGGCAGGGGAGGCAGACACTGGGGGATTGGGGAATGCAGTGGCTGTCTCCCTGATGATTCTACTGAAGATGCCTGCTGCAGCCCTGGGCCTCCCATGTCCTGCTGATGCCCGTTTTTGCTGTGCCGCCCTGTTTCTGTCCTTTCCCTGCCCTCCCACCACTCCAGGCCTATTTGTCTGCTCTGTTCTGCTTCTCCTTAATGGTCCCAACCTGCAAGCCTCTCCCTTCACCAATCCTAAAATCCAGTTGAATGCCACAGCAGAGGTCTGCTGGGACTGTGCCGCTTCAGATTGGAGATGTCAGGGGGGAAATCACCTGCTTTTTGAATGCTCCCCCATGATTATTAATTTCAAGAACACCCTGTGCAGAACTACACCCCCACTCTCCTCCACAGTGTGAAGCAGTGCGGTCCTAGGAGGACTATGTTGTGATTCTGCTGTTGTGTAGCTTGGCTCTAGGCCATTCTCTACTTAGCTTAGCTAAGAATAACCTTCAGCCATGGCACAGAGCCTCTCACTATCCTAGTTCTGACCTCGCCTCACTAGGCCAGCGATGGTTTTACCATGGTGCTCACTTGGCACCATGACTGGGGGCTTAGAGATAGGGGTACATTATCAAGCAGCATGTTTTTGCCACCCAGGTTTTCAGAGGGGTGGTGATATTAGGCTGTTGCCGCTAAGAGAAGTGTGAGTCTTGTAGCACCTTAAAGAACAGTCATTCCAGCCTAAGTCTTCAGGGACTGTAGAGCACTTCATCAGTGGACGGTGCCATGAAAGCTCAAGCCAGAGGAAATGTGTTCATTTGTATGGTGCTGCAAGATGCTTTGGCACTCACTGATCACGTGTCCCATTTGTGTGGGTTAGTCAAAGCCTGAATACCCCCTAGCCTCTCCAGCCTGTACACTGAGGCCTTCTTTTTCCAATTACAGAGTGATAATGTTTGCTTGCCCTCTCTTTCTCCGTCCTCTCCCACAGTTACCTGCTGAAATCCCTCTCCCTGCTCCAGGCGCCACTCGGCATTCTTGCTCCTGCCTTCACAGTGGCCCGCTCTGGTTCTTTCAGGTGCCCAAGCGCTGAGGGAGCACAATGAATGGTGGCGATGATTGCTCTGGTGTGGATCGAGGTGGGCGCCCAGCAGTTACACCCGTGCCCGTGGGCTGGCAGCGCAGGGTGGAGGAGGGCAGAGTGTGCTACATCAGGTAAGCCAAGCTCCCAGCTGTGGCACAGGGCTGTGCATCCTTCCGTTCCCCCTGCCTCTGGGCCTAACACTGCTTGCTGTCTCTCAGTCCTAGCGGCACGAGCCTGGCTTCACTGGAGCAGACGCGTGCATACCTGCTGGCGGACGGCACTTGCAAGTGTGGCCTGGAGTGTCCCCTCAATGTGCACAAGGTACAGAACCTCGGAAAGGGCCTGACTGGGGTTTGGCATTGCCAGGGGATGTGAGACTAGAGGATTTCACATTTGCAAGTAACCGGAATTGCTACAGCTAGAGGAGATGAGAGATGGGAGGATACGGGGCTGGGCATAGCTGGGCCTCTGCTGCAGGATCCTCCGGGCCTTGCTCCTCTTCCCCCTCACTGCAGCCTGCATGCTGACCTGTGCTCTGGCCAGGCAAGGCAGGTGGTGAGGCAGAGGAGTAACCCTGGCCACTCTGCCTGTCAGGAATGCCAGTGGTAGCACTGATGGGGTGCAGGGTGCTGGGCTAGGGCAGCTGGTGACAAGGGCAGGGAAAAGGTAGGCTCGCTGGGTGGGGGGGGCAGCACTGAAAATGTGGAGCTCACCGGCAGTAGATATTCAGCAGGAATATGCCTCAGAGGAAGTCAGGCCTTGGCTCCATCTTGGTCCCTGCTCCTTAGGATAACTGGCAGTGGTTTCCAGGGTGTCAGACTGGACTCTTTCCCTGCCCCACCTGGAATTGCTGAGGAATGGGCCACCTGCATGAGAAATGTGCTCTTGACCATTGATCCCTGGCTCCCTCCCCTAGCTGCTGAGCCTAGTGCCAGAAAATGGCAACATCAAGCAGACTTGTCCCCCTACAAGGCTTGGCGAAGGGCCCACCTGCCCGAGCACCACCATTTGCTTTTCCAGGGAGCATCCAAGAAGGACAGAGAAGTTACCCTGCAGATATAGTTCTCAGGTGTCAGGGCTCAATCCACAGCTTTGCAGGCTTCCACCATAAATAGGCAGAAATATTTGGCCCTGGAAGCCTGATAGGAAAGAGGAACATATTAATAGCTTACTTAGAAAAAGTGCTGGGAGGAAGAGAGAGTGTAACATGGGCTGCTTGGAAGCAGTGGGTTGGAGTGATGGGAACAATACTGGCAACTGACAGAGTCCGAGCCAGATCCAGGTCCCTGAAGGATGTTCCTTGGCACATTCAGTTACCTTTTTGTGGTAAGAGAAAAATTGATGAGTGCGATACTTGTCAGCTGATGTAGCCCTGGCTCTGGGCCACATGCAGCTCGGGAAGCAATGTTGCCTGACCCCGTGGGTCTTTCATGGGGACAGAGGGGTATAGGAAGAGAGCTAGTGGGCTGTTCTTCTCTGTGGGGTGGCAATGAGTCCTTGTTCTTTATGCACAGTGGTCCAGTGGCCAAGCTGGTTGCTGGCCCTGGAGTTGGAAGACTAGCTGGTAGGACAAATGTCCGGCCAGTTCAACAAGAAGTGTCCTGTCCGTGTTGTGAAGCTGCCTCCTTTCTGGGTTTTCAAGGAAAGGCTAGAGGGGCATGTGGCTAGGGATATGTTAAAGACTGGCAGGACTATGTGAATGCTGTGCAATTGCGCCAGTGCTCTCAGATGCCTAGATGTGGCCTGGAGTCTTGAGAAACTCCGCCTTCCTTCCACCTGCCCTCCCCAGTATGTTTCTAGTCCTCATGGTGTGTAAAGATATGCTTGAAAGTATGAGGCCAACTTCTGCAGGGCTCTCAGAAGACAGGAGGGTCAAAGAGAGCAATAGTTAAAGCATTTAAAATTATTTATTATTAATTTTGAATTATTTTAGGCAGCAACCCTAAACTCACTTTGCTGGGAGTAAGTCCCACTGAATTCAGTGTGGCTTTCACCTGAGAAGACAGCAATAGGATTGTACTATTGGTGTGTTCCAGCTTTGCTTTGATTGTATTTGTTTTTTTTGTCTAGTTGTCAGATTCACTGTGTTGTGTGACTCCTTGTGGCTTCTCATCATGCCTAGAAAACCAGAATGTAACATACCAAATAATTTAAATGGTTAAGAATACATTGGGTAAATAAGATTGCTTCATTTGCAGAATATCCCAAGGTTGCAGAGGACAAATGGAGCAATGCAGGTTTTTCTTCTGAAGGGTAGAGAGTTGGAATGATGTGGAAGGGTCATTCCGACTCTGTGATCCTAGGAGTAGAATAAGACTTCCACCTACCCCCGACCTACCAAATTCTGCCATTTAATTTGAAGAGCAGCACGTTAGATCCATGAACGAAGTAATCATTTACTGCACCAGCCTTTGGAAGCTATTTTGGAAAGGAACAGGATGTGCGTGTTTGGCTTGGATGGGGTCAGAGTGTGTCATTCATCAGCAGCAGAAGCTGGCAGTGCACCCAGAACTCCCTTTTGCCAGCAGCACATTCCTAGCCCTGCACAGAGGAGTGGCTTTCGAGTTCCCTCCCTTTTGGGAATCCCATTCCATGGCAGCCATCTTGCCAAGGAACACCTGCATGTTGCAAAGGATGCTGTGGGAAGGAGGGTATTGCAGGGTGCACACTCACTTCACACCGAATCCTAGCCAAGCTTGGGACTGACAGTCCCCGTGTGTGACCTCGGAGCACAACCTGGGATAGTTTTCCCAACCTGGTGTCCCCCAGTGTGTTGCACTGCAACTCCCATCATCCCAGAGTTCCCTAGAACAAGGGTGGGGTAGAAAGCAGCTCTCCAGACATGTTGGACTTCAGTTCCCAGCACTCAGAAGTTCCCAGCACGCAGAAGCCCCTGCCAGCATTGCCTATGCTGGCAGGGGCTTCTGAGAGTTGAAGTCCAAGACATCTTGCCTGCCCCCTGCCCTCAAATGCAGCGGCCTGATTCACTGGCTCCTTCTAGTTCTTGGATGCAGTTCCTAGCCAGGCTGTCCATCAGGGGGCTGCAGTAGAGGCTTCCTTAAGCAACTGTTTCACCTCCATGCCTAGGAAAAGCCCATCTGCCACACAGGGGGAAAGGATAACCTGAGTTCTGTATATTCCACACTCCAGTGAACCTGCCACATGGAGAGTGGTGTCAGACTTCTGCATTCTGAGAATTTCAGCTTTTGGGTTTTGCTTTATTCAAAACAACTAAAGAACAGTGCAACTAAAATTTCCAGTTCTTGGTGTGTGTGCATGGAGGGATTGTTGCAGTGTTCTATATTACTCTTTGCATCTCATCTGAGCGAAAGAGAGATAATTTTGGAAACAATATATAGATATGTTTGATTTGCAAAGTTTATTCAGGTTGCAAAATCCAGCTTTTGCAGGCAAAGAATTTAGATTTAATGAGGGGAGGGTTTGCTGTACTGGCACCTTTGGATTTCTATTCATTTTTTATCTTGCTGGGAGTATCTGCAGGAAAGACCCTTCTATCTTGTTGCTAACTTTCATGTTGCCTGTATGTGGTAGAGAATTGCTGGAAGATATCAGCACTGATTTACAGTATGTGATCATTAAGGAGGCATTTAAAATCACTGTGGGGTGTCACAGGTAGCACACTAGCTTTGGAACAGAGACCTGGCTTCAAATCCCACCCTCACCTATGGAAGTCACAGGGTCATTTTGGGTCAGTCCCAGTCTCAGCCTAACCTACAACAATCCTTCACAGGGTTGTTGTACAGAGGGGGGGTGGGGAACCACATACACCAAAATGTGCAAAATAAATGAGGGATCCTAATTGGCTTCTGCCCAGCATAACCTAAGAAGAGAATGCATTACACCACTATGCGTGAGGACGGCTTCTTGAATGATGCCTTGTGTGCCATTATATTTAAACAGCAAAGCTACTGCCAGTATCTACCTCCCTCTGTCCATCTCCCCCTGCTTCACTTTTGGAGCTCCTTGAATCCCAAGCCACAGCCCTGTCAGAAATGTTGTAAGAGGTTGGCATTTGAAGCTCAGTGTTAAGCTGAAAAGAATGCAGGAAAATTTCATTACCTTAGATCAAACCTGTAATGTTGGTGCAGTAGGGGCTGCCGCGGGGGGAGGGGGGGGAGGCTTTAACTATCCATCCTGCTCCATTGGGGTGAGGTAGGCTGTATATCCAGCTCCCTGGCTCAACTCTGGCCCTCTGGAGTTTCTCAGATCTCTCCCCTTGTCCTCATATTCCTTCCTACCAATCTGCAATTGTGCAGTGATTTCCCAGTTTTTGTGCAGTCTACACTCTCACCCCATTCAATAAGGCTGAAATTCCTGGCAATAAGAGCTTTAAGATGCAACAGGCTGTTTTTCAGGTCTACCCACCCTTGGAATTTGTTATCCAAGAGCATCTCCAAAACAGAATTCAGCCCTCAGACTGAAAAATACTCTGATCGGAGTAAATACAGGAGATAGAGGCAGGTCAGACAGTCTCAAGGGGAGGTTCTGATTCTGTGCATATGTATGAGGGAGTCCGTCCCCCTTGCAATCAGAGGGACCTCCTTCTGGAAAAACATGTGCGGGGTTTGTCATCAATACAGGGATTTAATTTGTAGGATGAGGCAATCACAAGCTGCCAAACTACAAGCTTACTTTGTAGTCCTTGCCTAAGCTCCCCAAGCTGGGAAGGCCATCCCCCAGGTTTTAACCCTCCTGTTATGGCTAGGTTTTCAACTTCGACCCGGCAGCAATGGTGACAGGGAGCGAAGCTGCCAAGGCAGAGGAGGACATGACCAAGCTGTGCAACCACCGGCGGAAAATTGTGGCAATGGCCACGCTTTACCGAAGCATGGAGAGCCATGGACCACTCGGCCTGCCACATCTAGGGCCAGGTAATTATGTTCTCCTGGGGAGGGGTGCTCTTGCCACTGATGATGCACACATGCACACTTGTAGCTCTCCTTGGTAGGGCTGTTCAGCCAGCTGTTGGCATCCCTTTGTGAGCAGCAGTCAAAGCCAGAAGGTGCGCCTTTGGGTTCTGTGACACCTTCAGGAGCAGAGGGCCATGCTTTGCTCCCTCTTCATTTAATCTTTTCCGTTAGAAGAGTAAAGCACGCCTCAAAACTGGGGCAGAAAATGTGCTTCAAATATTTATTTATTTATAAAATTTGTATGCCGTCCAATTACTTGCATCTCTGGACAGCTTACAACATAAGTAAATTGACCCACTCTGGCTGCAAGTTAATAAAATACAACAATAAAATGCAATATTAAAACATATTAAAATATTGATTAAATAAAAAGGTGTTAACCTGGTGCCAAAAAACATATAATGATGGCGCCAGGCAGACCTCTCTGGGGAGCACATTCCATAGTCGGGGTGCCACCGCAGAGAAGGCCCTCCTCCAGGTACTCTGTCTCCTAACGTCTTTCAAAGAGGTTTCCTGGAGTAGGGCTTCTGTTGCCGATCTCAGGGGGTGGAGGGCAAAAAGGGAAAAAGGCGTTCCTTTAGGTATCCTGGTCCCAAGTCCTTTAGGGCTTTATAGGTAATAACCAGCACCTTGAATTGAGCCCGGACTTTGATGGAAAGCCAGTGGAGCTGATAGAGGACTGGGGTTATATGAGTATATCGCCCAGTCCCCATCAGCAATTTGGCAGTTCTGTTTTGAACCATCTGAAGTATCTGGACTGCCTTCAAGGGCAGCCCCACGTAAAGCGCGTTACAGAAATCCAACCGGGAAGTAACCAATGTATGTGTTACTGTTGCTAGGCAATCCTCCTCCAGGTAGGGACACAGCTGATAGAGTAGCCGAAGCTGGAGGAAAGCGCTCCTCACCACTGCCATCACTTGGGCTTCCAAGGACAGCTCCGGGTCGAGGAGCACTCCCAAGCGGCGGACCCTGTCCCTAAGAGGGAGTGCAACCCCGTCCAGGGCAAGGCCCAAGTCACTTACCCAGGAGCTCAGATCACCCACCAACAGAACCTCCGTCTTATCTGGACTGAGCTTCAGTTTATTGGGTCTCATCCAATATCAGGAATTGGGGCAACGCTAAATACTTGTTGAACCACTATCCCTAAGGAAAAGCTTGTGTGCCAGACATGTAGGAAACCTCTGTGGTCTTGACTATTCCTCTCCCTCGCCCAATGCCTGGTGGCTTTAATCTTAAATATCCTCCCAACCCACCCCCTCCCCTCCCCCCCTCCCCTCCCCCAGTTTGATGGAGAGCTGTGCTATTTGTCCTCCTGCTTTGGGAATCATTGCCTTTGCATTGGGCTTCCTTTTCAGCAGGTGGGTTGGCCCAGCCGTCTCACCCAACCACGCCAGGACCCAGCGGTCGCCCCCAGCAAGCCCTTCCCAGCAAAGCATCTGCCACCTTGGCCAAGGGCCCGGAACTCTACTTGCAGTGCTCCTCTGATCGCTACAGCAATGCCTGGCCCATCCAGGCCTCCTCTTTTCCCCGCCATCACAACGCTCTCTTCGGGGACGTCTTCCCAGGCCGCCTGCCTGCCACCACCAATGGCACCCCCCGCCCAGCCTTCCCCACCGAACTGAATGCTGCTGGAGGTTCCTTTCCGCCTGGCAAGGCCCCGATGGATACACTGCTCCGGCCTTACCCCTCCGGCGGTCTTCTCTTCCCCCCACCTGATGAGGTGGCACCTGGTGCAGAGGGCGGCCCTTGGAGCAGCCGCCCCATATCTCTGGGCTCGCAGATGAGTGCCGCCGGCTCACCTGCCCCCACCAGCCTCTCCTCCGTCTCGTCGCCAGCAGGCAGTGCTGCCCCCTCCCCTCAGCGCTCCAGGCACTCCTCGGCTTCCTCGGAGCAGGGCCTTTCGGGACACTGGCCAGCTCCCAAGCCCTCCAGCTTGGACGCAGCGCCCCCAGCCAACGCCTTAACCAACCAAAGCAGCAATAACCTGCCCTCAGTGCCCTTAGGAGTTGCCCCGGAAGGGAAGGGACCGCCTGGCCTGCTGCTCCTCCATCCCCAGGGCCCAGGCTCTTTCCCAGCCAGCAGTTTGTTGAGCGCAGCTGCCAAGGCCCAGCTGGCCAGCAGGGGACGTCCCGACGAGCTGGCTGCCAGCACTTTACCCAGCCGCTTGCTGCTGTCTGTCGTGGGGGGGGCGGGCACCTCGCCGCCAACGCCGCTCCCCCACTGTTCTGCGCCTGCTCAAGGACTCCCATCCCGGGCAGGTCATGGCCACCCATCCTGATGAGACACCGGCTCGCCACGCCCGGCCTCGGGACCAGCCGCCCGCAGGAGAGGCCAAGAACGGAGCCCTGAGCTCGGCAGCCCCAGGGCAGCCCCTGTCATCCCTGCTCAGCCTGCTTGCCCCTCCCGTGACCTCTCCGATCCCCAGCCTCCCACCACTGCCCCAAAGCCCTGCCGGCGACAGCCCGAACTCTTTGCCCTCCTCCCAGGACTTCAACAGCCAGCTTCTCAGTCTCTTTGGGCAGCTGGCCTCAGTGTCTTCCGAACAGTTCTCAGGGAGCCCCCCGCAGCCAAAACCTCCTGTCTCCCCACTCGGATCCGGTGGCCCCCAAGGTATGTGCGTGCGTATGTAGGGAGGTGCCCTTCCTAGATGCAAGTCACTGCAGTAGGCCTGTCCACTGTCTTTGGTGAGGTAGGAGGCCATGAGTGGTTGGCCACAGGCCTCCTTCATCTGCTGGGTTTGAAGAGCAAGGCCTTCACCCAGCACCTTAAGACAGGGGTCCCCAACGCATGCCCATGAGTGGCCGCTGCATCTGTAAAGCCCATCAAACTGAGTCACTCATCAAACTCTTTTCCCATCTGAAAGGGTATGGAGCAATGCCTCTGTTCACACATAGAGGGGAGGGGAAAGGATGATGGGGGGACAGAATCCAACGTGGATACACCAAGGCACCTTGGGGTAACAGGCATCTCTGTGTGTGTGTGTGCGTGCGTGCGTGCACACCCCTTTCAGCCATTTTTTGGGCAGAAAGGCTTTTTCTCAAACTATTATCATCAATGGAAAAAGAGCTTGATTGCCTTTAACACTAGTGAAGAGGGACAGCGGGGAACCTGAGAGTTGATGGAATAGAAGAAAGAAGAGCCAGAGAGAAAGAGAAGTCAAGAGGACCTGAGGCAAGGAAAGAGAGTAACTGGAGCAAATGGACCCATATTTTGGGGATGGGAGCTCCCTGCAGTCTCGAAAATTGGCTGTCCATCCTACTACAGCAGCTAATTTGTGGCAGTGCTCAGGGCACTTTTTCAAAACGCCCCGTCTCCCTGCAGGTCCCAAAAGCTTGGACTTCATCCCCTTGAGCCCAGAGCCCTCTGCAGCTGCCTTCAGAGGATGTCGTGCCTCATTGCTTGGTCCTGGGCGACTGAACTGCTTTCCTTCCCACAGAGCAGCTGCTCTAAGGGAGCCTCAGGCAGCACAGGGTTCTGCAGGTTTATGCAAAAGCAAACCCCACTGGGTTGAATGGGACTTATGCCCAGGTAAAAGTACGCCAGGATCATGGCCCTACTTTGTGAATGAGCTTACATCAGCCATGAATTTGGTAGGTCCAGCTGCTATTGCTCAGGGCTAAAGTAGGGATGGCAGCCTTTTTTCCTGCTCCCCACCCCCTTTCTTATTTTACTTGAATGCAGCTGCAGAGGGCTCTGGATGTGACTGGAGCCGTGGCGGGCAGAACCCTTGCCCCTCAGGCTGTTTTCCTGATCAAAATCAGGCCCTCTTCTGGTGGTTTACCCACTTGTGGAGGCTGTGGTGGAATTGGGAAATAATTGGCCACATGCCTCATTTCCTCTGCAAGAAGACAGCAGCCCTGGGCTAGTCTCATCAGGAAAAGGGCCTGCAGTTAAGGGTAAAACACCCTGCTGCCATTCTGGTCAGATTCAGTGTCCTCTGTGACTATCTTATAGGGGAAGACAAACCGGGCACATGCCATGTTGCTACCAGGATTGCATCTACTTGGCCCTTGGTGTCTGGAAGTCTGCAACATGGACAAGTGTTCAAACACTGTCGGTTCCCAGTGCTCTTACAAAGTTGGGCCTGGTGGCTGGCAAGTAGGTTGCTGCAGAGGTCAGGAAGCTGCCTCTTCTGCCTGCTCCCTGGAGTGGCATTTCCCAAATTGGCACGCTCCAGATGTGTCAGACTACAATACTCATCATCCCCTGGCTGCGGATTTGGGGACCCTGGAGAGGAACCCCTGCCCTTCAGAGAAGGCAACAGTGTAGCAGATGGGCCAGTCCCATGTGTTCTTGGTTGCTGTCCAGAGCAGGAGATAATGACTGTGGAATGACCTTCTCCAAAAAGCTGTACAATAGGTCATAGGAGTGTGGGAACGGACAACTGATAACCCCCTGTAGGTTGTTGGACTACAGTGCCCATCATACCTGCCCATTGGCTATCCTGGCTGAGGTTGATGAGTTGGAATCCAGCCACACCTGCAAGGCCGCAGGGTCCTGCCCCAACCCCATAGCTAGCGCGTCTCTTCCTACCGCCTTGCTGGGCCATCTGAAGTCAAATTTGTGCATCTCCCTGTACTGGGAAGATGGGTAAGCCAGGTGTTCCCAACCTGGTATCGTTCCTTCAGGTGTGATGGCCTACAAGTCCCATAATCCCTGGTCATGCTGGCTGCGGTTGCTAGGTGTTGTTTCTGAACACATCTGAGGGCCGTGGGTTCAGGAAAACTGATAAAAGCAGAAACCGTCTACACAGATGCCGCTAACATAGCCCCTCTTCCGCATTAGTCCCTGCCATTTGGTACCACCCATGCCCTCCATTTTTAAAGAGGCCATTACAATTAGCAAGATAAACCTTTTTTTCAACACATTGATTTTCAGAACATCCCCTTGGCCCAACTGCCCTTCTTCAAAGAGATGGCTGTGAAATAATACGAAAAAATGACAAAAAGAACCTACAAGCATGTACAGAGGGTCTTTCTCACCACCTAACCACTGAAGCCCCCTGAGTTGAAGTTTAGAGTACAGGCTACTCAGGGCAAAGACCTTTCCTCTTATCTTTTAGGAAGCACCATGCACAGGGATGGAATATAACAGACCTGTACTTCATTCCATGGCAGACAGCAGGGATCTTATGTAGCTAAAAGGCCTGGAGCCATTTTCTTTTTAATGTGAGTGCCTGTCCCTGCTCAGACTTCTGGGAGCACAGGCCAGAAATCATGGTTCCCTTCCCATGCTGCCTCAACCCACCATATTAAGTGTTCTCTGCTGGCTGCTTCATTGCCGATTCCTCCACAGTGTCTGGCATAGTACATTCAAGTCAGACCACACGTAAGGTGAAACAAATCAGTGCAAACAGAACAAAATCTGTAAAACTTTTTTTAGTTAAAGCAGGCCCATGTCTCACTTTCCTGATCTGGACTGTGGGAAGAGGGCAATCTAGTTCTTTGTTTCCTTGGCACTAACAGGAATCTCCTCCTAGAGCCAACAGCAACTTTAGAGGGAAGAAGCAATTTTCTCTAGGGGCACAGTGGGGAAAGACCCCCCCTCCCACTCTGCATACTCACACACTGCATGCCGCAGTACCCATCCGGGGCACTTATTAGAGTAAGAGCAAAGATTCACAGAAGTCATAGTTGTTGCAAGGGCAGCTCTCGTTGGATTCCAGCTTCCATGAACCCCAGCAAGTAGTTGAGGAGGATGGAAGTTACAGTTCAACATTTTCTGGTGGGCCACTTGTTCCCCACCCCTTAGTTTACATATGTAGGCATGGCCTCTCTCAGCACAAATAAAATGATGTTGGGGAGATGGTAGGTTAGAGGAAGAAAGTTGTACCTGGGGTGTTGCCAGTAGCAGGAGCTTTTGCTGTTATAAACACTGTTGGCTGTTTTCTTAGGGCAGATCCATCCCTGCTCAAGGAACTATCCTTGACCAGGCTAGGAACTGGTCAAGGCGCTGCCTGTGACTTTGCAATGGGGGGGGGGGGGGCAAAGAGGAGCCAGATTTAAGGAAAGCAGGTCGAAAGGAGGGCAGAGCCCCCATAGCTCTAATAGTCATACAGATGAGGTTATCCAAGCGGGGATGGGTAGCTAGGCCCTTCCAGATGTTTTGGACTTAAAATTCTCCTAATTCCTAGCTATTGGCAGTGCTGGTTAGGGTGATGGGAACAATGCAGCAAAGCATCTGGAGGGCAGTAGGCACTCCTTCCCAGCTCAGTGTGGCACAGAAAACTTCACTGGCCACAGCATTTAAGTGGTGGGTCTCCTGCCACCTATTTGGTGGCATGGGATGAAACTGTTGTATGACAGAAATCAAGCATCCGTATCTGCCTCATCCCCATTGTCTTCTTTAATCAAGGATAAAGGGCCCTTGATTAGTTTTATTGGGCATTTCCCCCCAAAGGCTGCAAGAGCCCTTTCACACAAAAAAGGAACTGATTAACAGGTTGCCATCCTGTGCGTGCTTACAAGGGATGACTCCTTTGAACTCAGTGGGCCAGCTTTTGCGTATGTATGGATGGGGACCTGGCTGTGAAGGGCCAGCTTGTGGCCTTCTGGGTGTTTTGCCCTGTAACTCGCATCATTCTGCACTGTTAGCACTGCTGGCTATGGCTGTAGGCCAACATATCAGGCTGCCTGGCCTAGGCACCAGCATACAAGTCCTTCTGAAAGCAGGGCAGTGTGGAGCAGGGTAAGATAGCCTTGGGGAGGCAGTCACCCTTCCTCACTGTCTCGTCTGTGCCCTTGTTCCCTTGCAGGTGCTACTTCTGCGTCGCCTCTGACTCCCAAAGCCCCGCCAGCCGCCAGCCCTGTTGCCACCAGTGCGATGGAGGGGGTTGCCCTGGGCTGCCCACTGCCCTCGGGCACCGATCCTTTCCCCTTCCTGGCGCAGGAACAGGCGCTGCCGTTTGGGAACGCTCTACCTCCCGGGCTGCTCCCGCTGGGCTCCTTCCCCTTCTCGCTGACCCTGGGCCCGGAGACGCCGCTCCCCCCGCTGAGCCTGCAGGGGGAGCCGGAGGGACAGCCCTTGCTGCCGCTGGTGCTGCCCAACCTGGATTTGCTGCAGCAACAAAGCGGACTGCTGGCCTCGCTGCTGGCGCTGCCAGAAGCAACGTGCGAGGGCGAGAGGGAAGGCGTGGCAGCCGAGCCTCTGCTGGAGCCGTTCGCGGGCCTCCCCGACGCTCTGCAGCCCCTGCTCTTCCCAGCACTTTCTACCCCTCCGGCTGTCCTAGCTTTAAACTCGGCACTGTTGGCGACCAGCCTGGGCCCTTCCGACGCTGGGCTGGGCCCTACGCAGGTAAGCGGGCTGCATGCAAGTGGAGCCAAGGTTTCTGTTTCTTTTGGGAAGCTGTGAGGCAGGCAGAGGTTGCACCGGTGCAGTGTCTCCCCTGCGTGGGACAGTGAGAGGTGGCCTTGGTGGGGCAGGGCAGCCTGAAGCTGCTCTGTCCTAGCCAGCCCCCAATGGGACTTTTTGAAATTTGGTCACAGGTAGCAAATTAGGGGGAAATTATGGTAGCAGAGGCTTTGCATGCCAGGACCTCCACTTACTGGGATGCTATTCTTTTGTTGGTTTAAGTAATAACATATTTTATATAGTTTGACTTTACAGTATGAACAACAAAACCACATTCTCTAAGGATGCTAAGCATGGGGTTCTGGATAAAAGTTAACACCTATTCAGTTTCTTCAGTCCTATTTTCTTATATTTATATGCCCATAACACTGTTAGAAATGAGTAATGACTGATAACAGCTGAGGAGAAGCAACCAGTGCCCTCCAGTGGTGTTTCATTGTGATTCTTGTATTTGCCGTGGTGGCTGGGATGTGCAGGAATTGTTGGCCAAAATATCTGGAGGGCAACAGGTTGGTAAAGCACCCCTGGTTCAATTCTCACCATGGCTATGAACTTTCTAGAAGGCATTTGGCAAGTCACAGCCCTTCCCCTTTACAAAGAGGATGATAATACAGGCACTCCTGGAAGCACTGTTGTAAGGATTACTGAGAATATTTTGTAACAGCAGTTAAATAATTGGGGTTTTGTGATTTTGATTATTTATTGCAATTACAAGCTGCTTTTCTGTCAAAGCACCCAAAGCAGCGTAACTTGAAATACCAAAACACTAAAAAAGTTTCAAAGACTTTCTCAGGCCATTGGTAGCCTCCTTAGGGGCAGACAGCCTGAGCTACCTGGCCAAGTGGGAGTCTTTACTTCTCTGCTCCTTTAGTGGGTTGCAGGTCTTCAGATAGGGAACGTTGACAGGCGAGCAGCCCCAGCATTCTCTCAGGCTAGTGGCAGAAGCTTCCAGGTTCATAGTTTTCTCCCCACCCCTCCCCACAGAGCACAGAGCAGAGATGGAGGACTCACCAGTTCCAACATTCCTGATGGGTTTAAGCTGGCAAGATGGAAACCAGCATGGGGGAAAGAATGGATGAAAGGAAAATAAACATGGCAGCTCCAGGGCATATTGAGGGAACAGGAAGGTTTTGGAGCCAGGGGATCCTGAGCTGCTTCAGTCAGCCCTTGGCACAGACTATTTCTTGTAGTAACTGATTGCAGAGGGGCAAAAGCATTGGAAGCTTGCATACTTGCAGCCAGGAAATTGCCTCAACTGGTAAGACCTATAGGAAGGAGATCCTGTCCATGCTTTGGCCCCTGAGATGCCCTTCCAGGGACCAGAAAATGGATGACTTGAATATTTATTTGGTACTTAGCAAAATGCCCATCATTGTTACAAGCAGCCTGGGATGGGTGCAGAACATTCTATAGTTCAGGGACCACAGAGGGATGCAGTGCACCTCTGGACTTGGGCCTCATGCCTGAGCCAGCCTCACCATCCAGTGTCCAGCGGTGCAAAGCAGATTCTGCCCTCAACAAAGCAGCACCTTGAAACCTTTCTGTGTGTCCAGACAGGAGCCAGAGTCAGCCCTTCATTTAGGCATAAGAAATTGGAAAACGGTGCTCTGAGTGGTACAATCATGCTGGAGATAAAAATGTGCTTTATTGCTGGTGTCTTCCATCCACTAAGAATCTGCATAGCCCCATCCTGAATTTTGTTTCTTAGTCTACTTGGAACATGACAGAATGGCGAGACAAGGGTTTTAGATGACAGGTGGAGACACTGTTATTGGACAGGTCGGATGACCTGCCCTGTCACATTTCCATAAGAGAACCACTGCTTTTTTTGTATTGTAGGACAGGAGTCTTATAAAATATGGCAGCCTTTGACCACACTAGCAAGATTGGGGATTCTGTCCCCATTCCTGCTTCAGCCCTTTTTTTTTTCTGCCTCAGACTGGCCTGGCGAGCACTCCTGTGGCACCTACCTCCACTAGCACGACATCAACGACTACTGAGGGCACCCCCAGCGCCATGGGGCGGCTAAACTCCCTGATGCCTCAGCTTGTCAACCCACTGCTGAGTACCACACTTCTGGGTGAGTGAGATCCCTTCTTTACCAGGACTGAGGGAGCTGCAGCTCCATGGCCCTACTTCCGGATTTGCAGCTGGCTGTGACCACTGAGCATTTGTTGGTGGTCCAGCTTTGAATCAGTTACGACCCAAGTTATGAATGCTTGAGATACAAACAGTGTGTACTTACCAATGAACTGCCAGAAAGCTTATTAATTAAAAAAGATTGCGGCAGAAAATTGTCATCACCACAGGGAGAGAAAAAGCAAAAGGGGAAAGAGGGAGGCCTCCAAAGCATACCTTCCTGCTCTGCCCATCTGGACAGGGAAATTTCACTGGTATTTCCTTGCTGCAAAGAGGAGGCACTGATGAGTTTGGGTGGTGGGTGGGCCTAGAGATATTCACTGTTTTTCCATCTTCATGGGGGTCCTGTGCTCCTAATCCAGACTATGTGTGACCTGATTTCCATACGCATTCAACTAAAGACGAGTTTCCATTTTTTCAGGAATTGAACTTGTTCGTAGCCCAGGAACTGCTTGTATTTTATTACATTTCTGCACCTCTAAGAGCTGAAACTCCATGCAGCTCACAACAAGAAACACTGTAAAATACAATAAACTACAGTGTAAAACAGAAGTAAAAGCCAAAACCCAGCAACAGGGCAAAGATTTAAAACAGAGTAAAAGCACAAGCCTCCCAACATTTGGGGAGTCAAGATTCTTCAGAGCCCCACCACCAAGGTACTCCCACTTCACTGCTCAGACAGCCAAGCTCCCATGCTGCCCGCCTCAAGGTAACACAGAAGGACTGAGCTGGTTGTCTCTCCAAGTGAGGAGACAAAATCACAGAGGGTGAAAAGAAGCATGCTGGGGCCATCTGCCTCTGCCAGTCTTTGTCAGCAGCCAGGCTCTGGCCCTGCCCTGCCCTGCCCTGCCCTGCCACTATGCATGGGATGAAGTGTGGTTTCGGGTGGGGGGTGTTGGACTTCACCTCCACCACGCTTCACTCTAGCCACCGGATGCATAGAAGTCTCTGAGTCCAGAGACTTGCTTGCATCTGGGTTGTGGGTGGGGGTGATAATTGTGCCTTAAAGGGTTTAAAGTGACAGACTAAAAGACTAAAATTTTCCTATTTCCTGGGAAAAATAGGAAAGACTACAACAGAGGCCCCAGAGAACACTCTCTGGGAAGTTCATTCTGCAAGTGAGCTGCCACCATGGAAAAGGCCCTCTTCCGAGTAGCCACCAGCCTGATTTCCTAACATGTCAGCTCCTGCGAGGTTGGAGAGAGAGGCTGGGTTCAGACAAACAACAAGCCAGGGTGTTTTTTTACCATTGTTAGTCTGCCGTGTTGTCTTAATCCAGTCATGGTATTTCATTATGGTAAGTTTGGTCCTTAGAAGCCATGATAAGAAACAATGGTTTGTTCTACAGTTTCTCTGTACCACCATGGCTTGACATGTTGTCTGAATGCAGGATTGTGGTTTCCACAGTCCTGGTATGCAACTGGAAAGAGTGGCAACTGCAGGAGCCACTCCAGCCTCTACATGTGAACCAGAGACAGGCAACACAGGCAGGGAGTGATGCACCTTGAGATTGAATTTCAGGAGCAGTAGCTGATGGTATACATGCCACCAGTGGGAGGACTGAATGGAGAGGATGGAAACCATAATAGAGTAGAAACTACTTGATTGTTTCTCAGTTAGTTCATGATAAAAAAAGATGAACCATGGTAAGTCTGCAGGGTTGCTTGTCATATTGTGTGGCTGTAGCTGTGAAGTACCCTTCCCCAACCTGGCATCATCCAGACGTCTATTCTGGCCAGGAATTATGGGATTTGCAACCCAACACAGCCACAGAACACAAGGTTCAAGGAGGCTGAGGTAAAGGCACAAGCAAAACTCCTGGAGCAGGCAGTGGAGGGAGTCATTTCTCTGCACAAGCATAGTTGATACTGAGGAAATAATACTGAATGGGCCTTGGATTGGTTATCTCCAAGGTTATCTCCAAAAGAAACTTAAGTATGTAAAAATATCTTAAGCCCCCACTTTTACGTATTTGTATCTATCTCACCCTGCCAAGTTAGGAGTAGATCCCAGGCCCTACTTTACAATGTATTCTCTGGGTTCCACTATCAATGCATCCAAAGAGGTACTCTCCAAGCAATCGCATAAAAGGGAAACAAAGGACAACAAAAACAGATGTGTTCAGGTCCAAGTGAGCTGATCTGGGTGAAAAACAAAACAACTGCAAAACACAACTGATTCTAGCTTTTGATCACTGTTTTCTTGCTTTTAACTCAAAGATTCTGGTTTTCCGTGTTTGGATCCCAAAGTCTCACTAACGTATCTGAAGGCTGGCAGGTTGCTTTTCCCAAGCCCTCTTCAGGCAGCCCCTCCTCTCCATTCCCATAACACTGGTTGAATGTATAAAGGGAAGGTGGGCCCATGTCCTCACAGGCTGCATTCTCTTGGGTCACAGCTTGCATTTTCCATGCGAGAACAGCCAGGCACCCACAGAAGCCCTTCTCAGACTTTCTCCCAATGTGCAGAAGTTGGAAAGGGAGAGGAAAGGCTAGCAGGTTCCCTCTCTGGATACTCAGTGCACACATGAGCACAGGAATGTAAGAAGCTGTCCTAGGCTTATGCAGAGTCTTGGGCCATGTAGCCTAGTTTTGTCAATGCATACTGGCAGCCACAGCTTTCCAAATTTCAGGCTGGAGTTTTCCAGCCCTACCTGGTGATGCTGGGAATCAACTATAGGACCTTCTGCATGCAAAGCAGATGCTCTGCACCTGGGCCACAGCCCCTCCCCATGGGCTTAGAGGAATGTAAAGAAAATGCTGCTGCTCTCGTTGTGAGGTGCTTCCGAATGCATGGCTGAGCTAACATCATTGCTGCCTCCCCCATCCAGGTGACCTGTCGGCACTGAACACTGCCTCGGGCCCATCCTTAATTGGAAGTCCCCTGCTCCAGGCCCAGCAGCCACTTCTGCCACCCAGCATGCAAGGGCCTCTTGGACTCCAGCTCTTGCAAGGCCAGCTGCCCCTGCTAGCAGGCTCCAACCCACTAGCCTGCCTCCTCCAGAGCTTGCAAGTAAGTGAGGATGTGGAGGCTGTGTCTGGCTTGTGGTGGATCCCTTGTACTTCAACTCCCAGCTCTCCAGATGCTTTGCATTTCAACTTCCAGAAGGCCCTGGCAGTGTGGTCAGTGGTTAAGAATACTGAGAACTGAAATCCAAAGCACCTGGAGAGCCACTTGCTTCCCACCTGATTAAAATACAAGCACACAAAATTGAGTTCTTCAGATTAAAATGTGTATTTTACTTACAAATGTATGCATGCCACAGCCTTCTGCAAGCTGATATCCTCCGAATGTACCAGGCCAACTCTCAGCTTTCCTGACCACTGGCTGGGGTTGGTGGGAGTAGAAGGCCAAAGAATCTAAAGGGCAGCAGCTTGGGGAAAACTGGTGTACTGCTTTTCCATGCACATTGCGTGTGCAGTGAAAGAGTGACAAAAGAATAGTGCATCGCTATCCACAGGAAGGAGTTCAAAACATTTCTGTAATAACGAAAGCATGTGTGTAATAAAGGAATTATTAATGCAATGACAAAAGGAAAGATCTTGTGGTAGCAGCGACAGCAGAAGCTCTGCCGCAGCACTTCAGAGCGTGTTGGGGCCAGCCCCCAACTCCAAATCTTCCAAGGGAGGGGAAGTGCTCTCCAGCCTTGTCGCTCGGTGGCAGGGAGCAAACCTGTCTCCTCTGGGTTGGGGGTCAAAGGCGCAGCAGACAGAGTCCACTTGTAGCGCTGCAGGTAACCCAAGGCATTTGCTGGAAGAGAACGGACCCCTTTGGCCCAGGCCATGTGAACCAGAGGGGAGGATACACAGAAATATGTTGCATTGACTTTGCTACATTGGGAGGCCATTTCAGAAGAGGCATGCTGACTGGAGATAATGGGAATTGTAGTCCAGGACTGCTCAAGGAAGGCTGGAGTGGGGAATATGCTAGTAAGCACAATATTGTTGTTAGCACTGATTCAGGCAGACCTGGATTCAGGCATATGCATCTGGACCAGCAGAAGATCTCCCTGCCTGCTCCTCCCTCAGCAGCACTGCCCCCAAGTGCTGTGCAAGGTGAAGGCAGTCTGAGCTTGAGCTGGGGGCAGGAGGAAGCAGGGGGTCCCTGAAAAGATGGCAGAAGACACACCTCCTGTCCCTAGAAGGCAGAGTCTGGATCCAGCCCACTGCATTTTCTTCCCTTCCTTTGTCTGGGCTGTTTAGGGAGCTGCCTATCGTACCCCTTCTAGGGTAGCAACCTCCAAACCGCAGCAGGGAGCAGTTTCATAGAATCATACAGTTGGAAGAGGCCTAGAAGACCATCAGGTCCTGCTCAGAGCAGGACTCAAGCCTCCCATTCAGATTGTAACCAGGGCTGGCCCTGCATAGCTTCCAAGATTAGGCAGGATCTGGTACTTCAGGTTATGCAGAGCATCATTCCTGGGTTACGCTGAAAGTGCATGTTGTTGCTAGTAGTTAAACCGCTTTTTTAGCAGGAAAAGTACATTTGGAGAGGGTGGAGAAGGGGATGAAATGCAGAACTGATAGGAATTACCCTTGTTTAGACAGGCACCAAAAATAACCTTCAAGTTAGCATTACTTAATGGAGGCAAAATTTAAAGAATTTTGGAGAAGCAAACATAGAATGCAGACAAGGCCCTACACCAAGCTGATGCTTTCTCTTCCTCTCCACTCTCTTTGCCAGCTGAACCCTGGCTTTGGTGCCCCAGAGAAGCCCATGCTCCCAAGCGAAGCTCCAGCCCCAGCCATGACCAGCATGGCCCCCGTGCCAGAGACCGAGCTGGGCCCCAGCGCCGTGTTGCCTCCTTGCATGGATGCTGCCCCCACAAGTGCCTTAGAGCGGCCCAGAGCTCTTGAGCCTGCCCGGCAAGGGCAGCAGGAGGCCCCCCTGGGGCAGGAGGCCAGCAGCCCCCGCTCCCCCCTCAAGAGGCCCCGGCGAGGGACAGAAGAGCTGAATGGGGACTCCAGCAGCAGCCTCCCGCGGGGGCCAGGGCGGGGCGGCAAGTCTGGGCGGCGGGGCAGGGGCAGGCGGCACTTCAATGGTCAGCTGCTGGAGCTAGGCGCAGGACATGCCTCCCACCCTGCATGGCGCTGCAACGGGGAGATGGTGGCTAGCAGCGCTGAAAGCCAAGCCAGTCCGTTTGCTGTCCAGGAGATAAAGGTAAGTCAGGTGCCAGAACATGGAAATGGGTTTCTACCAACTGGCTGAGCTAGGCCTACTGGGGCCCGTTTTGCAAGGGTCCCCTACGTATTCGGAGGCCACTTCTGACTCCACCATTCCATGGCATGTTGGTCTGTTGCAGGCAGCTGTCTTGCTTTGCTTCCCTGTGTGTACTGACTGTGTATTTTGTAAAGCTTTTGTAAGACTAATGGCCTCACTTGCCCATTCAAGGCTCAAGCCCTCCCGGATATTTTGCATTGCAATCAGGGTAGCTCACAACAGTATGGATGGAAGATGGCTGGAAAAGCCATCTTCTGACCCTTACCAGCCACTGCAGCTAAGCTAGAAGGAAAGCAGGAAGCTTTGGGTGATGGCAGATGATCCCTACCAATGCTGAAGTCCCAGTTCTTTGAACCCGTGGACCCTGCTTCAACCACACCACTCCCATCATGATGTACTACTCTGAAAACACCCCTGGGGTAACCGTGTTAGTTGTACCTCTCGTGTTGGACCAGATGGACCTTTGGCCCTTCTAAGGCACCTGTTAGCTTTGCCCATTTAGACCAGATGTGCAACAGTGATGAAGAACTATGCGAGGGCTACCCTGGCCCCTCCTAGGTCATCATCACCTGCTTTCCCCTTGCTGCATTTATATGGACTGGCTGGCTTCAGTCCATTAAAATTCCAACAGCCCACTGATGTCCATTAAATTCACAAAGCGAGAGTGCATACTTGGGAACTTTTAATGGTTAAAAGACATGTGTCGTCTGTGTTAAGTGATCCACAGTTAGGAATCCTGGCTCAGTTATACACAAGGAGTGCCTAGATCAGCCTGCATTGCAGGATGTCCAGCAAAGAGCAGCTGGTCTTCTGCCGAGCAGCTGGTCTTCTGCCCAGTCTTTTCTACCTGCCTACCTGCCCACTCACTCACTGTTTTGTGTCTTCTTGAAAAAGGAGCCACAGAATTCCATAGCATGTTGGCTACATTTTCCCTGATTGTCCTTTCTTTAGTTGATTTTGCCTTTAAAATGAAGGCAAACATGAAATGCAAATTCCACAACTTAAGTGAAATAAATGGAATTCTGGATTCTTCACACCCTCAGAAAGATGTTCCTGATTAAAATACATACACACAACAAACCTGCTTGCAGAAAAGCAGCACATGAGGAAGCCCTACAGGAAGGAAGCTAGCATATGATAGATAACCATCTTCCTGGTGTTTTAATTAAAACATAGAAAGCTTTGTAAATGGGGAAAGATTTAAATAGGAGCTTCTTTCCCTTTCTGTGTTTATGTGCAAACAAGCACACACAGAGCCCTCTGTGGGGAAGCTGAAATCATACAGTCAAGGAGAGCTTTACCACTCAATTCTGCTGAATGTGTAAAGGGACCCTCCTAAAGGAGTCCAGAGGCCCTCTGGTAAGCAGACTTGGTTCTGAAGAGGAGAGGCTTATCTTCCAACCATCCTTCTTGCAGGGCCCTCCTGGAAGGAGACCGTCCCGACGTGGCCGGAGGAGGAAAAGCAGGTGAGCACCAGGCTGCCCCCAGGGTTGGGTCTCATGGAACAGGAGGGAGAGCAAGGGCAGGGACATGGCAGGGATTGCTGGCCACCGAACATACTAGGATTCCATCCCAGGCAACTTCCCTTCCCTTCTCATCAATCCATCCTTGTTTCTGCAGCGGTGCCCGGCCCAGTGCTCGACCTGAGGCAACGCGGATCCGGGGTCCCAGTGCAGATCCAGGCCCCAGCCCATTGGTAAGTGCTACCCCACCACATTCCTCTTGACAGGGGAGTTTGGCTTCCTACTGCAGAGAGGTGTTCATGGCCACCCCACTCCCAGCACCTTTGGATAGTCATGGACACTGTCCCCACACACGGTGGGCCAGGGTGAACCATGTCAGTGGCAACTCTCCAAGCATCTGTGGCACACCTTGTGAGCTGCAGGGGGTGGTGCTCCTCCAGTCATTTCTGACAAAAGGGAGGCTTTGGGGGCCACCAATGCCAAAATTTTACCCAGCCTCTCTGGAAACAACCTCACTGGGAGTTTCATAACCACTCTGGGTCATGGAGCATAAGAGGCGTTTCAGAAATGAAAGACTGCCACTGGATAGCACTGAGGCGGCTCTCTAAGCTGCCATCAGTGTGTTTGGCTAGACTAGTTCTAAGCCCTCCTCCAATCCACCATGTCTGCTGCTTCATTGCCTGAAATAAGAGCTCCAAGTACTGCCACTTTCTTCAAGTATTGTAAACAGCTGCCGTCGCCGAAAAGCAGGGGCATCAGTGCTTTACGTAGATCTGATATGCCACCAACAGGAAGCTCTGGGCTTTTGGCTCTCCTTGTTTTTAAAGCTGCTTTTATGTTGAAACAAGCAAACAAAAGCTGCTACATTTGCAAGATGAGCCAAAACACAGAAGAATGTTAAAGGTGATGGGTAAATGCAAGTTAGAGGGGCCACAGTCCCCTGCCCTGCCAGAACCAGTTCAAGGCTTCTTCAGCTGATTAACAGTATTTCTGTCCAGCCTTTCCAATATGCTCAAAGCTGCCTGCGACATGATCGATTTAAAAAAAATATTAAAGTTATGCCTACTGTTTTTATAATTAAGAGTGGCATGAACTGGAAAGCCATTGGACAATGTAGCTCCCAAGTGGCATCATCTCTGGCTACCCAGGGGCCTTTTAAAACTCGGTCCTGGCAAAAGCTGGAGGAAGTGCACATACATCCTTAAGCAATGGCATAACATCAGAGCACCCAAGGAACAGCCCTTCTAGAAAGTTGGCAACCCCGGGACATCCTGGAAAAATGCTGGGATTGCTGTGGTTCACCAGGCATCCCATTTAGCAGCACAGCGGGGACCGGGGGTGGCGGGGGGGGGGGGCAGACAGTAAGACCCAGAGGCTGCTGCCAGGAGGCTGGTTGAAGGGGATGAGGTCATAATGGGCAGTGCCTGGGGGAGGATGCAAACCTGGCACTAGAGACCACAAAGGCAGCTCAGCAGTGAGGTGGTGTCTGTGTGTATATTGGGGGGTGGGGGGTGGCACAGTCACTGACAGCCTGGTCAGAGGAAGTTGATGGATGCAGGGGATAATTAGTAGCAGGGGACATTGGCCAGGGGCTGTATCAGCGCTTTCTCAGCACCTGGGAGCAGTTTGTTGAGTGCCCAGCCCCATGAGAGGAAGAGGCATTTCCTGCAGGCCCTGCGGATTGCAGGAGATGCCCTAACTTCACAGGGGGAAGGGATCTGGAAGAGAAGCTTGAAGCAGGCCTCCATAGCAGTGGAGCACACAGGCCAGCAGTGGGTGGGGGAAGACAAAGGCAAAAGAAAGGGGCTTGAAGGCTCTAAGAGCAGGGCCATTTAAAAAAAACCCGTGAGCTTAAAACAACAGCAACAGCCTAAATCACTTGCTGCCAAGAGCTAAGCCTGAGGAGGGCCAGGTCAACACAAAGCTGCAGAAAGTGTTCCCTGAAGAAATAGCACTTCAGCATCCCCACCCCCAGGCCACCATCATGTGGGAGGCCCCATCGCTCAGTGACAGGGCACAGCTTCCACACTGTATTAGGGTCTGATCCTGCTGCCCCCAGCAGTCTTCTCGGGAGCAGTGGATTTTTCAGATCTGCCCTCAGAGAAGGAAGTCTAATCTGGCAAGCGTCTAGCATGCAGCTGTTGAAAAAGTCCTCAGCTGGGGCCTCTCTAAGGTTGGAACCCAGAGAGCAAGGAAGCCTGCTGAGATTGTAGACCAGCAGGATCCAAGGCTGCTTTGGCCCTCCTCTGGAGCAGCCTTGGAGCTGGCATACTTTCCTTCCTTCCCATTGCGAATAACGGAAGGGAAAAGTTGTCTGAAGGGCCCAAAACCTAAAGGCCCCACACTCCTTCCCTGCTAGCAGGTCATCGTCCTCTCTCTCTGTTTCTGCCTCTCCCCCCATGTAATAATGGAGACTGGGCTAGGAAGGGTTGCTCTCTCTTTTCTTCAAGCCCCTGGAGAGTTGCTGCCTAATGAAAGTACAAGCTGCTAGGCAAGGTGGACCAATAGTGTAATTCAACTGAGACACAGTAGGGCAGAGATGGACAGAAAGGTCTCCATGCTGGCCAGGGCTCCTGGAAATTGATGTTCTGGAGATCTACCTTCTGCCTCCCTCTGCTATAATTTAGGAGAACTGGAGGTTGGTTTGTACCAAGTGAAATGGTTTGTCAATCTAACCCAGTATTGTTAACTCACAGTGGCAGTGGTTTCCTCTAGGTTTCATGGAGAGTCTCTTCCTCTGATGCTTTTATCTGGAGATTGAGCTTGAGACCTTTCACATTCAAAGCTGCCTGAAGCCAGTCTTGCCCTTCTGGTATACCCAAGACCCATGGCAGGAACTGACTGGGCTCTCTTAACTCAAAAGAGCTGTGTTGCAATTTTGCTGTGTTTCTGTGCTAAAGCAACCTTTCCCCAAGTGGATATGCTCCAAATGTGTGAGGGTTTGAACTCCCAGCCCCTGAGGTGAGGGGCAATGACAGCTGTCATCTCAGAGCTGAAAGACACCTGCTGTGGGAAGGCTGTTCTAAGAATTATTGAGATGGACTGTGGCAATGTTTAGAGGATTTTTGCTTTAGGATGATGTTAGCCAACGTGAGCAGGTTAGCACCGAAAGGCAACACACAGCTGTTGGAATCAAACTAATAAAATGTATGTGCCACCACTAACCTTCCCCTTGGAGGATGGAGAAAAAAAGGATGAGCATATGAAGAGGCAAGTGAAAGGTACCTTGGTCCAGCTCTGCATTGGCCAGTGACTTAGACAGGATGACCTGCTTTGGTTTACTTAGGTTGAGACCAGAGTTTAACATTTGCCAAAGTGCAATCCCACTCCATTCCAGCTGAACCAGTTCAATTTATCTGTGTCACTGGCAAATAAAAGATGGCCATGAGGGCAGGGAAAAGAAACACTTTGCTTGCAAAGCATTAACCCTTGCTTCCTTGCCTGTTCACTGCTTAGGTTGACTACAGCATTGCTCGGCGGCCACGACCCGGCCGACCTGTGAAAAACAGGAGAAGAAAACTGCCCACATAGCATCAGCTGAACAGAGGGGGGCTTCCGACATTGTCTGCTTCTGAGCAAACTGAGCTTAGGACACCCTGGCTTCTGTCTGCCCCTCACCCACAGCTACCTTTCATCTCCGGTGCCCAACCCCTGGGCATGCGTTTGGGGGGGAAGATACCAGCACAAGGATTTGCTGCTGCTGCTGGGCTCTTGGCGCCTTGGCCATGAATGTGTTGTAGCTTCACCAGTTGCCTGGGACCTGAATCGCTCCGCGAGGGACCGCTGAAAGCACAAGATGCAGCTCTGGTCTCAGCACTCTGTGGGGAGGGTGAAGAGGTTGAAGGGGCAAATGGGGGGGGGCGCTAGAGCTGGACATGTCCATAGCACTTCTTGAAGCCATTTTTGTAATGCTCCAAAAGGGAGCCCCTCGCAGCAGTGCAGTAGGCCTCCCCTGCCCCCGTTGTGTCTTTCCCGCCCCTGGTGAGACCCTCCCACTGCAGTTGGGTCTCAAAACCTCAGCAGGAGTAGCAAGGGCTGTGTGCTCCAGGAAGGGGACACTACGGTCCTTTCAATTCCCACCTTACCTCAGACCTGTGTGCGCCGCGGCACATGGGTGAGAACCGGCTCAGGGTTTTAGTACAAGAACTCAGTCTTCTCTTTCTCTCTTTGCCTCGACAAACACACGCACACACACATACCCAAGCTCCTAGTCCCAGTGCTCAAGGTACAAAGCAATAAGGAAAATAAGCCACGTTTGTTCAGGGAGGGCTCACTCCCATCAGTAGCTCAGTGACTCCCTCACTCCCTTCCTATGCAGCTCATGTGCCTCCATTTTGCAAGCTACTGCAGCAGAGCAGCCGTGAGACAAAAGCCTGGATGGGTGGGATAGGCCTGCTCTCTTTGGGTCCCAGGGCTCCTGGGGCCTCAAGTGGGTCGTGCCACCCCCACACACACAAAGCAACTCTCAGAAATGTATTTCTTCTGCTTTTCCTTCCTTTAAAGAAATCCTCAAAAGAACACTCAGGTCCTAGTACTGGGGAGAAGCTTATGGGACAGGAGGAGTCCGTGCTCAAAATCTAAATGACCCAGCTTTGCCAGAGCAAGCGGCCTTTATCTGTTTCCCTCCCCAAAAGAGAACTTATAAACACACATGCTTACACTACAATCTTCATCTCTGAATGACCAAAATGCTCCACACCTCATCTCTCTCCCTCCCTCCTTGCATTATGCAAAAGCACTGTGTAGATACTGTACAGGTTGCGCTATCTCCTTCCCTGCCCCTCCCCCCCCCCCCCCCCGGTGCACTTCAACCAACCAACCAACTTCGGCCTTTGTTTTGTATAAAGAAAAAAAGGAATGGGGAAAAAACTATTTTCCTTCTTTGAGCTTAAATTTTGTTTTGTAAAAAAAATTTTACACAATTGTGAATTGTAGCTTTTCTATGGGAGCGACTTAATTTAACAGATGAAAATATTTTGAAGCTTAGATTGAAGTTACTGTTTCTTTGTTTATTTTTGGGGGTGTGTGTTTTGTATCAAGTATTAAAATATGTATTTAAAAGAAAGCCTGAACAGACTGTTCTTTCAGAAGCTCAACACATTAGTGAGGTGGGCCATGTCCTGCCCATTTCTAAGAGGCTAAGACTGTGATGCAGAGAAGTCTGAAACATCGATCAAGGGCCCGTCATGTCCAGCATTTGGTTCCTATGGTGGCCAGCCAGAGGCCTTGAGAAATGTGCCAGTAGGCCAGGAGTGCAATAGTAACTTCCAGTTTGCTGCTTCCCTGCTATGTAGGCACATGCAGCCCATGATAGCCTTTCTTCTCCATAAATTTGTCAAATATGCGTTTCAAACCATGCAAGTTGGTGGTCGTCTCTACTACTTGCAGTGGTGAATGCTATTAAATATGGTGTGTCTTTTTTTTGTAATGAATCTCTCACCATTAAGCTATACTTCTCCTTTAACTCACCTTTTTCCTAAGCTAAAGAGTTATCTTTACCAATGCTTTCCACCTATTTATGTAAAACAGACATTAAGCTAACTAGCCTGTAATTTCTTGAATTCCATTTTAAAATTTGAAATTCCCTCCTCCTCCTCCTCATCTGGATTTTTATCCTGATGCATTAGCCAATAAGGTTCTCTGACCAGGTTACGAAGTTAAAATTCAGCTGGTCATTTTCCAGTCGCCTGGTACAAAGACCAACCTTGGGGGTAAGTTATATAATTAGACGATCAGCAATTTCATATTTGAGCTTTTCAAGAAGTCTTGGATCAATACCATCTGGCTCTGGTTATTTATTTCAAATTGTCTGTGAGGCCTAGAAATCCACATGTTAAAATTATTTGCTGCAGTTCCTCATAGTACCTTCCTGAAAATATCTGGAAGTCCTCCGTCTTCTGTGAGTAAAGACATTCACATAATCTATCTAGCTTCTCTGCAATCTCTCTTATTTTCCCCTACTCATTTTAATGCCCTTTTCATCCAGCAGTCCCAATTGCTTCCACTAGCTTGTTTCCTGGCAACTCATTGGAATTATTGGTATTTGCATCATGTTACTACTAGCATTTTTTGTTAGTGTTCAGGCGAGACTTCCCTTTTCTGAGCTCAAGGCTGTACACCCATCACAAAGAACAACCCCGGGTATGAAGTGGCTCTAAATTGTTTAGACCAGCCAAAGTGGGTGAGCAACTGGGAACCACCAATCTCCCTTGTTCCCAAACCCATGGTTTGTTAATGGTAGATTACATGTGAACTGGGTCACTCTCTTTTAAAGGATGACAGATTTGCCTGGCATTTTCCCATTTATATTCAATTTAAATTAGCATTGCAGTCACAGTTTTCAATCAGATCACTAACTCAGATATTGTACTAGATTCTGGGCATCATTCAAGGTCCCTTCTTGTCAGTTCCATGATTTGACTGTACTAGGGCACAAACTTTGAGGTCATTTAGAAACTCCATTTCTTTGTCATAATGAGAGCATGAATTTAGACTGAGGTTGGGGTTGTTAATTTTAGTGTACTTTTATTGTTTTGTGTATAGCTTACCTCTCAATAGGTTGGAAATTGTCCTGATGGCCTCTCAAAGGCCAAGTGAGGGACAGACAAGAAAGCCTAGGCTGTCCTCTCTGTTGTCCTCCTGCCAGCAGGCCGATGCATTTGTATTCAAGCAGGCCTTCGACACACAAGCTGGCCTGTTGCTGAAGGTGTTTTTAATGGGCTGCGTACTGTCTACTTCTACTGTTTTGTTTATTATTAAGATCTTGTTTTAAACTTTGGCCATTGTTAAAACCTATTTTGGTAGAAAGGTAGTATATATATTAAAAAGCAAAGCAGCACAATGTGTAAAGCAAAAAAAACAACAAATTACACATCCATGTACTTGCACGATACCCACAGCCCAATCACTGCTTCCAGGTGTGGATACATGAGTTTCTAGCCATACACCAGTCCTTTGCTTTTACATGTGTCCTGAGGCAACATCCCCCTCCAGTAACATCAGCGTACCTGTATCAAATACAAGGGCAGCACACTGAAATGTTGCTATAATTGACCTCAAATAAGCAGCAGCAAAGAAATCCCCTGTAGGGGCAGCCTGCAAGGCTGTGAACTTGTGTCAACTGTTAGGGATCCCAGTAGGAGTTCCCTGCAGACTGCTCACTGTTTCGCCCACAAGAGAGAGAGAAGAGTTTGCAGGCTCTCCAAGGCTGGAATGGGATAAGGAGGTAAGCAGAATGCCTCCTTCAAGGGAAGTTCAACTGAGAGTGAGGGCTTTTATGGTGGGGACCCCCAAATACTGGAATGCCCTCTCCAGTGAGGACAGTCTACATGGCCAATTTTTAAATGCCACGATAGGACTTCCCTCTATTTCTGGGCATTTGATGGCACACAATGTGGTATTTAATGCATCCATTTTATTTATTTTAATATATTTTATTCTTTTATGGGTTTTACTGTTTTAAATTTTGTTATGTTTTAAATTTGATGAAAGTTTCCTGTTTTGAGAAAGTCAATCTTTGTTAAGAATGCTATCTAAAATTATATTAGTATTACTCTTAGATCATCCATACTAAAACGGATTTCATCGCTGCTATTACTCAGAGCCCTGCTAGAGCAGACAAAAGGTCTAGCTGGTTCAGTGTCCCGTTTCCTGCAGTGGCCAATCAGCTTGTCTCGGTGGGACCCCTAAAGCACGAAGGCAGTGAGGCACTGCTACTAATGTTCCCTGACAAGTGGCATTCAAAGGAGTATACTGCGGCTGATCCTGGAAGCCATTGTGATGAAGAGCAGCCACATGAAAGCAGATGGGGACTGAAGTGTGACATCTCGAAGCAACAGGAAGACAAGCCAAGCACACAGCTATCTCCTTGCCAAAAGAGGTGGCACAGAGCAGTAAGCATAAGTGTTTAATGACAGTAAATAATTATACAACAATAAGGTCCGCTTCCATGCCAGGCTGAGGTGTTCAAGACCCCTTTCCAAACCAGAAGCTCCTCTTTCTGGGCCAAAGGGTCAATGCACCTTCCCAGGTGGATCTGCAAACAGTGGCTTTCCCTCTAGCTCAGCCCCCAGCCCCCGGCTTGGAACCCAGCACTGCCCTCTGCAGTCATCAATGCAAGGGCAGCAAAACGGCACTGGAACGGGGGCACAGCTGCCCTTTCACTGGGACAGATGAGCACTCGGTCCACCGGCCTGCATGAAGGCTGAACATCCACTAAGAGCGCACAAGGAAAGGTACAGGGATAGAGAAGGGGAGGAGCGGTTAGTGCATGTCTGGATGGCAGGAAAACATCTGCACCCTGCCTTACTGGATGTGACTGAGGGGATTCACTTGGCAAGCTTCTGCACCCGTGCGTCAATGTTGGCAAAATTGTCCTCAACAACTGCAAGGTTCTCCTTCATGGTCTTCTGAACCTAGGGGGAAGAACATGGGAAGCAGTCAGCCGTGTGTGGTGGGGGAGCTGGTGAGAACCTAGTAAACTCACCTGGGAGGCTGAGGAAAAATGTTTGTAAAAGGTTATGTGCACCATACTGGGTGAAAACAAAGAGCTGCCTTGGCTGCTGGCTACTAACTGAGCCATAACAAATGCTTCAGCCAAACAGGTCATGGGTGTGCTAGTGAATGGCCAGAGAGCCAAGACAATCCCTACTCGGCACCAAGGATAAGTATATCAACTGAGCATATGTCCATAATTTCTTGTGTCTGTCATCACTTACTCTGCATCTGATACCATTTTTTCATATAACTTTCTCTAGTTATAATAATCTGTGAATGGACATCAAGAGGGCACTGAAATCCTGTCAGGAGTCAGCAGCATGAGGTCTTTGCTGGTGGCCTGAGGCCTCAGGAGGGCCCACAACCCCGTCTCCATTTCCCTCTTCTTACCGTGAGGCTGGTGTGTGCTGCAGCAGCAGCAGCAAAAGGCGGAGAGGAAACAAACAACCCAAGCTAAGCAGCAAGTGTTCCTGTTGGCACCCATAACTTTCTTTTCCTCATCATATCTCAAAGACAGCATTCCTGCCTCAACTACTGGGAGGGCTCCACCACTGCAGGGGGCCACCAAGGGACCTACTGGCAGGGGCTGCCAAAGGCTCCACCCAAGCCATACCAGGCCAGGCTAGAAATTAAGTTGACTGAGCTCCTGGACTTCTGAGATTGCAGAAGGCACAGGCTTGAGCCTTCAGAGATATCACAGTGGAAAAGGCTAGACAAGTTAGTTCTTTCTTTAATAAAAGCTGGTATTCTCCAGCAGTTTCATGCTCCACCATGCATACTCCAGATGTTTTGACTGAGGATTTCCATGACCTCTTATGTTGGCTATGCTGCCTAGGGCTGAGGATAGTTGCAGACCAAAACATCTGGAGGACCACAAGTTGCCCAAGCCCTGCTTTACACTTTTTCTATGTTCCTGCAAAATCACAGCCGGGCTGCGAGTCCACTTTTTGTGAAAACAAAAGTAGCACTTTTGGCTACCCTGTCAGTTACCAATATGCCCTTAAACCTATTTGCTATTAGATGGCATCACAACTTCTTGTAGCTGTGAACTCCAAATATCAATTATGCAGAGGTGTCCCCAGATTGCTGTGTTTCAAACTGGCTGCCAATCAAGACAGTAGCACACTCCATGGCAGTAAGTGTGCTCTTTTCAAAATAGGAGTCTGCCAGAGAACACAACTCTGGGGCTGGGGAAGGAATGCAAGGTGTATGCTTGTGGGGGAATGCTTAACATTTTTAAAAAGTGTGTTTTAATTCACAAACTAATTTTCCTGTCTTTTACAAGGAAAGGAGCCAAGGAGTCCCCTGCTACTTGGATGCCCATGCTTCACCGCCAAACCATACAAGACCACCCAAGTTTGGCCTCAGTCAAAAGGAAGGGTGGTTCGTCACATGGCTCGTCAAATCACCCTGAAAAACACAAGCAGAGTAGGTCTGCTTGCATATCCCAAGCATGCCAAAAATGCAGCCCTGCCTTACTCCTGGCAAAAAACCTGCACACTTTTGAGCAAATGTGTTCAGACTGCTCCTGCCCAGTAGTTTCTATAGCTCATGGATACAGGAAAATAACTGCATGCAGCAGCTGCAGGCTACTCCTAGACTTGTGGGGCAACACGAGTTGTGTTGGAGGAAGCCACATTTGTAAGACTCCAAGTGGTTGTGTTAAGTGTCAGTGCCAAGTCCCACCTGGGTAAGCAGAACAGCGTTGTCCTTCAAGGAATTAGCAATCATTTGCTGGGTAGTGTCCAAATGGGTCAGGAGCTGCCCAAACTGCATGGCTGCAACAGACAAGAACCAAAGTTAGTGTGGGGCAGATGTGGTGGAACGAAGGCTCAGCATCAGGTTGGGTAGTTGGGCAATGGAAAGCCCAAAGGATGAGGCACCAACTCCGCCCCTGCTCAGCTCGTGGGCAAGCCTCCTTCCAGTCCAGGGAATCACCTTGTTCGTGCAGCTGCCGCACAGTGACCAGGCGCTGTACCACCTCAGGCAGGGTGCTGGCCAAAGGGCTCCAGCGCTGAACTATCTCATAGAGCTGATGCACCTGCAAGAGGGAACAGATGGGGGCTCTGAGCAAAGAGAGAAGCCACGTGATCTTGCTCATTAAGCCAATGATCTCTGCATCCCCATAATATACGTGTTCACACTCACCTGCAAACACAGTCAAGAATGGCCCTAAAATCTCCTAAACTGGCAGGTGGCAGCTTAAGACAGTCAGCACAGGCCCAAAGCACAAATTGCGAGTGCTCATCCCTTGATGAAAAAGGCCCAGACACTGACTGTTGTTAGTGGACCAGCACAGAGCTAATACCACAGACAGAACTTTCTTGTCACCAGCTGCTGCCTCAAACACACTGCCCTGCAATGAGTTCACCTCACACAATCATTTGCCAGCCATCAGGGGCTGAGTGATCAACTGATGCTCATCTGCTCAGGAATCAGCCAGAAGACTGTGCCAAACATGTCTCAACTGTCATCCTCTCATTTCTTCCCAAGGATGTTCAGGTGCAGTCTCCATTTCCCAGAGGGGACTTTGGGGCATTCCTGAGCAGAGCACCAATCCTATGGTCTTGTGCAGAATCTGCAGTGCTAAGAAGATCAACTTTCTAGTCTACCGCAGAGTGGGCAAAACCCCTTCTGAGTTCAAGAAAGCAATGCCCTGTGGCCACTTGGATCAAGGATCACACTGACCCAAGACACTGAAGGCAGCCTATCATGGCAGAACATCGCTATTCTGAGTTGCTACAGGCAGACCTTGGCTTTGATTTAGCTGCTGCAGTGACACAGAGGAGAAGCAGGGATGCCACTGTGTGTGTGCTTTAGCAGCCCTAAGCTCAGGGCTGCCCTGACTTGGGTCCACAACCACACACATACATGTGAATATACAAAGCATGTTTATCATGTGCCCAGTTCCAGAGAAATGAATGAATCTAACCTTGCTTTGGGTGTCTGCATCCTCCACGGCAGACTTGTGTTTAGCAATCTCATTCACCTTTCCCAAGACACTCTAGGGATGAAGAACACGCAGTTAAGAAAGCCAAGTCCTGCCAGAACTTCTGGACTCCCCCAACCCTTTCCTAGGTTCAGCCCAAAATCTTCAGACCCACCTGTAGCCGTGCCTCCACCTGGTCCAAGGAAGCCACATCTAAGGAGCTGACTTTGGCCTGCAGGATCTCCACAGTTTCCTATGGGCAGGAAGCAACATGGAAGAGATTTAGACTTAAGACCAAATGCCTACCACTAATGCAGATTGGGTTCGCAAATTCAAATCAGGGACAAGGAATTGAGCCCCTGCCCTTGTTTTGATTTCTCCTGCTTCTGGCTCCTTTGACCCACAGCTTCCATGACATCAGTGCAGCTTAGCCAATGGTAAACAGTCAACAGCTAGTTGTTGAGTGATAGTCAAGGTTTGATTCTTATTTTGACTTCAGAACAATGCTCTTGGGGATGCTGCAACTGTTCCAGCTTGCTGACTGGGGGACTACATCAAGAAATTACAGCTTGTCCAAAGCCATCTGATGAGTCTACAGACTGAATTCAAGTGTCCCACAAGCCTACATCCAACACACTGTATTGGACTAAAGTGGCTCAACATGCAGAAGTGACTTCTTTTCATGCAGGTCTCAGAGTCTGACAACTGAAACTATGTATGAGCTAAGAAAAAATAAAAGAAATTAAGTGAAAAATATATTTGGCTTAGAAGCCATCTCCTAAACAGCAATGCTGACTTCTTTAAAGCTAGTAAGATACAGCCACAGAGAGCAATGTAACTATTTTAGTAGCTAGATGCAGAACCTGCAACCCATGAGACACCCAATCCAAGGAAAGTCTTGGAGTTCCTCCAGGGCTCAGACACAGGCACCAAATCCCACCCTCTGGAAGACTCCCCTCGAAGGACACCCACCATCCATGGAGAATCCCCTATTGTGTGTGACACTTACCTCATGTATGAAAAGAATGCCACTGCTACCATAAAATCCTGGCCTAGGATCTTGGTTTTCCAACCTTTTCAATACATCCCCTCAGCTATTACACAGACACATACCTAGTGCACACAATCTATCAAGCCACAGAAGAAAAGGCAGGTTGTTCACCTGTAACTGTCATTCTTCAAGTGGCCATCTGTGTATCACACATATGGGTGCTGCGCCTGTGCCGGGAAGATTCGAAAGCTTAACGGTTTTGGCGGGAACTCCGCACCCCCCGCATAGTATAAGAAGGCAGAGTGCCTGCCATTTCCCCAGTCTACTGAAGACCAACCACCCCCAAGCAGAAGCGAAAAACATTACACAACAAGTATTTAAAAGTGTAAGACACACCAGGTAGGTATACATGTACATGAAGACACACCCCACAGATCCGTAACCAAGCAGAACACGGTACCGTAAAAAACCCAGTCACTGACACCAAGTGGGGCCAGTGAGTTGGTTGTGTGAATGCACAGATGGCCACTCAAAGAATGACAGTTACAGGTAAGCAACCTGGCTTTCTTCATTGTGGCCTCTGTGCATCACACATATGGGTGATTAGCAAGCTTACCAGACCCGGAGGCAGGACGGTGTTGTCACTGAAGAACAGAAGAGAGGACTGTGCGACCAAAGGAGTGATCCTGTCTGGCACGTAGATCAAGACGGTTATGTCTGACAAATGTGCAAGGGGTAGCCCAAGTGGCCGCCTTGCCATGTCATGAAGCGGAATGCCAGGGGAGAAAGTGGAGGAAGCCGCAACAGCCCACGGGGAATGGCCTTTGGCCATGACAGGCAAGTCTAGTTTAGAAAGTTGATAGGCCAGTTCAATGGTCTGAACAATCCATTTTGAGAGTCTTTGAGACCCTTTGTCATGTTCAGAATACTTGATGAAAAGGCGTCTCGTATTGCAACAAATTCCATATGAGACCTGTAGAAAGTGAGGCATCAATGAACGTCAAGGGATGGAGATGGAGTAGGAAAAAAGGCCGGTAAGGCAATGTCCTGAATGACATGGAATGGTGACACGACCTTCGGAAGGAACGCAGGGTCAGTATGCAGAATGACCTTCTCTTTATGAAAATTGAGATAAGGAAGGTCTATACGAAGCGCACAGAATTCACTGGCCCTTCTAGCTGATGTGATAGCAGCAAGGAAGGCAGTCTTCCATGACAAGAGATGTAGGTCGGTAGTTGCCAAGGGCTCGAAAGGAGGTTTAGTGAGTGCTTGAAAGACAATGGAGAGGCTCCATGTCGGGACAACTGATCTAACTGGTGGCTGGAGATTCTGTAAGCCTCTAAGGAAGCAACGGATAAGGACGTTAGAGAATACCAATGAGCCAGCCACCTGGCCACAGTAGTGAGAAATCGCAGCAATGTAAACCTTAATGGACGAAGGTTAAGTCCCATCTGGTGTAAGGATAATAGAAATTGAAGAACATTCTCAATAGAAGCTGAATGGGCCATAAAGGGCCATAAACTGACTGGTTTCAGCAAAAGATGTAAAACGCTTCCATTTAGCTGCAAACAAGCAACGAGTCATAGGTCTTAGCACAGACTGGAGAATGAATTGAATATCAGGATGTAGAGCACTCAAGTCCGATGGAGTAGTTGTCGGTATCGAAAAAGGATGAACGGTTGTATCTGAGCACTGCCGGGCTGGTGTTGAATCTAACAGTACTGTTGGTACCGAGGAAGTAGCAGGACCTATCGAATGAGCCAGGCTGTCAGATTGAGCGAATGAAGGTCTGGGTGCTGTACTGCCCCGTTCTGCTGAGTTACGAGATGAGGCATATGAGGCAGTCACTGAAAGGTGTTGTCTGACAGACGGAGAATGGCAGGAAACCATGGCTGGCGAGGCCACCAAGGAGTGACGAGAATTCCCCAAGTCTCATCGAGGGTGATCTTGGCAAGAGTTCTCGTAATGAGCAGTATTGGGGGGAACGCATAGAAGAATGTGTTCGTCCATGGAATCATCAGGACGTCCCCCCTCGAGCTGGGACTGATCCCTGCTCGGGAGCAGTAAGATTTGCAGACTGCATTTGCATGAGTGGCAAACAGGTCTATGTCTGGAGGGCCCCATGTTTGAAAAAGGTGATGACAGACTTGACGATCCAACTCCCATTCGTGGGTTGTCAACATCTGCCTGCTGAGGGCGTCTGCCTCCTCGTTGTCAGTGCCGGCGAGGTGAATGGCAAGAAGGGTAATCTCCCTCAAAATGCACCAGTCCCAAAGTCTCAGCGCTAGATGAGCGAGGGAGGCAGACTTCGTTCTGCCCTGTTTGTTGATATAGAAGACAGTCACAATGTTGTCGGAAGCCACTTGGATGACTCAGCCCCGAAAGGTATTCTCAAATGACCGAAGGGCCTCGAAGACTGCCAGGAGCTCTAGACAGTTGATGTGTCTGGCAGCCTCGTGGTCGTCCCAAGTGTCCTGAGTGCGAAGACCGGCACAAAGAGCTCCCCAACCTGTGAACAGAGTCAGTGCTGGATGAGGTGGATGGAATAGGATTCCGACAGACAGATTGCTTTGTACAGCCCACCATGACAGAGTCCGAAGAACGGAGGCTGGGAGATAAAGAGGCCGGTGTGGCGAGTCTCGTTGTGGATGAAAGAGGCCGTTGAACCAGTTGGAGGGGCCTCATCCATAGTCTGGTGTACGGGACCACGGAGACCGTGGAAGCCATGTGTCCAAGGAGCTTCTGTATCGACAGTGCTGGAACAGTTCTGTCCATGCGGATTCAACAAATGAACGAAGCTTCTCTTGCCATTCTTGAGGGAAGAAGGCTCTCGCAGTTGTGGAATCGAGACAGGCTCCGATGAAATTGATGATCTGTGAAGGAACAAGGCACAATTTTTCAAAATTAATACATAGTCCAAGAGGGAACATGTAGTCTGGATCGCTGATCGAAGGCCTTCTCTAGATGAGGAGATGATCAACCAGTCATCAAGGTAAGGGTATACTTGGATTCCCTGAAGCCGGAGGTGTGCACACACCGGGGCCATGCATTTGGTGAGGACCCTTGGAGCAGTAGCCAGTCTGAAAGGTAAAACATTGTATTCAATGTTTCAACTGTAAACCGAAAAAAGTCATCTGTGAGACGGGCTAATATGGAAGCAGGCATTCTTTAAGTCCAAGGAAACGAACCAGTTGTCTCTCCTGAGCAGTGGAAGGATGTTTTGAAGAGTGGTCATCCAGAACTTTTTAGTTTTGATAAACCTGTTGACGCCACATAAGTCTAATATCGGGTGAAGACCACTGTCCCGTTTCGGGACCGTAAAATATCTCGAGTAGAAACCAAGTAACCCCTCGGACCATGAGAGTTGTTGATTCACTCCTTTATGAAAAACCTATTGAACTTTGCCTTTGAGGACCGACGACAGAGACGTTTATCAGATCGGTCCTGATGGGGGTACAGTATCAAACTTGATTCTATATCCATGCTCCACAATGGATAAAACCCACTGATCAGATGTGAGGGACTCCCAAATGGGGAGTCGACTTTGCAGTCGATTCCCAAAAGGAAGAGGGGAGGGTGGGTTCAGGAGAGGAGAAAAAGTTCGCTCAACCCATCAACGCTGGCACTTATTGGAATCCGGGCAGCAACGGCTCTGCTGCTAGTGCTGCACTGGTTGTTTTTGGTGCTGCTGACGAGGCTGGAACTGCTGCCGGCCAGAGAACTGAGGGTATGGTTGGTATCGGTAACAGGGACAAGACCAGGACCACTTATGTCTGGATTGATTAGGGACTTCCATACGACGAGTTACAACATGGGATTCGTGGATGGTCTTGAGTTTGTGGTCCGTCCTGGTGTTGAACAGCCCCAAGCCGTTGTACGACATGTTCTCTATCCGGCGCTTGGTCTCATCCAGAAAATTGCAGTTCCAGAGCCGGGCATGGCGACGGAGGGTTACAGCACCAACGAGGGCCCTCGAGTCGCAGTGGACATGATGTCTCTCTGTAGAGCTGTTGAATCGCCACCGGCATCACCTCCTTGGTGAAGATGCAAGCCAGGTCCCTCTGCTGCTCCGGAAGTGAGACATTGTAATATTCTCCAGTTTCTGCATGAGGAAATACTGGTAGCGAGCCAGTGTCACCTCATAATTGGAGATCCAGAGTCCGAGACCTGTGATGGCATTAATACGGCGAGCCATCATGTCGATTTTTCACCCTTCCTTGTCAAGAGGAGTGGAGTGTTCTCTCAACTCGCAACCCTGGGATGACTCCAAAATGATTGAGTTTGGCCTCGGGTGATGCAGGAGAAATGGAATGTCCTCTTCTCGAACTCAATACATAAGATTCGTATTGCCATGAAGTCGGCTGCGGCTGGTTGGGGAACTTCCACGATTCCATCATCACCTGACAGAGCATCGTGATGAGTGGCAGAATGATGGTGGCAGATTGCTCTCTCGTCATGATGTTATAGAAATTGTCAGTACTGAGATCGAAGCGGTGCTGGGCCTCAATCTCCAGTGACCTAGCCAATCTCGCTATCGAGTACAACTCCTTGGGTGAGCTGGGACCCTGCGGAGTGATCACCACATCCAGTGAGGACGACGCTGCATCCGATTCCTCCGACTCTGAATAATAATGGGGCGGAGGACTGGAGGAGGAGCTGACCGGCGAGGAAGGGCACCTGGTCTGAACTGCCGCACAAGTCGATGGAGCATCCTTCAGGACCGGAGACAGTGTACACTGGTGTACCGATGGATAATATCCATAGAGTGCATAGCTGTCCTATGGTTCATGATGGGCAGACCCATACGGTGCTTGTACCCAGTCTCTGGAAGGACAGGTGGAAGAACGCTGCTGGTGTCACACCAGCTGAGGTGGGGCCCTCGGAGAAACCACAGGCGAAGGCTGCGGGTGACCAAGTGTGCCATCGGAGGAGCCATCTGCGGAGAGTCCCGGATCTCTCCATCGGAAATTGATCCCAGTATGGCGGCCTCTGGACGATCTGGTGAGGACGGGGCCAAAGGGGTGACCCGTTGCGGGAACCCTGGCGGAGTCACCTGCATTACCAGTTGAAGAGCTGGGCTGGTCGATGTCAGTTGCGACACGACTGTCGGGACTGATGGGACAGACGATCCCGAATCACGATGATGCGGCTGATTGGCCTTCTTGGTCTTATGGGCCATCTCGTCTGCCCTGTCCTCCTTAGGCTTCTTATGGCCTGAGGACTTTTCGGATCCGCTGTGCTTCCTCTTCTCCTTTTGTTTGTGAGGAGACTTAGGGGAATGCTTGCCCTCCGGCAGAGTAGCTCCATCGGCCGATGGGCGGGGCGGAGGGGCAGCCAAAGAGGATGGCTGCGCAGTGGATTGGGCTGCCAGTGGATCAGATGCAACCAAAGCCTGGTCCTAGAGAAGTTTGGGCAGGCAGTTCTCCTGGTTTTTTCATGCCTGCTTGGTGAAGGCCTGGCAATGGCTGCACTTATTGGTCCTGTGACCTTCTTCTCCGAGGCAGAGAAGGCACAGATTGTGCAGATCAGTGGGGGACCACCCCACACTGGGAACACTTGTGGAAAACTGCATGCTGAGCCATCGAGATGAAAGGAGAAGATAGTAAAGTCAAGAAATATAATAAACTTAAAAAAAAAATTGGGGGGCAAAGGGAAGAAAGGGGGAATTAGAAGAAACTTCTAAGGGGGAGGGATGAATAACTTGGAAATCTTAACAAGAAAGCTAAGAGAATAGAAGAACAATGGTTCAAAAGGGGATCAAGATACAACAATATAGCTACAGAATGAAAAACGAAAGGCTCGAGGCAAAGTGAACGGCGGTCACAAGAAGACTGGGACAATGGCAGGCACTCTGCCTTCTTATACTATGGGTGGGGGGAGGCACAGAGTTCCCGCCAAAACCATAAAGCTTTCGAATCTTCCCGGTTACAGGTACTGTGCAGGTGCAGCACCCATATGTGTGATGCACAGAGGCCATGACGAAGAATTAATCCATAACCCTCATGCCCATTTCTTTGAAGGCAGCTGTCCACTCTAATTCTCTCCCAGTCATGAGGCATTAAATGTAAACATCCAGCCAATGCCTTACCATAAGGCTAGCTCCCTGCAGTCCAACAGACAGAGGATTCTAGACAGAAAAAGAAAATTAACGTGTAAAAAGTGTGCATCTTTATGCTTTGCTCTATGAAAAGAAAGGGTGTGGTTTTGCTGTGCTTTTGCAACATTCCTATTTTCCCTGTTCAAAACCCACACTTTTATTGTTTGAGCAAAATGAAGGAGTGTAAACAAACGTGGGAAATGAGAGAAATGTTTTTAACTGATGTTTGGAGAAAGAGATCACAGGCATCACTTGCTCGCCCTCCCCTACATGAGCACCTTGGGGTGTTGCTGCCTCCACTCCACTGAAATGTGGAAGACAGTGAAATAGGACTGGGGCCCAGTTCTGTTTCACAGCTTGGCCCAATGGCCCTTCTACTCTTGCCCAAGGATGCCACAAGCTCAACTGGCTGAGCCACATTAAATTCATGCCATAAGCTGACCATATCCAATTCCATATATTAAAGCTGGAACCCTAGAAATTTCAGCACTTGGACCCTGTAACCAGCTCCAAGCATAATGCTTTCTTGAGAATTTCACGGTACTTTCTTAACGCCAAACTGAATGCGATACTAAACACTTGATTAGAAAGAACGTCCAGATTTTTTTAAAAATAATTTACTTATTTAACAACAGGCATGAACAAGCCAATTTTCATTGGGATATACATAGGCAGGGAGGGGGAATTGGTGAAAATGGGAGCAGGGGGCTGGCATACTGCCATAAGCCCTGGAAAAAATCTTCCACTGGTATCAATTTTGGTTTAGAGGCCAAGAGCAGCTTTGTGGCCAAGTTGGGGGGGGGTGTATGGCTCTGGAGAACAGGATTAAACACCCCTCCCAGAAAACTGCAGCCCAGATGAAAATCACCACCCCAGTACCCATTCGTTTTTCACTCAGGTAAAGCATCCTCATCCCCCAGCAGGTACTGATGAATGAGGCAATGGCTTCATCATCACCCCGGCCTGCTCCCCACTGCCACCCCATCGTTTATCTGGCCTTTCTGCTGTCCCACCTGCACATCCTGCTCACAGCGAACTGTAGCTTCCAGCTCAGCCATCCGCTTCTCCATTTCTGCAATCTAGATAGATCAAAAGTAGCATCACTTGGATTGCCAAAGTGGGTGCATTCTGAGATCAGTAATCCTTCAGAGCTGAGTGCGTGCGTTTCGTGAAATTCACTGCAGGAGGGGTAAGCCATAGGTCCTGTCTACAGATGCAAGGGCCAAGTCCTTGAGGTAGGACTGAATTTCAGGAGGTCTAGGCCCCCAACATCCATCTTACTCCCTTAGGATAGGGCCAGGTTTTAGCATCCATCATCTGGAATGTAACCCTGGCTGCAACCTTCCTTGCAGACATACTTGCATGCAAGTCCAACACTCGTTTAGCTATCATTCCTTTACGCTTCAATGAGCTGTCTGATCTCTTTATGTATGTAAAGAGCACCCCTTCATTAACTCTCATTCATCCTTAACTTTATTGCAATATATTTTTTTTAATTCCTGCAAACACTTATAGATGCTGTTTATAATGACAAAACTGCTCTGGTGATTGGGCTGTTGGTGACATCATGCGCACTGGCCAATCAGTCCACAGCAAGCTTTTCTACATCCAACATGGAGCACTCCATCAGCCTGCAGAATTGGGCTTTTCCTTTCTTCAGAGCTCATCCCAAGGGAAGGTTACATCTGCACTGAATACAGCAAGGGCACTTCAAAACCAGTCCCATCACCTTTACAAATATAACAACTCATCACCTTAAGATACTTTACCTCTGGAAACACCTTAGAGCACAAAGACTCCCCATCCTTACCTTGGCAGCCTGGGAGAACTTGTCCTGCTCGGGCCGGGAGTGCAGTTCATAAGTCACTGTGTTTCCTGGACTGGTCGGGGCTTTTGCAGGGCTCTTCCCACCTGCAGGAGTAGCTTTAGTGCTCCTGGCCGCTTCCAGTTGAATAAGCAAGCGCCTGGTATGTTGAAAAGGCCAGAAACAATAGGTTAGGGTCTCCAGTGACTACAGTGGTTGTAAGGGCTACTACCTCTTGTTCTGGATTTCAAATTCACATATTAGAAGGTGCGAATGGGGAGAGAAGACAAGCAAATATCTAGTTTTTATTTAAAGTATTTATAGGGGACTCTGTAAAAACGTTCCATCTCAGGAGCAATACAAATTCACTTACAAATTTATGCTTATAATCAGTGATATGTAAAGAAAACAGTTTTTAAAAGAATGCACTTGAATGCAAGAAAGGTCAAATGGGCAACTGGGACAGATACAATACTGGTCATATTTAAAAGCCAAGTTGTAATTAAACTATTTTCCAGGTGATTATCCCTAGAAAGGACAAAAGCTCTTTGGTTATGCTAAAATTAATATGTTATTATATTCAGTGTCTCCATTTCCCCCCTTATATTCCAAGTAAAAGGAGGAAAGTATAGGCTTACTGACTTGACAAACCTTAAGATATTTACAAGGATTCCGATAAACATTTCCAAGTAAACCTTTTAATCAGTTTGAATGTAACATTCAAACCACACTAAGTGCACCGTATTGATTTCTCCTGACCCTGATCAACTATTTCAGCTCAATTACTTCTGATTATGGGGAAAAAGTCAGCTATTTATGGAGTATGTAAAATTAATGAGATATGCTTTCCTACTAAACCAAAGTTAGATAAACATGCTCAAATCATCTGTTTAGGGTAGCGGAAGTTTTTCCAGACCATTTTCCCAGACTATTGTCTTTCTTACAAACCTGAATTGCTACATGTAGCAGACAATGGTGTACATTTGTCTGTGCAGACAGTTTATCTTCCCAGGTAGCCTGGACCAGAGGAAGGCAATACAGTGATACCTTGGCTCATGAACTTAATCCGTTCCAGGACTCTGGTCGTGACTCAAATTGGTCATGACCCAAGTCAAATTTCCCCATAAGGTTCAATGTAAATAAGGTTAATCTGTTCTGTAACTATTTTTTTTTTATTTTAATCAGAAAAATTTGAAGCGGGCGTGCTGGTTGGGGGAGATGGGCATGATCATGGGTGCACTGGGGGAGGCAGGTGTGCTGGGGGGAAGGTGGGAGCGTTTGTGAGTGCACTTGGGGAGGGGAGACAGGCATGATCGTAATCGTCACCCGATGCAGAGTTCACGACCCGAGGCAAAATTTTTCAGAAATGTCTGTTTGCGACGCGATTTGGTCGTGAACTGAAGCATTCGTGAGCTGAGGTTCCACTGTACCTGCCTCAACTCTCCACCTTCTTCAGGTGATGAAGTACCAAGACTTGGTACTTCATTGTCCCTTTCAGTTCGGATCTGAATCTAAGCCAATCTTCCCCAGCATGAGATCGCCCAGATGTTTCAAAGTACAACTCATATTATCCCTGGAGATTGGCCAGTATGTGGGAGCTGTAGTCTGACATGTCTGAAGGGTGCCTGGTTTGGGTCAGCTGATATGGGCACTCCTGCTGAGAACAGACAACTCCCCCCATACTTGAGAAAGAAAAGGAAGGTGCATCTGGTATCAAGCTTGCCTGGAAGCTTACACTCTCAGCCTTGCAAGACCTTACTCCTAATCAAAGATGCAAAGTGCCCAGTTGCAGCACTCAGGGGTGAGAGAATTCTTCAAATGCACCTTACAAAGATTCCATATGTCTGTTGAGACTAAGCTCTGCCACTGGAAGCAGCTTTAGGCCTAAGGCCTGGCTTGATACCACTATGACCTACTTAGCTAAGGCTCCATCAGGATCTGTCAAATTGATGGCTGCATCTGGCCCCAGCAGCTTCTCCAGGTGGGTGGAGACCAGTTGCTGCTTCAGGCCAGCCACCTGCTTAGCAAGGGCAACTGGTGTAAGCTTCTCCTCAGTTGTGGCCTCCTTCATGGTGGTCTGCGGAAGGAGAAATTGGACTGTTAAAGTGTCAAAATCATTTGACACTACAGTATATGATCCCTTTGCACTAATAAGAACCCCAGGTTTAAAGTAGGAGACCTTAAGGCACCCGATGAGCAACCTCTGTTTACATCCAGACCTTAGCAATACAACAAGGACCAGAACTGGACCAAAAGGCTGAACCTGTCAATTAGGCCCACACAGAGGAATTATAAAGGGAGAGAGACCTCCTTCCTCTGACCCAGAGGTGAGCAACCCTTGTGATATTTTGCATTACAACTCCTACTGACCCTGGCCACTGCCATGCGATCCAGGGGCAATGGGAACAGTAGACCCATCTGGAAGGCAACAGGTCACTTTCCCTGATCTATTTTAAAAATCTGCATGGGGAAACTCTTACCTTGATCTTCTCCACTTCAGCGGTCAGTTCCTGAACTTCATGCAGCAGTCGCTGGTATTTCTGCTGGGGGGTCTCTTTTGCACCCAGCCCTTCCCCTAACTTAAGGGAAAAGTCAGATTCTCTAGTTAAAAGGAATGTTAGAATTTTGGCAACTCCTACTTGCCATATATCCATTTTATGCCAGGTCCTGGCTTATTCCAGAACAGCCTTCCCAACCCTACACCCTCCAGATGTTTTGGGCTGCATTATTCATTATCCCTAACTATTGACCAGGCTTTCTGGAACTGATGGGAGCTGTAGTCTGAAAATTCTAGACACCACACAATTGAGAACACTTCCCTATGCAGGTGTTTTCAAGGATACCTTTCATTCCCTCCATTTTATAGACTTTCTAGCTAATTCCCTCTCAGTCCTTCCAGTAAGGTAATTATTTTTTGCATATGCACAAAGTAGAAGACTGCATTCAGCCACGCATTTCATGATTACCAGATAGGTAACGCGACAAACACAATTAATTGCAGGCAGAATTATTCCTCGCAGAACCCTTCCCAAAGAACTTAATGGGGAAAAGGGCTGCAATTGGCGGTTCAAGAAGAATTTCCTCCTGGCTTCTTTGTTTTTAACATTCCCCTGCAATGCATGAGGCACTCTCTGCCCGAGACATGCTGTGGCCTAGACTGCCTGCGCTACTGACAGGAGTGTCACAAGCTGAGCCTGAAGTAGGAGGAGTAATCACTCTCACGTAGGCTATATTACAGGTGCAAAATGCCGCCACCACCACATCTATAGATCCGTTTGCCATTAGCTGCTGAGGCTGGTAACTGTAAGTAACACATCCTGGGAGGGACACAAAAGAGCTATAATGTAATTATAGCTCTGGTTCAAGAACACCAGGAATCATTCCTTCCTGGGCCATTTATGGAGCTAGTCCCACAGTGGGAGTTTTGATGAGTGGATGGGCTGCAGAGGAGAAGTTGCCCTTTCTGATCCAAGCTGTTCAAGTAAATCAGCTACTTACAATTTCATATTCTCCAGACTCATACCCAGTTCTTTTGGATTTGCCAATACGATCAGAGAAGTCTGGAAGACAAAAAAGAAGAAAAGAACAGTTTAATTTTGTGATTCAACGAATTCCAGAGCCACATATTTTCCCCCAGGTTAAGCAACAGGATCTGCTGTTGCAGAACTGCATTTTCTAATCAGTTCACATGACAATGGACCTTCTCATAATTTGCACCAGGGCTAGGAGTCCTGGTTGCACAATTGCCCATGTGCCCTGGTGTCCATAACCTGTAAGGACAAGTGTGTGAATTGCAGAAGGAGACACAGGACTTCCTCTAGTTCATAAAGACCAGAAGGATCACCATTAAGGGCACCAATAGGCATGATTCACACTGTAGCTAACAAAGAGCCACTGAAATCCTCTGATGGCTAAACTGCATGCTACATACAAAGCATGCAGCTGATCCTTACAATTCTTTTGACTTCAGAGTAAGTGCATGGGGTCCAAATCTAAATAAGAACCACTGCGTGCAGGGAGGGGAGATTCAAAACTTTCCACCCCACTTCTTTCTCCTCCAAAATTAGCTCGCATGCACACATGCAAAGAGGTGAAAGAAGAAAACACGCCACTGGCATTAACCAGGGGAGGGAGACAGTGTCTGTCTGCATTCTACATGAAAACAATTTGTATGGATAAAATTAAATGTTTAACACAGCATGCCATTTAGCCCTGAGTTGTACTCTTGCACACAATGAAATACATGAATGACCACCATCAACAAAAGTAATAATAAGGTACACAATAGGTACATAACCACACCTACAAGCACAGTATGGTAATATAACATTATCTTTTAAGTGAGGATTCTTGCATTCTTGTTTGGAATCATTTTGCTTATATTCCCCCTCCACCCCGCATTCCTTGATGCATTTTCAAGCACAGGACAAAATTGGGATCGGTGGTTCTGCTCTGTCCTAAACAAATTGTAAACAAGGGTCTGTGACAGCACTCCTCCAATTGGTGCCTTGTACTTTTGGTGCCAACAGATTTAGACGTCACTATCTATCAGCCCCAACTAGTATATCCAATGATCAGGCATGTTAAAAGCTGTAATCCAAAACCTCTGGAGGACACTGGGTTGAGAAGGGGAAGCCACAAAGACAGACATACTTACCTAGTCCTTTGGTACCCACTCTCTTGTCCTTAAATTTGTCATAGGCAGCATTGGGATTGACTATGATATGTTCCACACTGGTGCTAGTTAGCTCCTCCTGTGCAGAGAGGGAGACAAAAATCAGAGAGTCCATCCTTGCTTTCCTCCTCCTCTTCCCCAACCATCCTCCTAGTATTATTATCTAGCGGTTTCCAAGAAGTCAAAACCAGGGCCCAGGAGAACTGTGGAGAAGCTCTGCCAACAATCCTGACAGCTTTTGGTAGCCCTGACATTTGAAAGATCCCATGAAGCACTGCTGATGTTACACTAGCAAAAATCCAAAGATGGTAGGAAAACCTGCTTCTTTTCTCTATGCACTCCAATCAGCATAAAAAACCAAGGAAACGGCTGCTATAAAGCGCAAGACTGACATGGGACAATTCTGGGTTTCAGCTATGGCAACAGCAGCAGTGCTTCTTGGTGGCACACTGGTGCTTTCCCCTAAAGGTTGCAGCGCTATCTCCATGCTTAGCCTGACAACAGTTCTGATCTGAAAGCAGCACAAATGGAATGGATTGTTTCCCAGGGTCTACAAGGCTTGGCTCCCTTGCTTGTGCTCTTTGGAGCAACCTGCTTTTGGCATGCTGCCTCCCTTTCTCTAGCACAACGGCCTGCTATGTCTGTTACACAGGCTAATCTGTGCGAAGCTTGATGTTTGATCTGGTCTTCAGACTAGAAGTGTGCTGGAGGCAGTGGTTGAACTGGATGTGGTCTCTGCTCTCTTGAGGGGAAAGATGAGTTAAAGCATAGCAGGATCATCTATAGGGGAGTGGAGAGGGGAAATATAGTACTTCTGGACCCTGAAATGATTGGGCAGATAAAGCTGATCAAAGGTGGGCTTGCTGTATACATATATGTATGAATGCTAAGCATTATTTAAAAAGAAAAAAACCAGCCTGATGTGTAGGAGGTGAAGGACACCCAAGGGCTCACACACCTTCCTTTGGGAAGGAAATCACCAATGCAGCATTCAAATTCTTTGCATGCATGATCCAAAGCCTGGTTTTTAAAAAACCACAAAAATGTGTGTGTGTGGGGGGGGGGAGCATTTCCTTAAATTCTTTCTGGTTTCCCTTCCAGTTTTCTTCCAAGTCTTCTCATCTCTGTCTGTAACACAATGTAAAGACTGGTTCACATTGTGAAAACACTGCCAGGACCACCTTAGAAGGCAATATCTGTGTTCACAATCAAGGGCCATAACTGTGCTAATGCTAGTACTAAGAACAGGATGAAAGTAACCATACCCTCTCACAAAGAGAAGCACCACTGCCCCACTAGCTAAAATATCCACTCAAAACTAGAGCATCCAAATGTGCACTTTTTATTTAATCAACTCATGCTAAAAAAAGGTTATATGGAAGACAGACATTTTTACATTAAGAAAAAGCAGGTTGTTGCATGGGTAGACAAATATTTGCCTGATAGTGTTTTCTGGGATGATGGAATGGGAAGGCTCAACATTCTAGGCTGGTTGAGAGGAGGGAGAGCCCAGCTGAAGACCTCTCCCATAAAATCTCCATTCTCTACTATTTTTCCTCTTCCCTCCCCATTCCTTTTTCCTTGTGTGTCGTGTCCTTTTAGATGGTAACCCTGCAGGCAGGGACTGCCTTCTTTAACTCATTATATGTAAGCAACTTTGGAAGCCTTGTTGAGCTAAAGAGTGGCATAAAAATACATAAATACATAAACCAAACCCTTTTTATTTTCCTATTATTTTGAAAGTTAGTAGTGTTTTAAGATTGATATTATATATTATCTGGATGCTACATCTTATTTTATTGTATTACCACCCTGAGACATTGTGAAAGGCAGGATATAAAAGCTTTAAATAAATAATAAATAAAATAAAAACCCAAGAATTGTGTCAATAGGACTAACAGGCCAACTGATCTTGCCCAAAGCATTCTTACAACTCCCATCCTTTTCAAAGGAGGGGAAGTAACCAACAAGGGGAGAGGAGAAAATCAGACTGTGATGAAGTATCTTTCAGTCTCCAACACACATAATCAAAGCAGCACTCCCCACCTTGTCCCTTTTTCTTCCTTTAGGGGAGTATGGAAGAGCCAGTTACAGCAATCACAATATGGGAACTGAGAAATTACGCTGTGCTTGTGGTAAAGGCGGGTGGGAGAGGGATGACACACAAATGCTGAATAATTAACCACATGATTTACATTAGCTGTAACCATCCCAGGAGAAAAAGTGACATGTATATTCCAGAAATGTGCGAGATGACGACAGCATCCAATCCCCAAATATTCAGAGACGTGACCCAGTTGCGGCATCGGTTATAGCCACCTTCCCCAATCTGGTGCCTTCCTAATGAGCTGGGATTGCAACTCCAGGCATTCCCCAGCCAGCCTGACCACAGGGGATCCTGGAAGCTGCAGCCCAACACAGCAGACAGCATCAGGATGGGCTGCAGGCCTATCATGTTGTTCCCATGTATTAGAGGGATTTAAGAATGACCTCCGGTTGGCCACAGCCTCTCTTAAACAGGCCATTCTGGAAAGAAGCAAGAGATGAAAATAAGCAGCAGAAACACAAGGTGGAGCTAGATCGGCATAGTGGTCTCGCCACTGCCAGTTAATATAGGCAAAGGTTTCCTGCAGTCTGTGTGATTTAGGCCAAAGGTTGCCAAGGCATTTGAGAGGGTTGCTTCCTGGCAAAGGCAGGCAGCCTGGTGCAACCGGAGAGCAACCCAAACAGCAGGCAACTTGAGAATATGAGTTTGTGGTCCACATGGCATCAGGGAAGAGGAACCTCAGAGATTCTCGCTGCCACTGATACTGAGCACCTTGTTTCAAGATGGGGCAGTGAGGGAAGAGGCAAAGAGAGGCAAATGCTACATGACACTGCAAGTCCTGCTAAGGGGTGACCAGATGCTACAAATCAATGAGGTGTCTCTCAACTGTCGTGGCGGGGCAGAGTCATTAACCTGGGAATGACAAGCTGTTCGTAAGGAGATGTGATCTCTAGCTTATCCAGCACTAGGCTTCGCCAACGGCCTCCCTGTGCTGACTGAGGGGACAATTACCACATAAGAACACCCTCTGGCCTGCTCTTGTCATGGGGCTTCATTTTCGAAGTGCTAGGCCCCATGGCCTACCACTCTTGCCCATCTCCCTTGCTGGTCAAGAGGGTCTCTTCCAGCAGCAGCTCCTGATTTTGGAAGGCCCTGAGGCAGGACAGCTCAGAGGGCCCCTCCCTCAGCAAGCCTCCCTTCTCACCCCCACTGCCCCAATGGCTCCTGCCCCTCATTCACTTTCTTGCCTGGTTTGCCTGATGGGCAGTAAGTGAGCCAGCAGGCAGTGCTGCTTCCCCACCTCCCCCCACTATCTGGGCCTGACAGGCGGCAAGAGTGAAGAGGAGAAGACATTCTAGGGGCTCTTGTCAGTGCACCCTGCTAGGGCAGTGCCCAGCCATGCCCACCCTGGATGCTGCCCCTGCCCCGTCTTACTCTAGGACAGTGCTGCTCAGCATTGGGAGTGAGAAAGCTCTTTGATTTACCACCAGCAGCTCTCTCTTCCCTCAGTAAGTGCTAGAGAAAGATGGGTACTCTGCCAGCACTCTGGAAACGGCACCATGGCTTTAATGGGCTCTGATGGGAAATCTAAGGCTGCACCAAAGCTAGGCTGGTTTTGAAGAACTATTACAGGAGCCTCAAATTCCTGCTCCCATCTCCCTTTGCTTCCTCCCATCAAAGTCGCTGGATGAGGCTGTTCTCAAAATAATGGCAAGAAATAGCCGCGTCAGATTAAAGCAGCTATGAAATCATGGCATGAGGTAGTAATTGTTACAAAGACAAAGCAAGCACCACAATGCAGGCAATACCTCCAAAGGCCTAGCCGATTTTTAAAGGTTAAAAGAAGGACATCTGACATCATGACTTCTCAGGTTCCCTCATTCTCCAAGTTGCATAATGCTGAACATCTCCATGCAAAGCAAGGCCAAAAGAAAGCCCAAGAGGGTCTAATCAGACCACTTGGGACTCCCGTAATATCCCACCATACACAACTGCAAATGACTGAACTAACATCTGTACAGACAGATAAAGCCTGAAAATTTCTCATCACAAGAAGCTGTTTTTTTAAATCTCTAAATCTTTTAGAAAACTGTTTTAAAGGGGTAACTCAGTGGAAAATCCATAAACAGTATTAAGCATTTTAATGGAAAATGATAACACTGTAATGACGCCAGATAATATTTTCCTGTCATGGGTAGCAATGCATGAAATCACAAAGTTCTAAGAACATGAGATCCAACAAGTTGTGTTACCTAAGTACAAACTACTTCTGAACCCCTTAACATACCTATTGAATGATATATAATATAAACACCCAAAATAGCATTATGGAGTCCTGGCATCAAGACTGACATATGTTAAATGCTGGAAATTGTGTACAGAACTTGCAATGAAAATGATTAGCAAACATCTGGGAGTCCAATTAGTAATATTAACAGCCTCTAAAGTATCACCAATTAAATTATGGGTGGCAAATGAGCTGTTGAGATAAGTGATTTGTTATTACAATGCTCAAAAATATCTAATAAATAAGAGGATTTCTGCAAGGGATGAATGTAATATTAAACCAATTGTTTAAATATGTATAAAATGCTAGGCTGTTTCTGCTGTATTATTTATGTGGAAATGTACCAGTAACATACTTTGCTGTTGGCCTCTAGTGCATCTCAATTTGGTTTCTTTTTTTTTTGCTCTCATAGCCTTTATTAAGAAGAAAATACTGCATGATGCCAGAGGTTTGAACTTTGAGTTGTGGCGGGTAATGCAAACACATCCATAATCCTTGTCAGTGCTGGCCCCAGGTTTTGGAGGGCCCTTGGGCAAAGCACCTCAATGGGCCCCCTCCCTCAAGGGATCTACCTCCTCACATTGCCACCTGCCCCTAATGCTCTTCTTTATCATTACTACTCATCTACTTACTTGTAAGACACTGAAAGCATGCAAGAAGGCAGTGACTTCTATTGCTCCTCCTTCTCACCACCACTTCATTTGTCTGTCTAGATCAGAATGAGAGGCAAATGAACAGGGGAAAC